TGGTCAAAGTACAACATCCAATTTGAGTGTCCCTCTTACTATAGTAAACATAGTTTATCTTCATTTAAAGGAAAATATTTGGTGTAGAAAGAGAAGGATCTTGATTCTTGTTTAAGAGAATCTTGTTGAAAGTTCTCTAAAGAAACATCGTTTAGTATTAATTAATGCTCAACAATCTGAAACCTTTCTGGTTTCTATATTTCAGTTCCGTAGTAGCACAATGAGGGGGCTAGTGTACACGATGAAATGTAGTGATGAAACTAAAAGTTAGTTCAAAATTTAATAGCAATGAAAGTCACATCGTCCACAAGACTCTAAACCAATATGCAATAACAAATTCATGCCAGCTGCACATGCACCCACGCTTTAGGGTCTTCATCTGCAGAAAACACCTAAGTCTATATACTGCAGCTCGCGAAACATACACAAATCTCTCTTTGACACTTACAGCAATCCATATCATAATGTCTTTGTTTTGGCTCGTTTACCATGAAAATGAAATACAGATTATAGGAATAATAGAATTCACAATGCCATTACACGAATTGATACGTCTCAAGCAATTGTTGCAATAAATACTCTATACATTGGTTGCCAATTGCTGTATGTCTATATGAAAAATTGTGTTCAGTCAAATGGACGAACATGAAAATTCCAAATGATTGGAACGTGCAACCCTCTTGACCCTATCAGTATCACCACAACGTAAGACATAGTGATAACACATGAATCATGAACGTTTCCTATCAGTGTAGCTGTTAGTATTATAAAGAGTGAGACTATATATACATGCTTCATATATATTTTTGTCCGTTTCGAGGAGAGAGACCCTGGGGAGCCCTCGAGGAGAGACCCTGGTTGAACAAGTTTAAACATGGAAATATATATGGAACATGAATTTGGAAATATGGAACAAGTTGCAACTGAATGATGTGGTGAAAATAAGGAGTATATAGATCACCATAACGCAGTTAATCAGAGCCAAAAAGGTAATCTTTGCTTGGCTCATATTCTATTTATGACCATGTCCATCTGGCCATTACTTCGAAAGATATTTCCATCTACTGTAGATATGTATATTTAAGCTGAAACCTAATCAGTTATGAAAAAAAATATTTTCAAGACAAAACAGATGCTTGACAGCTTGTCCTGCATGCCAGCATGGTTGTTTTAACCTCACAACACAAAACCCCATCCCCTTTATGTTGGGTCTACTTGGGATTTAAAAGCTATAGAAAGGTAAAGTGGTGATACTCAGCCTCAGTAACATATAGTAAATTTTAGCGAGATAAACAATGAACTTAATTTGCCATCCGATGACGATGCACTTTATATATGATGCCTATAATTCTAGCTTGTCTTGCACGAAAATAGCTTGGGGAAAAAAGTCCGATAATGAATATTATTGGAAACTGAAATACAAAAAAATTAAAAAAAAGGAAACAGATTTAAAAAACACAAAAAACTGACGGATGCAGGTGCTGTTGTCAGTGTTTGAGCCTCTCAAGAGTTTGGGCAAATATGCAAATTGTTGGCTGGCGGGATTTTACATAACTGCGCGGGAAAACTACGTAACGTCATAACATGTGAATAACACGTGAACCCGTGTAATCCATGACTCATCCAATATCCGGTTCGGTTCCGCTTGGGGAATTTTCCCATATTCATGAAGGCAACCGCATATCATAACAACCGTATTTGCAAACAAACATGGCGCAATTTGGGGCTTGGGAACCGGTGCAAAGTCCAATTTTCAGCAGATGTGCGATTCTTCGATTCATATAAAAACTCAACCAGAGTCAGACGTACGTAACCAGTTGTACTTGACTCTATTCTAACATAACGTTCTTGGAATATGTTTTTAAGTTTTGAAGTGAGCTCCTCCTGTTCAGTGCTTTGACCTTGTTCAAATTTTACGCAATAGTTAACAGACAAGGTTCAATGTTAAGAATGTGCTTCGTCGAGTTAAGAAACCCTTGGGGTTAAAGCGTATTTATATTTCTTTTTAAAGGATATATATTACCCTTTGATGGGTATAAGGTTTAGTTGCATGCTGTGTTAGAGTGATATTTCATATGGTACCTTGAGGGGAAATCTTAATTGTATCCTAGCATTCTAAAGTAATAACAAAAGGCTCATTTCCATAGTCATAGAAACCGTGATTAGTGGGCTATATTTTGATAATTTAGCCATAATTTAGATATCCTGTTCTATCGCTATACACTGTCCTTTACTCGTTTTCCAGCTTTTCTTTATAATTTGTGTGTAAATGATATTTCTATATTGTATTTATTATAGGTTATGCATTTACGTCAAACTGACATGTGGCAATAGGTTTTAGTTTCCTGCATGCGGAACATCACCTTAGCCAGAAGACTGAGTCTTCGGTAAAAAAAAGCCGGAATTAAACTGAAGGTATAGATATGATGGTAGTCAGGTAGTGATATATGTGTACATCAGTCGTGCTCGCTCCAATGACTCGTATACATAGGGAACAAAATTTACTGCACCTTAAGTTAAAGCTTAAGGCTATTTTGGCTGCAAATAGTCAGATAGATGATCGTTTCGTAGATATATGCATGTTCAATTCTCAAAGCTATCTGGAGAGGAGAGTAACTTGATAAATTTTCATTTATCTAACTAAATGACGCATGCAACTGAAACCATCCCAAACCATCTAGACTTGATTCAACAGACTCTATATCAGGGAGAAGGTATTATGATATACCCATAACTATATGTTGAGGGGTTTACAAGGCAAGCCGAGATTTCTGATGTACATTGCGCTGATTTCAACACGACAGTAAAAGGTTATATTCCTAATACTAATAGTAATATAAATGCTTGTTATTTTAATTTGAATTCTTGTTATGTGGCATTTATGACTAATGTCGATGCTTTAAAAAATCTTTGTTTCTACTTTCTACAAAGATTGTTTATCAACAACAGAAGCTGAAACGGACTTTTCAAAGATGCCATTGCAATTAACATTCATCCGGCTTTAAAAAGTTCTTGCAAGATTATTTAATTCGGCGTTCTTTCAGTTATCACTGAGAGACGTATCACAAAGCCCAATATATCTCATCAAGCTTCTCTTGAACCGTTGCATGTGCGTTGTTTTACTGTTTACGCAATACGCATCCGCATTAAAGTATCCTTCCCTGCATGTGTTCGCAATATGGCGCGACGTGTTGAATATTTAGGTTGCGTTGAACCAATTCGCAGAAACAACTATGATTAAGAAACTTTTTCATTTAAGATTGTTGGCCGAAGGATTTTACGCCCTTCTCGTATTGTTGTTAATCGAATGTCGTGAATACAACAATTTTCTGTCTTCATTAGAAGTAATATTGAAGTCAATATCTAGTCAAATAACTATCATACCTATAAAATTACTCAAATTTTTGTAATATCGCTATATAATTTGCTATATGACCTATATCCACTATTAGAGTGTTCATTCCTTGCGCAGTTTTAAACCTTTAGTCCTTTTTCGTCCAGTACTTTTTTATGAAACACAAAGCGCACGAAAGTATGCGAGTCAAGCTGCGTGTACTGTATCCAAGCAAGCAGTGGCAGTGCGGAGCACGCGTGAATGGATAAGGATCAATAACGCACGTTGTATAGCAGTCGGGGACATGAAAACGTGGCAAGAATCACGCTATGGATCTGTGATGCCCATTCAATATGCCAAACTTTGCTTTTAAACCTTTAGATGATTCCTTGTGGCAGGGTACACTCGTGCAACTAGAACTAACAGTCGAGCTAAGTCTAAGAGTGTGTATATAACAACGGCCTATTAAGCTTTGTTGATCAAAATTGGTGTACCAAATGCCTAAAATAGACTAAAATACTTCCCGTCTTTTAAAAGGCATAAAAAAGTTTTGTCGTTTCATTTTTAAGTAGTTGTTACACTGCATTTGATAGAAAGGTATTCAGAAACACTTCTCCTTCGTTATTAATACTACACTGATTACTAGTTGCACTGATTCACATGAAATATGAAACGACGTTATGGGTATTGTATTTAATAGCACAAAATGGATAAAATATAATGTGTTTAGATATCCTACCTGGTTATGGGGGCTTTTTTTCGTATTTTGTGTTTAATTTTAAAGCCTCTAAAATCGCTGGTTCCTCCACGAGTTCCTCTTTGCTGTATGAGAAATTTCGAAACGAACACGTGTAACCGTATCAGTGTATATCTTAGTGTTTAATGTGTAAATATGCGTAAACACCTTAAAACCCCGCGAAAATTAATTATGTATTATTTACGTTATGTAGGAACCTGGGAACGCTCTTCCTCTACTTATATTTCTCCTGCAAAAACGTTTCTGGGGGGGGGGGTCAAATTTTTGTGGGGGACGAGTATCTAATCATCTATGGCATTTTACTATAGTTGAATATTTTCTAGAAATAATTCTGATGTATATTGGAACTCGAACTATATAAGCTAGTGATTATAACAACAACTTTTCAGGTTCTTTTTCCCACTTGGACAACCTTAAGTGCATCACAATTTTAGAAGCCGTTATTTCTGGACCAGAAGTGCGTGCATATCAGTGGGGGGAGTGCGTGTGACACCTATCCAATGTTAACTCTTTTGCTATAAACAACGGTTGCTGAGCACAGGTTCTGATTAGGAGCAGGGATTATTCTTAGCTGGAGTTGCTACCACTTTTTGAGATTTTAAAAAATTTCTGGAGATGTAAATTAGTATATGGGTAACTGTAGATATACAATTATTACTAATTTTCATCTCCAGAAGTTTTCGTACAATTTCAAAAAGTGGTAGCAACTCCAGCTTAGAATAACCCATACTAACTGAAAGTGCTTGTGATACACTACTGTAAAAACATAACAAAAAGCCTCTCCCACACCAAATATACTCCGCAGAATTCCTCCGCAACAAACTTTGTCAAGTCACTACAATCTGCGCACGAAAATGCCTGAAATGACCGCATGAAAAGGCTGTTAAATTGCAGCACAGACGATGCAAGCATTGGATGTGAAATCATATTTGCGTGCTTTATATCTATATATGTATAATATACTATATTATTATATGGCTTTTTTTTAAAATCCTCTATTCTGATTGGTTGACGAGCGGTCCGTAAAAACCCATACCCGGACCGTGGTCCGTATATTCCGTATCTGGACCAGTATCCCGGACCAAAAAGCCTTGGTGGTCTGATATTTCACAGTACAGACCGAACAAGCGAGGTCATGCAATAATCAGTTATTTTAGTGATTTGGCTCCTTGCATTTTTCTGCTGGCAAACAATTCTCGTGATATTTTCTTTACAAATTTCCGTTCTGCCGGTAAATCAGTTGGAAATCGTTTGTCGTGAATAATACTAACATATATGTTTACAGGAAATCGTTTTATATTAAGTCCAACATGTGAGTTCAACTTCATCTAGCCTAAGTTTAATCGTTTCCTTGAATTTTTAACTCGTCATATATCTTTCATCCCAACCAACATGACACCATCCTTTGGGTTTGGAACCGTAGTTGAGAAATGTAGGTCACGATCGCTCGGGAAACATTTTAATACGTCACATTTTTGTGGGAGCAATTTACTCTGAAACAATGCCTTCGTCGCAAACGAGACCCAAATAATGGTGAAGAAGGAACACAACATGGAAAATGTCCTGAATGGAAATAACTGCCCGTCAATTTCGTTGTAATAGGGATACTTTAAAAACGGATCCAGTTTTATCAACGTTTCACCCCCGCCGACCCTCAGGATTATGGCGACGATGTACCCCAGTAATGATCCATATGTGTTAACGTCTTTCAAGTAAATGACGCAGCAGAGTTGAGGGAATAAGATTGCGTAGACTAGATCTGAACAGAGATACCACAGAGCGTAGATGGATTGGACTTCGAGTGCCATTATCGTGGCGAGTGCACCAACGCCGAAAATTGCTATGCGAATTACCCAGATTATTTCTTTCTCCGACGCCTAAAAAAGATGTAATTATTATATATAGCTTTACTTTATTGCATCCGTATTCTAATTCAATCATTATGCCATTATCTTCTTCCTAAACCATTATCCATTTCCCTGATCTCAATTATGTTACCCTCCATCATCAAACTCGAATGGTGTGTATACCTGTTCTGTTAGGGAACAGATCTGTAATTTGGGATTTAGGCATTCATAGGGTGAATACCTTTATTTATAAGACTTATAACCGAACAGTTTTATCGGTCTGGGTGAACCATTCTTCCGAAGGGTGTGTAAACCAAGCAGCCTATCTATACTCTGTCAGTTCTAACTGTTCTGCAAAGACACGGGTCCACGAAAAAGATACAACGATGTATCTACAGTTATCCTCATATTTAATAGCCTACGTCATAGACCATGCTCGGTTTCCTCATCTTAATTGACTCAACTTTTTAATTAGTGGATAGCAAAACCCAAAGCTGGTGTATTGTTCTCTCTGTAGACGCAAATATTCGCTACAGAACAGGAGGCGTGTTGCAAGTTATGCGAAAACGTTTGTTAACCAGCGGAGGGTTCAATATCATTTGTTCATTTTCAAATTTCTGCTAGTAGACCTCAAGTCGAAGTGGAAAACCAATGGTACTTGGCGTAGTCAAACTGGACTTTTCCGGCTTTAACAATGAGTTAAGGACGAAATAAAAAACCCGAGAAGTATAAACACGAATATACCCGATTTTGTGGTGAATAGACAGAATAATGAATGAAGGAAGAAGGAATGGCCGGCAATACGTACGTTTGGCCGCTAAAAGGCATGTTATGTACCATACAATACCTTGGGTCTCAGGATGAGCTTGTAAACATTCCTTGCAAACATAGAGCTGGCAGACAATACGGAACTATCAGCTGAGGACATTACTGCAGCCGAAACAGCTCCTAGACCAATAAACGCCACAGCTGACGGAGTTAAATATTGTAACACCAAGGGTAGCACACGACTTGTATCTTCAGGTGGGATTGTGCCGTTTTTGTGACCCTCGTAATCTGTCGCCGACCAGTCTGAAATGAATAAGAACAATTTGTTTACGGATGTATGAACAAAATAATATATTTGCTCTCATGAACGACGGATGCTTAATTGTAAGGGCTACAGGAAATGATGAGAGCGTGAAGTATATACTTGGCTGTGGATTACTGATGCACTAAGTATTAAGCTCTTTGTTACTTCTCTGTCAGACGTGAGTTTGGTGTTGGAAATTTGAAAAAGGTTTATGAAAAGGCATATAGTGAGATGAGATCGGCATTCTAGAGAAGATTTTCTTTTACTCTCAGGCAAAAATATAATTCAGGACTAACATAAAATGGACGCATATTGTACCCAAAGCCTTTATTACCTGTAGCAGTAGCAATTGCTCCAATAAGAAAAGCAGGAATGGCCATCAAAATACAGCCAAAGGAAGCAGAGAATGATAAATATTTAGCTTGTTTCGAGGTCTTACATGCCAATACTCGCTGGAAATAGACCTGCCAGGGAATGCCACCAAATACCTGAAAGAGATACTTTTGCTTTACTCAAGGTAGAAAAACAGTAAAATATAACGTTTTTATTCAGTTTTTATGTATTGCATCAACTATATATCAACTCTAAGATTTCACTGGATCGGTTGATTAGTGGATGAATTTCTTTTTTCCAGAGATCAAGTGAAGTTTTTTTCCTTTATTGGCCTAATTATACATCTAGCTATACATGCAATACTGTACAGAAGAATCCAATAAAAATAAATTTTTTTTACGATTTACCCAAATCAGTTATATCTAAGATTTATACAACTTTCATTACTAAGCATATATTATATATAATTAATAAGTTTGAGCTAGTTCCACGCTAGATCATGTGAAAGCACTCGTGTTTGAAGATTTCCATTTAATTTTTAGTTGTATAGTTTTTACCCGCTTTTCCCAAAATAGCAATCATCAAGCATGCAATTTTATACAAACCATACCAGTAATAAAGCATAGTCCACCCAAACACCTGTAAATTTCCAATCCCATTCACCAATCCACGTTTTTTTCGTTGTACTGATACTGCTGACTGCTGAATGAGTCATTGCGAATGGGATTGTGAGCCACTGTAGAAGAAGATATGATTAATTAGGGTTAGAAAGGGTGCGATAGGATAAAAAAAAATTACTTGACGAAATGGACTGATTTGATCCGGTTATAAAGCAAAAATTGGCAAAATCAGCTTAACCAATTATATTTATGCTGGATATCTTCATGAGGTGTAGAGAGGAGGAAACCGCCGGTGAATTTCGGAGCTTTTAACAACTCAATTTCGCTCACTCAAAGTAAGGAACCCTTTGAAGAGGAATCCTGGGCATGCGGTATGTGGTGGTTCTACAGGCAGTAAAAAGGAATTGATGCCAAATTAAAGGGGAGGTCTTGTATTTAATAAATGAGGTCTCTAATCCTCGATTGCTATAGGGCCCTTAGTTACAACAAAGCAAGCTTATATGCATGGCATTGGTTTCTCTTACCAGGCCAACAAAAATACAGATCAGTTGTACAACATCTGTGTAGGCAACAGAGTATAGTCCTCCGAAGAATGTGTAGAATACCGCAATCGCCGCCGATACTGTGACTGCCGTGGTGTTATCAAGATCAACTACAACACTAATTGAGGCCCCTAATGCTGAAAGAATAGCACCAGACCAGAAAATCTCGCCAAGCAGTGCTGGGATATACAGTAATCCACCCATACGCGATCCGTATTTTTCTTGAAAAGGATCTAACATCGTTACATATTTCTTAGAACGCATCTTTTCCGCGAACAGTAGACCACCTGGGAAAATATGATAAAAAATATTTTAACGTAACTTCTGTCAACACCGAGTTTTTCAAGAAACCTCGTGATTACTATATAGCGCTTTTTGAAAGCTGCCTGTGAATTTAAGTCCTTTGCATCTTACCTACTGTTAAACTAAGCGCATATCCCCAAGGGGCTTGCACCCAGATCAAACCAATTGTGGAGGTTGATTCACTCGTTCCATTTATGTATCCACCTCCTACCCAAGTAGCTGGAATAAAAATAGGAATATACGGTGTAAGAATATTCTACATCACACTCATTGCTATACCACACAAAAACCATAAATTTAAACTACGCCAATAATAGAATCACCGATCTCCTTTCACCCTATTGCATTCCTTCCACATGTCCCAATATGACCACGCCCTAGCTAATTACAATGTCATTCTTACTCTCCTGATTGGGGCAAGCATCCCAAACCAGATGCACCTCTTTTACCTAATCAAAACCCTCACATACCCACACACCAATACGACCACATCCCATCACATCATTTCCACTACCCAGACAACACCATACACACAACACCATACCGTACCTGTCATAGTCATTGCTCCAACAAACAGACCCAAATTCCGTCCTGCCAAGATGACATCTTCAGTTTCGTCACTTCTGCTTTCCGGTGATCCATCCTCGTCCATCCGGATCACGCCATTTTCAGATCTTTTATTTTTTCGTTTCAGTGCCGCCCATATTCCAATACCCAGTATAAGAAAATAGAAAACAATAATTCCAACGAGACCCACCACATTCAGTGCCATGATCAGATACTATCGATTACTAAAAAAAGGTTGGAGAACATGATTCAAACTCGGTATAAGCTGGCCTTAGGATCGTAATTAACTGAACTGGCTACAGTATGAACCATCCCCCTATTAAACTAGTTAAGAAAATTTATCAGTGCAACTGGAAAGTCCCCCCTCCAAAGTTAGTAAAATTGAAAAGTTTGGTTGCGAAATATTAACTGAAAGCTGTAAAAATATCGCAGTGTGCGCCTTATATGAAAAATTTGCTAATTTCTCGCCATGGGCATGGCAGATTTGGGGTGACTTGAAGCCTATAGTGGTCCGTAGTCTGGGGGGAAATGTAACTATTTGTGGTGCCCGGAAAGGTTGGCTCAAGAACATATAAAAAAGGTTGTTTGCAGTTTGCTCCAAGTATGATAATGTTTCGAGGCTTCTATAATATATGGTTGGTCCACTGGTTTAAAGAAAGGGTCAGAACTTTGCATTCATGCAGAGTCTTTGATCGTCACGGATTCGTAAATCCTAGGTAGTGGAGATGACTTTAGTAACGGGCTCGGAGGGGGTAACGAAGTATTACAAATGGCATCGCGTTGTGGAAGGTTTATATTACCTTTCCAGGAAACGTATTGGTTGGTTTCACTGTTCTTATGTGATAAAAAATCTTCCAAAAGTGGCGGCTGACTAACATAGTGTCTAACATCAAAATGCTCGTCACAAATTTTAAACACTCGTAATTGGTTTCCCGCTTCGCGCGAACAAACTAGCTAAGTTGGCGAAGGTGTCACTTTTACTAGAATTTGAATTGACATACAGTATCTATGCAGATCTATGTATTTCGACAAAGACGAACATTTTACGATCTGCTAACGTTTTCTTGACATTTGGAACACTCTTTACAAATTAACATCCGTCAAAATTATAATTGCATTGCAAGTTGCAAGGAAAATTGCATATAGTCTAACACCGCCTTCAGGTTATTGGTTATTGTGAAATGCAGTTTAGTTCGTGTTTTAATTTTTAACCCGTTTTAATTTCGAAATTTGTAGATCTTCCGGCTGTTCGGAGATGAAAAGTATCATTCAGGTAAAAAAGCCAGTTATGCTAACGTAACAAGAAGCGTAGAATAAAATCAACTTTCCAGTGTCGGTTAATTTGATTCGCACACGCGCCTACATAGGTTTTAAAACCACGTCCCTATCTGGAAAGATAGGCCTACCGGCTACCGGTAGAGTGGTGACCTATCTCATGTAAACACTCACTATAGTCGTAGGGTAACCTTAGCACTGACCCTACCCCCATGTAAACAGGGCCAATGTTGGGTTAAACAAGTTAAATACAGGTTAAACAAGTTATAATATGAATATATTGTCCATTCTTTTTTTCTAATATATTTCCATTTGTTGGTTTTTGTATGGAAGTATTAAATATTTTGGGTGGGGGGGGGGTGGTGCTGGGTGATTTTTGAGCAGGAAGATACGTATATTGGCAATGATCACACAATTACAGTCAACGAGGGTTAGAGAGACGTCAGAGACGTAAAAGGTATAGCTAAGAAATTTCAATATAACCAGGGAGCAGCGTGGCAGCGTCTTCAAACAACTTAGCATCAAATGTGGTATAACAACTGCCTAAAATAGACAAAACACTTCTCGACGTCTCAACCTGAGGGCCTTCCTCAGGAGAGTTACTGAAGATACGATGTTTATATTAGATTTTATGGAAAGACTTTAAATAGTATTCTAAAAAACATTTCAAACGATTTTCGTATGTATTACCGGTCAACTCCTAGATTCAGTAGATCCCGCGATTGCCCTATACAGTCAGTACTGACCATATATTAGCTAATCAATTCGTACATAGTACAAAGAAGTTATAGTGAAAAGTAACACTTTGTATACATATTCATCGACAGATTGTAAAGAATATATATGATATAAAGTATTATTCAACTTACCAACATGGAAAGCTAATTGCTCATACGATGTGTTTAAAACTATATCTTGTTTGGAGTTTGTACCTTGGACTTTATATACAGTTTAAACGCACGAACTTTGTTTGTCATACGATACCACCTCCCAGCTGGAATTATACTACAGCACGTTTGTTATGTAAATATTAGAAAACCCTATCCTCTTTGTACTCATGAACCCCGCAACACGTGTACTATTTATTTTTGTCCCTTTTTATCAGGTTGCGAACTTGCATGTCAATTACGTTCACCACTTCAGAAGTTCGACACGAACTTCGCAAGTTCTATTCCAACGTTCGAAGTTGGTTGTGTTGTTCATGTTATACATGTGTATTACTGATACTTAAAGAAATGACACGATTAGCACGAATATATACAATATTTTTTAAGACAAAAGGATTTGCATTTTGACAGTACAAAGAACAAAGACGGTCTATGTCTACAGGCCCTACAGACTACAGCGACACATATATGTGTTTGTTCTTTAGACTTCAGTCAAATATTATTTATTTTAAACATGAGACCAACTGTTGGTTCGAAAATGTTATGTGATTGCAAATCCCGCCTTATCAACTGTATATAAGATTAAGGAATTAAAAAAAGGAAGTCTCATGCAACAACCAGCAGTCCAGCACGTGGAATGATATATACCAGCTCGTGCTAATTTACATACATCCATTAGTTTCACCACGTGCCACAGCACAACAATATGCCGTCACTTTCAAGCTTAAGAATAATGAATTCGTTTCCCAGGCTTCTTCATTTTGTGGTTGGGCAACCAATTAGCTTTACGCTTGGCAAATGCTCTGGAAATGAGCAAGCCGGAGCTCTGAACAGTTAGAGCGTGTTTTTGTGTTCATCCCGCAAAGTCATAATGTGCATAAGCCAGTGCCTTTCTGGTATACGGTATAGAAAATACCATTAACAGACAGGAAAAATTATCTGTTTTAACATATGAGGGGCATTTCTAGGTTTTTTCATGATATATACGTGCCCAGACATGCAGGCAAAGTAAGTCATATGCCTATCGTATTCCTGTTGAGAAATTGAAGTACAATCAAGGTTCACATACCGATATATATGTATGGCTATGACTCGTCTGGATGTCATCCAAGGTCGCAAAAGCCGGCAAAACTATTTAAGCCAAGTTGGACTTTGATGTTTATACGAAAACAACGTGTAGCATCATTCTACGAATACCAGATCCGTGCTCTGACAATATTTTGATTTTCAAAACTCGAAACGTGGCAGGAAAGAGTGTTTAAACATCAAATATGTTTATTTGATAGACGTCATAGTGTGTTGTGGCATTTTCTCTATAATTATTTTCACTACTAGGCAACAGTTTACGTTGCCGTTGTGAAGAATAATTCTATAATTTCTGATATAGGATTTGCTATCAGATATATATGGCATGCATGAATAAATATTTTTAAAACGATCATTAATTTATCGATACTGGTTTTCACTTGTCTGCGCAGATATATCTATAGGGCTATAGGGCCTCTATATAGCTACTATAATTCTATTTATAATTACAATGGTTTTTTATCCAGACCAAAACCTCCGTGATATATGTGAGTTTGACCTAAAGGCTAAACTGCATGTACTGCTACTCACTTCATACAAGAACCCGTGTGATAATTACTAATCCAACATGTCCCGGCAGTTTTACCGATCAAATGGAATTTTAACCTAGCTGATTCTAACCTAACTCTTAAGCCGTAAAGTCATATTAAGAATCAGTTGCTCCCACTCCCAGCTTATATTTAGAGCTCAGAGGTTTTTAGCGTTTCGTACTGCACAAAATTGGATTTCTTGTTTCGGCATGCATGTATACTTGAAGGGCCGACATAAATTTTAAATAAAGTGTTTATATATCTCCTAGTGGAACGAATAATTCAGTTAAACAAAGGATTATAAATTAAGGATTTAGGAGTAAAATATATTTCCTGCTTAATTACAATTCAGTTTAGCGTAAACCCACCTTATATATCTAAAGAACAACAAAACAAAACAAATGAATCCTTTCCCATCCACAACTGAAGCCGGTGCACTTTCCGTTCAGACTTTAAATATCTGAGTGAAATGTGTACTATGCATCTCCTTTATATAAATGTCATCAATGTATAAAAGAGTGAACCAGGTGGTTTTACTAAAGTGGTGTGTTCGCTGGGGTAATTTAATTGTCATCGCCTATTGGTTTTGCTTATCGATTCAATCTATTTTATTACTTTGTGGTTGGAGTAATGAAATTCTAAGTGAAAGCATCCCAATTGTTCTGACTGTGCATAGATGCTGAGTTTCACCTGTTTTTAAAATAGCCAGGTAGCTATGATAGAGCTAACTTTTATACTGAATATAGTTTTCATTGATAAGCAAAATTTGGAAAACAGAATAGGGTTCTTGTAAAACAATCACGTAAATCGAAACGCATTTGTGTATGAATGTTGAAATCTACACTCAATTTTTAACTGAGCTAAAGACAAAGTACGCTACTTGGACTTTACGACTTTGCAACTATTCTGTTTTTAAACAGCAATTCCTCAAGGAGTAAACCGGTTTAAAAACTTGTTTATTTTCGGGCTAATCTCGGTTTACGTCGGTGGGCGAAGAGCTGTCGGTAGTGACAGTACTTGGCGCCGCAAACTCCGCGAAGAGCTGTCGGCAGTCGATAATCTATATCAGTTGAAAATAGCTTTCCCAAAAGCTTTTGGATATAAATCTGTCGCATTTTACAAACAATTTTTGACATTTTCTTGTCAAAATGATTTGTTTTATATTTCTTATGCCTGTGGTAGATTATTTTAGCTTTTCAAGTATTAACCGTTATAGTTTTTTGATTTACATATTAATTATTTATCTCACATCGCGTTTAATATTGGTCGGCGTAAATAGTTTTAAATTGCGTTGGTTAATGAAGAACTCTTTTTTAATATCGATATCTGCAGCAATATACGTGCGGGATATTCGATAGAGCCCACGCACCCGGTTGAACAGTGAAAAGTTTGGTTTAACGGGATTGGGCAATCATGACTGGTTTTGCGTCTGAAAAAAACAGCAAGGAATCCATAACGTTCAGCAAAGACTGAAATAGAAAAAATTATCAATTATTTATTTGCTGAACGACTTCAACTACCCAATGATTCATTTATGTTTTACATGTAATCTTGAAGATCGTGAATACATACTGTAGCACTTGAGGAATAGGCACGCAATATGAAGAATAAAGCGACTCAGTAAAACTAATCTTAAGAAACCTTTAACATTATCGTCCTCTTGAACAATATGGACTCGAAACTTGGTATGATAAGACTACGTTGTGTGTACTACAGGGTCTTTACAAACATGAGGGAACTTATAATAATCTGTTCTTGTACTATGGATTGTAACAAGATAACTTGTAACAAGATTGTTTCACTGCCATCATATGCTGCCATACATAAGTACAAGTTTCAGCACACTAGCCTGAACAAGCACATGCAAGGAAGCATAGTTATTATTATGGTTCTGCGTTGTTCTATAAACCAGTTGCATATATATGATCTCACTAATTTATACAAAATATAATTTTCGTGCAAAAATACAACTCCGCTTACTAAAAAAGAGAGGGACATGAATAAGAAAGTGAAAGGTGAAAAAAGGCGAGCTACAATATTCGTCTCAAGACCGAGGTTTAATCTGACTACTAACTAGATATTTTTATACAAGTGTCGTATGTTCTTCGGTTTCTCTTCTTCGCTACAATTTGAATAGTCAATGATTGAGCTCGAGACAACATCAAGGTTCGGAAAAAAAATGCAACCAAGTAAATGTCGTTAAGACTAATTTTCTTCTGTTGTCACGAGGTTTTTGTCTAAAGCTGTGTATTTTAAGTGACACTTGATGATGGTTCTTTAAATGGAAAATAACGTCATTTTCATCGTCATATTACTGACATTAGTATAGACAGAGTTAATGGACTGTGGTATAGACTATAGCCTGCATACAACTTCTCGTGGTATCTTCCCAACAGCCATATTATCTGAATATTACACTACATCTAATGTTTCAAAACAAAGTTAGAAGTTAAGAAATAAAAGAAAAACCATCACTGTTTGAGATATACGTGACACGTCCAAAAATACGCCATCGATTGGTCATAACCTAGAGCTATTTGGATAACAACGAAAAAATAATTTTGTACCCTGTACGAAACTTCGAATCACTCAAATCGTAACCGCATTTCTAGAAAAAGGAAACTTAAAAATTGCTGGAAGTCAAAGAAACTGAGGTACAATTGTACAAATAAAATAATGAAGGTAGAGATTTAAGAAGGCCATCTCTAAAGCTATAAAACTGGTTCTCCAACTCAACCATAACGAAATAAAGTCTTTTGAATCTCGAGCATTCGGTTAAGTTTAGTTTCCCCGCAGACGTAACTGTCGTTTAAAATAACGGAACCATAGACTGTTGCTTTATTTTTTTAGAAAGCAGAGATTATGTTAATATAGAGCAAAGAAACAATTATAAAAAAATTCTGTCATTCTAGCACTTAAACTGTGTACAGTTAAATTATACAGTAAATTACACTGGAAATTCTTCTTAGGAAAATCGTAATGCTTTTCAGTGTTGCTGTCCTCTCCATTCATCTTTTTATTTTGCCCTTCTTCTGTTTTGTAACTGAATTACGTATAGACGGTATGTTAAGTATATCATACATGTGTAACAAATTAGTTTTGCATCCAAGGTTCTAGGGACGATTAGCTTATTCATCGTATATTATTACATATTTGTACACCATTTGCATGTAAATTACATCAACCGCTGTTCAGCAGTTCAAAGAACCGAACAGACTTTTGATTGGACTCCCATTCGATTCGATTCTAAACTGTCTTCATCCATATTTGAAGACATCCCCCCATCAATACTGTCATCTTTCAAAATTCTTCCTTGTGTAACTGAAACCGTAACAGCACCGTTGGAGTGAACTGATTCGTTCGAGTGTTCTGCAAGATTAGATTTTATTGTCTCACGACCACCGGAAAATTTTACAGATCGTTTTCGTGACGCGCGCTTTCCCGTTTTTTCTCTCTCTCGCTGTTGTTGTTTTTTGAAGATAACCAGAGCAGTATCTTGGTATCTTTCGTTAATTGATGCGTAATCTACGCCCGTAACCTTTCGACGAAACATAATTATGCAGTTTCTGAGTTTCTTATACCAATTGTTACAACGGCAAATCTATACCATTCTTGAACGTTTCTTGCTAGTTTTCGCGTATGTTACCTCGTTCTATCCTCCCAAACGCGCAAGTAGTCCATTTCTTTCAATAAAGTCCCGAAATCTGTGCTAATTTTTCTATTTTCTTGTTCGCTACGCGTCAAAACAAATATTTCGGGCCGCCATCTTGATTATTAGAATAATTGATATGGCGTTTGTTTCCTAGCAACAAGATCCAAGTTGTTAAAAGAATAGACACGCATAGTGTACAAGCCTTGTCATTGGTTGTCACTAATGCAAGCAGTCACATTTGCTTAATGCCATGTTACATTTGTCGAAATACTGCGCTGTACTGTTACTGCGTGGGTAGTATATTTTGACAAAGTAATTTAGGTACGTTCAATCCTGCATGTAGGATACTTTTTCTAAAGGTTTTAAACACGGCCGGAAACTGCAAGAAACAATTATGTGTGGTACAATGACAAATACCGCAAGGTTCATGGTATCAGAGATGCCGATACCTTTCTCTTGATATTGGAACTATCGACGTTATTTCCTAGTCGCTGGTAATGAATACATAGATAGTGGTGTCAGGTCGTTTCGTACTCTTGTCATTTCGTACCCATATCCCTGGTCGTTTCGTACTCTAATTGATGGTCGTTTCGTACCCCGATTTTAGTCGTTTCGTACTCAAACGCTATATGACTGCTTTTATTGCAATCAGTTCAGTTTTTATTAAAAGCGTTGATAATAACCACTTTCTTTGTTGACTTGAAACTCTGTATTGCAACATTTAAGTTCTTCATTCGGCAGTTCAAATTTATCGTTTTGAAAATGGTCCGAAAGTCTACACGCACACTTAAGCGCAAATGGCCATGTGGTACTTGCAGTCTGCAATGCAATGACAATTCGATCTTTTGCGAAGGATGCCGAATGCATGTGGTACCATTCTTGTTGTGAGAACCTGTCCGCTCCGAGAGATTTAAAAATTTTACAAGACCTAACCGAAGATTATCTGTGTTCGTCTTGTACGCGTGTTGGACTGTTGGCGATGTCTTTGATTTCCAAAACCTTCCCAATTTCCATAAGGAAGCCTTGCTTGTAGAACTTAACATTCAGTTAGTTTCTGAAGGAAAAGTGAGGCGGATCCTTTAATGTAACCCGGTGTACAAAGATCTTTGTGTCAATAGTTAGTGTTCAGTTGTATAAGTAAAAAATAAACGGACAGATCACGGATATATTTTTCGGCAGTTGAAATGAGCTTAAATAAAATATATTCGTCTTCTTGTTTTTGCAAAGCTAGCTCATTAAGTCCCTCATGTGTAAAGTTCGAAACGACCTTGTCTGGGTACGAAACGACCATGTCTGGGTACGAAACGACCATGTCTGGGTACGAAACGACCATGTCTGGGTACGAAACGACCATGTCTGGGTACGAAACGGCAGAAGTACGAAATGACAAGAGTACGAAACGACCATAAACCATAGATAGTATTGGTATCGGCCCAAAATATACGTCGAAATCGAGTAGTGAAGGAAGTTTTTTCTTTATATGATAATTTACTGCACTTCTTTGAGACACGTATAAAACACAAACGAAAAGTGAAGGTCTGTTATCGAAAGTAAAACTATACATTTCTCCAATACTTTATACATTTGCGTTTATGACAATTACTCTTTGAACATTCCAAGTACAATAATAATAAAATCTACTATTTTCATTCCTTGAGAATCTCAAACCCCCTAAAAGGGGAACCTAATACACGTTCTAACATATATAAATTATGGAACTGATACCGTCCACAATCATTACGATCACGCTTAACTCACAACATGCTATTTCTGATATACAGGGTGTATTAAAACAGGGTGATCCAACTTCAGTGTACTTTTGTGATTGAATGCTTTTTCTTTTAGGCAAAATGATGCAATTTTGCCCAATATTTTATCCATATGATACAAAACATGTCATTTCAACTGCTTATATAATATAGAAGTATGATCTCTTGTAACTAAAAATATTACCCTAGGGGGTCAAGTAATCTAGCATCCTAAAGCCTAAAGATGCATTACTATTTTTAAACACATTGTATAAATTATAATTAAAGTAAGGGGAATCCCATCCTTTGATCTAAAATTCTCAGAAGTAGATTTCTGATCCCAAAACTAATAAAATGACATTCCTCAATTATCTCACATAGGTTGGTGCAGCAGCTAATGTCATTTCCACCAATATATTTGCATATTATAACACACACAGAGGTCCAGAAAATGCCATTATGAACAAGAAGCCAATATGCTTGAAATCTGATCAACATCTATGGTCGCTAGAGTTGCTGAAACACCATCACCCTCATTAACAATAATGGTAATTTCTTCACCTGATATTGCAGGCATCTGTGAAATGGTGGCAGAAGAATCTGAATCATCTGGCTCAGATCTGATTTCTGTAGAAATAATTTGACCACCAATTTCATGGTTGCCTTCATCTGGTACTATATTAGGAGTACCATCATCGGTATCTTCTGGATCCACAACTATACCAATACTCTCAGAAGCAAAACTGGCATCTTTAGGGTTTTCATTGACTTTTTCATTTTGATCAATTTCAGAGGTAAAGTCCTTTCCTGCACGAAGTTCACTTTCTTGATCAAGTTCCCCCTCACATTTCTCTGGTTCATATTGTAGCATTGTGGCACTCAGTCTTTCTGCTTCTGTGTGTCTTCTCATATGTTTATGATAAGTTCCTGACTGTGTGAATGACCTCTTGCAAAGGCTGCAAGAGTATGGCTTTTCCTTAGTATGAACTCTCATGTGGTACTTAAGATTACAGGATTTTGCAAAACTGAGTGGACACAACTCACAAGCATAAGGTCGTTCACCTGTGTGAGTTCTGATATGATTTCGTAGCAGTCGGAGCTGTGAGAAGGCACGGTCACAAATCGTACAAGGGTATGGCTTTTCACCAGTATGTGTACGCTCATGCTTGCGTCTTGTGCTACGATCACGGAATCCTCTATCACAAAACTGACATTTATATGGCCTTTCTCCAGTATGAGTGAACATGTGTTCTTGATAACGAGATTTAATGTTCTTGGACAAACATTTAAAAACTTTTCCACAGACTTCACAGCTTGTTTCAGTTTGACAAACAGCTACATGTTTGTCCAATGTTGCCTGCCTTGCAAACTGCTGGCCACATTTTTCACAGGACAATGCTAATCTGTTATGCTTTTGCATGTGTTTATTAAGATTTGCCTCAGTAGCAAAGACAGCACCACACTGATTACATCTCTGAGGACTGTAGTTTTCAATGTGGATTATCTTATGTCGATCAAGATCTGCTTTCCGAATAAAACCTCTTGAGCAAACATTACATGTAAAAGGTTTTGTTTCAACATGGGTGTAATAATGTGCTTGGTATTGTGCATATGCATTTCTCCCATTATTTGAAAAATCTTTATTGCAAAATGAACATACCAAATTTTTCTTGCAGATAGGAAGGTGCTTATCAAAACGTTTTTGTGAATGAAAACCTTTATCACAATGAGGACAGTTTTGCTGTTCAACTTTAAACATATACTTGCGTTTCTTGGTATTTTCCTCAGTACTCTCTGTCTCATTAAGTGATTTGCATTTGGCAACTGCAGCTAATTCTTGGCACTTCTCACAAGGAATCTGATCAGGATTAGTGGCTGTTTCAGGGTCAATTTCTGCAAATAGTTGGCATGATTCACATTGGATTTGTTCAGCATCCTCAGTGGTTTGGTTTAGAGATCCTTCTCCATCTTTTATATAAGTATGGTCAGAAAGATGGTCAACCTGTTCATCTAGGAGTGTGGTACTCTCAACCTTAATTGATATACTGGCACTTTCCTGCAAAAAATTACTCTGCTTACTATATATCACTGAATACACATAAATAATATGCAGAATATTTTGGCTAGTTAAGTGGTAGGCAGTAGCTTAGGCGTAGTAGTATTGGCCATATTCCAAAGCTGCCTCTTGTAAGAAACTAATTTTTCTGGTAATTCTCAATGCCAAATGGGCCAAATGCCTTTCAATAATGACATCATTGAGCATGGGATTGAGACTCACTTCACCTATTGAGAGTGAAGCCTCAGGCAGTCAGGCTGATGTAACCATTGAAAGGGTGTATGCCGTATGGTCATTGGTCACTATGGTGGCAGTAAGGCACTAAATTCTCAGTTTCAAAGGAGGATTAAATTTGGGGTTAAGTTGATTAACCATGACTGAAATTGGAACCAAAGCAATGAACGTCTCGAGACGTTTCCAGGCCGCCAATAAATAAAAAAAATTCACCTCGTCACATACACTCTCGGTAGCCTCGTTTGACTTAACCCTTGGTTTTCTGGCTCGTTTTTTGCTCTTCGTCTTCGTTTGTGTTTCACCATTAGTTTTCAGAACGCATTTGTGCTTTAAAAACTGCCTTGAATTTGTGAAATTTTTTTCGCATTTTTTGCACTGAAAATTAGTTTTATCAGTTCCACCTAGTTTAGTATGACGAGAAGGAATAGGCTGACCACTTTGCTCTGTATTCTCGCTAGCCACAGTGCCCCCCAAGACAGAGATTTGAGAAGTTTCTTCAGCAAGCATTGTCGAACTAATTCCTGGTTCGTCGCGAAGCTGTAACCCCAGTTGTCGACAATAATCTTCAATATGCTCAGATTGTTCTTCTTCGTTTTTCTCCATTCTTAGCGGTGGCCGATTTGCGTAAGTTTGCACGAAAATATCAATAGATTTTCAACTTGTTTTTGTACTTGGTTGGCCTGTGGAAATTTTCTTCACAATGGCGCTTGTTCTATATTACGGCGGAATCCGAAACAGTCCGATATGTATCCGATATGATAACGCAAGGAAGCACGAAACGGCTATGGGGAGTCGGAGATCGGGGAACCGGTGTAACAGGGCCCTGGGTGTAACGGTGAAACTATGGACTCATCGAACAGCTAAACTAAGACTAAGAGTAATAGTGTTGACTGTTAGTATATATTATCCACATCACAGGCGTGTATACAGTATTATCGCTCTCTGCATCTGGAATCCTAATTACAAATATATTTATTGTACGTTATTATTTTGCATAATGCCAACCTGGCAACTGACAAGTGTTATTGTGAAACTTAGGCATTAATTCATATAATTTATACATCCTTTTCAGTAAAAATTAAAACTATAAATAGCATAATGGTATTGTTGTGTGGCTTTCAAAATCATGTGGAAACTATAAGCTGGTGTGTTCATTTAGTTGGAATGCAACTTTTCAATTGAATAGTAATATCTATTCAAAATATAATGAAAAATGCAACAGAACAGATGTTATATGGGAATAACATTGCTCAAGAAACTGTTCTGTGTATATAATTTTCATTTCGCTTTCTAATATGTTTTATATAATACATTATACACATGTATAATTCTGATCAGATCCATATGAATAATAGAAATTGTAGTATTTACAGTTTGGTTACTTTTTGTGTTACTTTGGAGGAACTGGAGAGTAGGAGAACAGGGGAATGGGGGAGCAGGAGAACTGGGGAACAGAGGAATTCCCCTTTCCTCCCGCTCCACATTCCTGGTTCCCCCATTCTCTTGTTCCTCTGTTCCCCTGTTTCTATGTTCCGCCGGTTGCATGGTACCTCTGTTTTTCCGCTCTCCATTTCTTCTGCTCTCCATTCCCCTGTTCCCCATTTCCCGGTTACCCAGTCTCCAGCTCTGTAGTTCCTCTGTTCCCCATTCCTCCCAGTTCCCATTGCCCATTCATGAGAGAAAGGGACACGAACTCAACGAGTGTAGAGTGTTTAGCAAAAAGACTCTGAAAAAAGAAGAAGAAAAAAAGAACAAAAGAACTGTCTGGATTACGAAAGCTGGTTTATGCGGCAGTGCCTAGTCGGTAAACTCTCATCGAGCAAAAGGATGCACTGAGGAGAATGTAAATTTTGGAAGTGTAAGAGCGACCGACATCCAACCATATTGCACAAAGACAAGGTCGCGAGACAAGATGATAAAAAAAAACATGACGGCGAGGAGAAAGACGGCGAAGATGTGTAACGCGATGCACTTCCGTTTGTCAAGGGAAATCAGGAGGACTATCCTGCAGCAAGATCTTGCTTGTAGACGTATATACCGAGGATAATCCAGAGAACATCCAACGAGTCTACACTATAGTGGAAAAACTGGAAAGATGTGTATCAAAATATCAGAACCGGCTTAGATTAGCTATAATTTCGCGTTTTAAGCAAGGACATATATATATATATATATATATATATATATATATATATATATATATATATATATATATATATATATAAAGCGTTAAAAGGCTGGTTAGTTTTTAAAATTTATTAATTTCAAAACTATACAGTTATATATACAATTACAACTTCTCGTTAGATTACTTGCTCGGTCAAGTTCGACGGGAAAATTCCCGTGTTTCTATCCAGCAGGGCGTAGTAAAACACCGGTGTTTTACTACGCCCTGCTATACAGTTATAAAAACACGCTTCTCGACCAATCTGCACGCGCGTTCTCTAAATGTTATGTTATAAAACACCTTTTTAGCCATTTAAATTCCCAATCGAGCTGGGTATAGAGTCTAGTCGCGAACCGCAAAGCAGGAAATAAGGGACAGGAAATAATCATTTGTAATCATTTGTCCCTCCAAACAATCCATAGATTCTTTGCGGTTCCCGACCAGACCCAGTACCCTGGGAAATGGCTAATGATTACAATGTCTTTTAATTGGTTGTTTTTTATCACCATGGATAGTGATTTTATTATCCATGTTATCACATAGCATTAAATAAATATTTCCATTTTACTGACCGTGCAATGGAAAAAACTATTTTCATTTCCAATAATAGTTTTTTCCATTGCACGGTCTTAGTTTTTTCCATTGCACGGTCGCTTTCACTAAATTATGCTGATAATGTTATTTTACTTATTTACCGGCTGCAAGGTTCGGATAGAAAAATATTTTACTGAGGTATCAAAAATGACCCGAGGACGCAGGCCGAGGGACGTTTTTGAGACCGAGGGGAAATATTTTTCTATCCGGACCGACCAAAACGGTAAATAATGTATTTATCTTTTTACAAAAAGCGATGTTCATTCGTATTATAATTGTGTAGTCAGACTCAGCAGTGGCGACAAAATCATTCGTTTAATTTACTAAAATTCATTTCAAAAATTAAATAAAAGATTCATTGATTAGTATAATATAATATACTCCTAGCACAGCTCTTCGGGGCCAAGGAGCGGTCAAAGTAAACCTGCAAAGAATGATGGGATGTGCATAGGATGACGAGTCAGCCTTTGATGCGCCGTATATGACCACTGTAAATGACCCTCTGGCCTTGTATGTTACCCCTAACCCTAAGTATGGCACGCACAGACACCAGGGGCGATTGTTCAAAAGCGGGTTAGCCTCTGGGTTAAATCCAACATTTGCATGAACTTTTATAATCGCTTGTTTACGAAGTTGAATATCTTTTTTCATATCTTTTTTCATCCATTTTCTGGACCGATGGAAGTAATATTTTATAAAGTTTTTAAACGAACGGTAGTTCAGAAGCACATAAACTAAAACTCTGGATTAACTTGAATTATAACCCAGGGTTAGCGCTAACCTAGATGGTTGTCAAAAATGTTGGTCAAACCTTTCAACCATTGACAAGAATTACTTGCGCTGGCTGTTGCGAGGTTGTTCTTGTATATGTATGCTCCCGAGGGAAATAGTTTTGTTTTCTCAAGAGTCAGAATGTTTCCCGAGACGAAGTCGAGGTAGTGTACATTAACATTTAAAAAAACACTTTACTTTGTCTTTGTTATGACGATATGCGGGCAACAATTTTTCACTTGTTTCCCTGGCGAGTGGCGGGAAACATTGCATTTAAAGTCATGTGACTACGAATGAACCAATCACATTTAAAATACACAGGACAAACAAAACTGGTTGATTTTGTGGTAGCATATTTACTATTTAGTCCACGCCCAAGTTGTGTGTTTTAGCATGTACAGTTGTTTGGCCGGAGAGTTTATTCCCAATCCCGCTTTGCCTTTATGGTAATTTTAACCAAAGCTCCCCCGCACCGCGTGAATTATATTTTCTGACATCCAGAGGTCATTGCCAAGGTAATGTGCACTATCAAACTAACCCGTTCTTTACAGCTTATGTTTACATTACGCTTATTACGAAATACTTGTATGCAACCGGGCACGTTTGTATCGGAAACAGTCCTTGGTTGTCGAAGATCAATATTTAGGACGAAATTCGCGATTGTTAGCAAATATATGTTAGTCTTGGTTATTTGGGTGGAACGTCGGCCCTACTTGACTCAAAATTAAATATAGGATTGGGATTTCAATTTCAGCAATCAGCAGAGTATTAGTAAGTACAAACATTGTCCGTACTTTTTGCTTTCGTTCTACTATAAACAATATTAAGTTTGATAAGCTAACATAAATAGTTATCTTGCTATCACTATCTATATATTTACTTTTTTCTTTTTTTTCAGGAAATTCGGCACGAGGAGGAAGTGTTTTCTCCCAGCCCACGTGAATGCGAAATTGTCAGTGTCAAAGCGACTTTGCCGCCCTTTATTCTTGGCAACTGTGTGGCAACTCATGAGTTAATCCATTCCAGAATCATGGATCTTTTATCGGTAAAAATCAACGATTTATGCATAACAGACGAAGCCTCTTCTCTTAAAGAATCTCTTGTGTGCTCACCGATGCCAATAGCCCAGAGAAAAGTGCCGGGATTCGAAAATGTGTTCAGTCCACATGGAAGTGGATTATATGATGTTGTACTCCTATGTGGACCGGGCAAGCATAGAATTTTCGCTCATCACGCTGTACTGGCCAGCAAAGTACCGAAACTGACTGAGATGATTGAATCGAACAATAATGAATCGTCTATATCATTGCCCTCAGTCGAACCGAGCATTGCAGAAGCATTAATCAACTTTGTTTACAGTTCAAAACTCGACTTAACACCAGATAAAGTTTGGGATGTCTCCTCCGCCGCAGAGCAGTTGGGAATCAACGAAATACTCGATTTATGTCAGGAATTCATACAAAACAGTATTTTGCCCGATTCTTGGCTGTATGGAAGGCAGATTGCCTTAGAACGGAACTCAAAGCGGTTGCTAACCACCGTGGATAATTACATATTCGAAAATTTTCCTGCATTATTACAAAGCACCGATTTTCAACAACTGCCTCGGCTGCAAGTCGAAATTATCAACAAACGAGAAGATGTTCGGTATGAAGGCGAAGGGTCAAGTGAAATTCTAGGCCTTGTAGTTGATTGGTGCAAAGTTAAGCTGAAGGTAAAGTGCCTGACTCAAAATCAAATTCTATGTACTCCTCCCGCCATTTATGCGACTTCGCGCCATAAATTGTTTTCAAAAATGTAACATGTCTAACATGTCATGTATAAAAAAAACTTCAAACGTTAGATATTTTTTCGAGTGAAATGGACAGAAAGCAGCAGGCCAGGATGATCGATATTGCTCAAGTTTCGTTTTACTGCTAAAGGAAAAACACTGTATATTGATAATCAGGCAAAAATGCCGCAATAATTTTGAAGAATGATTGTTTCACATTTGCCGTATTACAATAAACTATTGAAAATATCGGCTTGTCGTTGGATTCATTTATATAAACCGCGGTCGTTTGCAGGTCGTAAACTACCTGCGGTAATCCACATCGGGTTTACTCTGCGGACCGATTTGAAAAGGTGACATGGCCTATTTAATCCTGTTTACAAATCCCGCTACAATACTAAACCATTATTGGTTTTGAGAGGCATCTTAAAAATATAAGAGCGCGGCAACTTTATGTTTTATGCATTTAGTTTAGTAGTTTTAAAATAAAAATGTAGTTTGGATGACAGGATAGAATGTTGGAATTATCATTCCTATCGTGTCGGTCAATTATGGAGCGACAATTGTTACCCCTGTCGAACTTAATTAAAATCCGTTCCTTCCTTCGCAATTTTCTAGAACAACAAGCTGAGGGGATAATTGATAATTTGGCTACTGTTGATTCTTTTGTTAATGTTTACATGAAAAAATTCATAACTGACAAGACTGCAAGTTTTGGTTGCATCCGCTGGTTGCATCTAAAATGTCCATGAACATTTGGAAGTTTAACATTTCGGATAACACTAGAGGATTAGACATTGTATTGTCACAATCTTTTCCAGATCAGTGACTAACATTAATTTTTTTAAATTGTTTATAATTATATTCTCCATTTGTAAACCTAGGATTGTATCCGCTCTGGTGAGCTAATGAGCTTTAAATATGAACAATTACAGCACAGGAAAGAATACCCAAAATAATTAAAATAACATTAGTCACAGTAAGCGAAACAGATTACAGTTAAAAAAATTACAGTCTGTTCAATTTAAGTTTTAAATTAAGATGTTTAGAGGGCTGCCTTGATTTTGAATCCAAAATTTTGAATCTTTTCAATCCATGTCATCTATCATCAGGGACATACCTTGGCTTTCATAGGTGGAAAAGTGAATAGGCAAAATTTCGGGAATAGAAGATGGAAAGTTTGAAAATTTTTGCAACAAAAACCTCAAAACGTTTCTTATGAATAAGCTACACTTATAAACTACTGTAACTATTACAAAAAATATTAGTATTAGAATTTGGGAAATTCTAATTTAGAAACTAGACAGGGAGTGGCACCCTTCAATACCCCCTTAGGTAATGCCCTGTTAATCATCTCATTCTCACAAACCATGAATAAAAGTTGATCTAAGTTCTTATCAGTTCTTTAATTCTTTATTCAGGGGTATGGCCAGGGTTCTTGTTTGCTAGTTTTAACCAGATGCTCCACAGCCCTCTTTATAGCTATACTTCTGTGATTATGTGCACGTTTTTTATAGTATCCATTCGTTTTTTATAAACATAAAATATCACAAAGTATAAGTTAGAGTTCAAGCAGCAAGATGTCAAATAGACAGTGTATTATCTGAAGGAATTTATGACTTTTAACCACTAGGAGGAAGATTTACTTGAAGGTCTGATGGAACACAACCACCTTGTCTATCTCACAAAAGATAACATCCTGAAAGATTGCAAAAACTCAGATTTTGATGATGACCCAGACCTCATAACAGATGCTCAGAAGGAGTACATCAGGCAGCAATCAAATGAAAAACAAACAAGTCCTGCCAGATCACCAAGAAGGGCAAGAAGTTTGTCATACTCTTGGATTCAAGGTAATACATTGTTCAAAGGAGGGACTACTGACTATTTGAGTGGGGTGCAAAACAGAAGAAAAAATTATTTCTACAAACCTAAGACCTGTTTGAGCAAGCCATTCATGTAAGATTAATTACTTCTGGACATAAGTAATATGTAATTATTTCTTCTTCTTTCAGATCAGTCTAGAAGAAAAGCATTGCATTTTTCAAAGACAAGTAATTCCGGTTCAGAAAACCATTTTCAGTTGCTTGCTAGTGCTGCTGTATCAGATGGCTGCTATGTTGGCATTGCTGTGATTACTTCAGAGGTGGTCTGTATCTCAGCATATTACAATGAACAAACTATTACAAGTTGCAGCTCATCTGTTTCTAGTGATTTTTCTAGTACTGATGATATGGGACTGTCCTTGATTAAACCAATGATTAGAGGTATGAAATAGATGTTGAAATATGAGTTAACAAAGAATGAAGGGTGTTTGTAATGGCCCCATGTATAGCAGCATTGCTGTTGAGTTATTCAAATCTTTATTGAAGCATTTCACATATGCAGTAAATGATAATCTAGAGTTTTTTAAAAGCAATTTTAATGTCACTTCATTGAAAAATTTTAGCATCCTACCATTATACATTAGTGACCTAAAAATACAAAACATTTAGGTCGTTGTAGTGTTGGTGTTGAAGAAGTACACAACAAAGTCTATGCGGTAGGAGGTTATGACAGAGGACATTGTCTAAGCCTGGTAGAATGTTATGACCAAGAAAAGAATGAGTGGGTTCCAACAACATCCCTGACATGTGCTCGAGGAAGACTAGGTCTTGGTTGCCTAGGTGGTATGTGGGAAATGTATTGTTTTTAAAGTTGTTTGACCGAAAATATTACTCACCTGTCGGTTTGATTGGGATTTGCAGAAATATACATGTATATATCAGTTCAATGTAAATTCCTTTACACAGGGAAACTTTATGCAATTGGTGGCTCTAGTGGAAATTCAGAGCTCAAGTCTGGTGAATGTTTTGATCCAGAAACAAGAGATTGGTCAAAGATATCAGATATGGCAATCTGTCGCAGCAATTTTGATGTTTGTGTTCTGGATGGGAAGCTTTATGCAGTTGGTGGAACTGATGGCCGCCATGCCTTGGAGTCTGTTGAAGTTTATGATCCAGGTGAGAATTTCCTAATACACATACAATAAGCTGAAAAAGTAGTTGAATTGCTGTTTTAATTAAGGAGACCTCTATATGCTTTCAACATAAAGGTCTTTAGATCAACAAGAGAAATCATTCTGGTAATCAATTGAGCTATTAGAACAAAAACTTTTTATTACATTGCAGAAAAAAACACCTGGTCAAATATTTCCTCCATGCAAGTTGGCCGAGAGGGTGTATGTGTTGAGGCAATGAATGGTGTCCTTTATGCCTGCAGTGGTTATAGTGTTTGGCACTGTGTAGATTCTGTTGAGTGTTACAACCCACGTGAAGGCTATTGGTCTATGGTAGCATCTCTAAACACAGCCCGTCGTGGTGCAGGGGCAGCAGTGTTGAACAACAAACTATTTGTGATTGGTGGCACAGATGGCAACAATATCCTGAAGTCGGTTGAGTGTTATGATCCAGTTACAGATACCTGGACCTATGTTGCCAGTATGAACTCGTGTCGTCACAATGTGGGGGTAACCGTAATAAATGGACATATTTTTGCTGTGGGTGGCTTTGATGGTGTTGCATTTTTGAACACGTCTGAGTTCTATGACCCGGAATTAGACAAGTGGTGTGCTTTCACTCAAGTGTGACTGCAAGACCTAAAATTCGTGGTGGGTTGTTGTGTTATTGATGTGTAGGATGCTGTTCATCCAGGCATTTAATTTGCTTGATATTCATTAAACACAACTTAGTGTTGCAAGTCACACATGAAGTTGTTGGACATGAGGTGCCTTAGTACACACTTTTTGTCACAGTATAAAGCTGCATTTAGACAAGATTATGTGAACAATGTTTACCCAGAGTAATTTATTTTTTAAAGTGTGTGTGGGGGTGTAATTGATTTACACATGAACGTGTGGTTGTATGCGTACACTCTGTAGCTTGCAGTGGTGTGTATTCAATTATGTATGTATACCTTGAGTGTTAGTAGTGAAAAAGGCAAGTGTTCTATTGAGTGTTCTGTTGCGTGTTCTGTTGCCAGGCAATAGATTGTTGTTTTATTACAGCCATAGAAGGTAAAGTTAGTTTTGTTCAACCTCTTATTTGCCCAACCAAACTATATATGTAAGGTATAAAGCAAAGTTTAATAGCATGATTCATGATACATTATAATACTGTATAGTACAGTGCCTGTTTAAAGCATCATGGCATCAAAGCACTGTAGCTTTTGATGATTACAGATTTTGCTTATCAAAGGCAGGAGGGTGTAAAAAAATTTTGCTTAATCTTGAATTCAACAATAAAATAAACATCCAACGTGCTCAAGTTTGTAAAAAGTAAACAAACAATAATTTTTATTTGAACATATTCAATGTGAATATTTATCATATGCCTCTATTAAGTAAAATAACTAGGTATCTTTCACATATTTGTGCATATTGTGTAGCAAATAATACTAAAACATTTTCTGAAACATGGTCCAGTTTAGGAAATCTGTAAATCTTAATCCAACAAAAAACTGTGGACTTGACTGTCTTTAAATTTAGCCTTAATTTTTTTAGTGTTTTTTTTCAGAGTGTACTGTAATTTTATTTTGAGGTATTTTTATTGACATATTCATGTATTTATGAAAGAAATCATTGTGGTAATCTAATGTATGCTTCCTTCACATACATATATGCATTGTCCAATTACTAATTGTTCATCAACAAAGAAGTATGTTTTGTTAATGTGTCTGCGGTAACTTACTCAGATTACTTTTCTGGGGCCGGTTGTTCAGAAGAACAGAAGCATGTAACTAAAACACTGGATCAAAATTTACTCCAGGGAACAACTGGCCCCTGGTGTATATTGAGTAAAATGATTTCCAGTATAGACAATTTCTCCTTAATCAGTGGGTTTCTAGAAAAATTGTAATATGCTAACAGTTGGTACTAATACCCTTGTTCCTTTTAAATATGTCATTACAATTTCTAATGTTGAAAATAACTCTTCTTGAATGTCAATGAATATCATTTACCTAAATATGCTGAAAAGTATGCTGTTGGTAGTAAAAATGTTTGGTATCTTTTTGTAATATGTAGGTAGAAAGTTAACAAAAGTTAATTGTCAAGGGTATTGATTGTAGGAAAATCTCTTGTCAAATTTCCCTGACCCACTCACAAGACCTACTTTTATAAGGTAATTATTGACACTCCTTGTTCATATTGAATTTTTCTTGGCAGGTCAATACACTGGTGGCCTGATCAATGCAGGGTCATTTTTCTTCTGGTGTATGCCATAATAATGTTTAATAATAATGACAATGTTTTGAGGAAAACGTAATACATACTATGGTATGCTATTAAAGAAAAATGGTTGTCCAAAACATGTCATTGCAAAATTGTGATTCAACATAGCAATGGCAAATGTCAGGGAGCACTTGCGATATGACAACATCTCATGTTGAGGTTCCCTTGACTACTCATAAGTTCTACTCTAAGGTGAATATCGACATTCCAATTAAGTAGCATTGTACTTTCCTGGCAGACTCATAAAAAAACTCATTCAGATATCATGATTCAACATGGCAACTGCGAACTGTCAACATGAGCAGAAATATAAATACAGGAATATGTATAACTGAATAAGTCATAACATTGTCCATCTCTAGTCTTTGGCAAAGCAACATTTTGTAGACGAACAACAAAGCCAAATTTGAACCATTCCACAATGTCCGTAGAGCTGCTCTCCTGCGTTCATTTTCCAGTACTAATCGAATACATACAATTGCAACAAAATAGCTTGTACAACCATCAAACGCAAATAAAGGAATAAAAACACTCCACCATGACCAGGTTATGTCCCCTTCGAGTTTCATAGCAAGAAATATTGAGAATACAAGAAAACAAGCAACAAACAGCCATATTTCAAATATTGACACTCCTAACCAACGGGTGAGTTCTCGTTTTGAAAATAGCATTGTGTACTGTTTCAATGTTCAAAAACTTCACAAAATGTTCCTTTAAAAGCCCACGATTTTTAGTAGTAAAGAAATAGAATAATTACCCCAACTAACAAAATTAACAAAGGTATAATACCAAGTAAAAATGTGAAATATTATTGTGAGAAATGAAATTGAAATATTTGAAAAGCCAATAACAATGTTTCCACTTACACAGGAGAAAAATTTACTACTCTTAAAGGATTTTACTGTAAATCACTGACAATATCGAGCGTGACTAAATTTTTACTAATAAACCTAAAATTTCTATCACGAGTTAGTTTACTTTGTATCAGATGAATTTTTAATTATTGTGAAATGTGAATGGCCTTATTAAAGAGAAAACACAGTGAAAGCTATCGGAAAGAAAACGAAATATAGATGTTTTTAGTAAGGAAACATCATCGTTTATTCGTCGATTTTTCGCGTAGACGAACGTAAAATGTTCGAATTCGGAATCTAGAAGTTGCTGATTATATGATTTCAAGACTAATATGGCCGACCGGCGAGGAGTGGGCAAATTTAATATATATTTTTACTCCAACTTTTTAACATCACAATATAGAAAGTAAAGGTCATATATTATGGATATGTTCGCAAAGAAAACGGCATCAACGAAAGAATGCATTACCCCTCATAAAATAAGTCTTCTAGTTTTAATATCTGAACTCTGTGACAGGGCTAGAGAAGAAATTACTCCATTTAGAAAACATCGTCATGCGCTAATGTTGTTGGTATTGAATTTGATTCAGGCGAGTTTTTGTGTTTAACGGCTATAACATATACATCATAATGTATTGAATGGAACTTGACAATAATACGTTAATTTCAATTTAGGGAACAGATATAGAGTTTAATAAGCTCCGAAGAAAATTAGATGAAATAGATAATGAACAAGCACAGCTATCAGGATTGCTTCTTGATAGGTATGAATTGTTGATGTTTGATGTATATTGATTGCACTGACTTTATTTTACTGTGTTTTATCTGGTTTTATAGATTAAATGGTATCAGTGATGGAGAATCCAGTTTGTGTGATTTCTTCTTTCAAAATCTGGAAGATCTTCTGAATGTTGAGGAAGAGATTGTGTTGACAAGGACAAGTTTTTTTGGTAACCACTAGTGCACAGGCTCAGTTTTTTGTATTGAACCTAATGCAGGGCCTCTATTGGATTATTAAAACTGCATCAACTGGTCAAGTTTGTTAACCTGAGTTGTTTTCTACTCCAGGTCTTTTTGTGAGAAAAATGGTGCTTCTCTTCAATAAAATGACCTTTGGTCAGGTGCTACACTTGACAACATTATTAAAAGCCTACCTGCACGTACCTGTTAACACTGAATACCCGGATATGCAGTTGGATGGGTATGTTTCAGGATTTAACTTATTGCATCAAGTAAAAGTTGACCTGAGGTTTCAAAACAGAGAAAATAAAGATATGTAGAACCTTCCAGCAGCAAGTAGTGAAATCAAGAATAGAATAAAACTCAAAAGTCATGCAATATCAAATTTTTAGAGAATCCTTGCAGAATAAAATACCCATATCAAGCCGACAAGGAGAGAGTTACTTGTCCAAGCAAGTATGTTTTTTACCAGTACAAACAGACATGTACAAACAATGTACATACATATACAAACAATACATGTACAATACAAAGAACACATGTACAAACAATAATACATACATATATTTTAGACTAATAAGCAGACCTTAAACAGACATGTACATATACATATATATTTCAGACTGTTAATCTAATTACAATGTTATCTCACATTGTACACTTCTGAATCTACATTGTACATTATCTCTCACATGCAAAAATTTGTTGCCCCTGGATTACAAAGTCAACAATGTTTTACAATATCATATAGGCTGCTTTGCTCCGATCATATGAACAAGCTGCTGAAAGTCCCACCAAGCTACAAGAACAAATTGTTACAATACTACGTGGTGCCCCAGATCTTGCTGAAGCAGTGAGTTGAACTGTTTCTGCCAGTACTTTCATTTCAGCTGTAAACATCATTCGCTGAATTTTCCGTACATTTCTCGGTAGCATTTTGTTCAGTATCTCAACTGCATCCGTGTGGGTGAATTCAACCAGGCTCTGGATTGCCTATATCATTATTTTGATCGTAAACAATGGGAGGAGAGCGGCAAATCTTCAGCGAGTGGGGACGGAGAGGACGTAAAGAAAGATCGTTGTAAAAGATTTTGTTACGCAGCTTTGAACCTGGCTATCTTACACACGCATTTTGGTCACAGGTAAAACCTTGCTTCAATGTGAAAAGTTTTTATTTTGTCAACAAGATGTGCAATTGGTTCTAAGCGTGGTGGCTACTCTGCTATAAACAATAGTTCGGGATAGGAGATGGAGAAACCACAACGCCAGTTGACCTGGGCCTGACCGCCCAACCCAACTGCCCCCCCAACCCAACTGCCCCCCCTGTCTTCCCCCATACCACAAACCCCCCGGGGTTTGACCCAGGGTTGCGTCCAGCCATGCAACAAAATTCAAACATGAGCTGAACTAAATATGAAACTGGACAATATACTCGTATTTATAGAGAACAAGCCTTGACCGTGTTGCAAGAGTCTATAAGGATCGCACAAGAATCAAACGATCACGTCTGCCTAACGCATGGCCTAAGGCTGTTATATAAACTGAAACAAGAAGGAGATAGCCAAGCTAAACATATCTTGGAACGGTTCCGAATTCGTGCATCTGAACTAAAACTACGAGTAAGACATGAATTTCGTATTTGCGCCGCGCCCTTTCATGTCCGGCGAAGTGGATTAGCGCCAATTTTGGATTAGTGTCTGGATTTAACTTTATCCAACAAAGGATACACTAAGCTGTATGGGGTAGCTATAACAACTCAGCGCTGATAGTTGCAGAATGTTTCTGTCTGAGCCTGTGAGCTCTCTCAGAAGTGATGGAATGTCCAACAGTCGGATTTTGCTTTATTTTCTGTGCCAACTCGGTCCAACCCCAAACCAATCTGGATCTATCTCTTAGGGTCTCCACATGTCGAAGGCAAATTACTTACTAACGAGTAAATATTATCTCATTGTTAAAAGCTGCAGTTTATTCACGTGTTCAGATGCAATCATTGATTTCTTCTGTTAGGAACCCACCATGCATGCGAGGATGCCCTCCCGACTTCCGAGCTAACTCGCCTCTAAGAAAACTGTTGCGAAACTCAACTACCTCATTACTTCAACTTTTTTTTTCTTCCGCCATTAGTATTTGGAGTCTCTATCGTTACTTATGAAAACAAATCAAATGATTTTTGAGGGAGAACCACCGGCCAGGTATATAACTATATATTTATATCGCAATATTCTATTTCAACACGAACCGAAATTGCTTTTTGGCAGGGTTACATCTCCGGAGGGACATGTTTACCGTTACATTCATGCGTTACTTTAAAAGTATTTAATATATATATAGTCACAGACAGTAGTTGATATATATAGTCACGCTTCATTGTTACAAAATTTTTTCCCTGAATCAGTCTCTGTTGTTTTTAAGGGTCTTAAGTATTTTCAATGAATTGAATTTCTTAAATTCTGAGAAATTCTTATTGGATCTCGCCGCAACTACTCATGTACAGCAGAGTGCTTGCTTGCAATTCTATGGTCAGAGGTAATCTGAGTAACAATCGTGTTCATAGTTTCACTTTAGGGAGCAAGTAAGGTATAGTCGTGCCTAGAACTTTAAGAGAAAGAGCTTGGAAATGCTATACATTAGCTAGGGGAACTTGTTTAGTTTTACGCGTTAAAAATCTTATAGTAACCTGTAGCTATACATCGCATATCTCCTCTATTCGCCCTCTTTTTTATACAAGCATGCAGTTCTTACTCGTAGATTCATTCATTCTATTCCTAGCAACATGGCCATCTTATACAGTCAATTCCCCCTCCATCAGTGGAAGCCTTCACTGACCGCAGCACATGCTGATAAAGTCAAATGTGCTGGTATTGTTAACTCAGAGTCCAAACTTCACGCGTTATGTTTCCTTGCTTCACATATGCATAAACAGGTCGGTATGCTCATTATAGATACTGTAGTGTAATCTTCAAGTATGAACGATTATTTACCTAGAATATAATATACTTAGGGTAATTTCCATGAATCAATGAAATTGCTGGATTTTGCCAATAGTATCAGTCCGGAAAACTCGAAGGATTGCAAGGTACGATGTGTAACCTCCGAGCGCCTATTCGCTTACTATACTTTTGCCCCTTTTATCCCCGTGGTTACATGAAGTAATGGCCTACTGAAAATCGAAAATTTAAACAAGAAAAAAATGTTCAACCCTTATTTTTGTGTGAAATGTCTGTTTTCATCCCTAAAAAGAATTATGAATTATTTAAACTTAGTCTTTTGTATATCTCACATGGATATACTTATGCGTTTGATGGGGTATGTTTAGTAAATATGACTTAGCTACTATTATCTTTCCTGTGACTGATTTAAATATATTTGTACGGCATGTATCGCTACTTTCCACTCTATAACAGATATGGCAGGCTGAGAAACAGAGAATACTTTTTGACCAAGCTTTGATGATGGAAGATTGGGAAACAGCTTCAGAAACGGCTCAAAATCTTAGAGTTTTTGACGCTTTTGATTCTAATTTACGGTAAATACAGCGCTTTACAATAACTCCTAAAACCGCCTCCCCCCCGTTTTGTCTTCATTAAAATATATTAAATAAAAATTCACATCTTTGTGTCTTTTTGGCAGGAAAGCAAGACTATGTACAAAGTTAAAACAATTCCGTGCTGCCCATGAAATTACAAGAAAGCTGCTTGAATGTTTAGAGTAAGATCAGAATTCAGAATCCACCTATCTTTTCTGTATACACGGTTCCTAGCAGTATATTTTTCGTAATTGTTAAAAATTGCATTTTAGACAAAACCTAGAAACTGTTAAGGATGAAAAATCCCCAGAAGAAATGAAAGCAAAGTATGTAGAAGTCGAATTTCTTAATAATTTTCATCAGTCGTCACATGCTCATTAACCTATCTGAAATTGAAGTGATCACATGCAATCAGTGAACTCTATGTGAACTGGAACTATCACTGTTTATTAAGTTTCCGCATGCAATAGACGTTTCCCCTTTTAGCTTTCAAGCGCGCAATGCGTGACGGTAGTTGATTATCAAGCAACTTTGAGTTGCGATATTGCTCTACTTCGAAGCGATTTTGTTTGTAAGGAAACTTCGCCGATTCTTTTTTCCTCTTTGTTAAACTAAATCGCTCCTGGACATGGCGAAATCACAACTTAAATTGACACTGATAATCAACTACCGTCACGCATTGCGCGCTTGAAAACTAAAACAGAAAAGGTCTATTGATTGAAGTGAGGGGCATCCAGTGAGCTCAGACTGGAACGCTCACTCTCTGACTTCCCTCATTAATGAGTGAAGCCAAGATGGCGGATCATGAAGCCTTTCTTGTAAGTATGATCCAGGCCTCTGGCGCGGAAATTTCAAAGGAAAATTAAAAATCGCGTGGAGACCTGGATCCTACAAGAACTACAAGAAAGGCTTCAGTGCCCTCCATCTTGGCTTCAAACTTCCGACAGAGTGAGCGTTCCAGTCTTATTTGAGTTCACTGAGGGCATCACATTCACTCCATTCACTGCAACTCGAATACTCACGACGTCTTTCTCACGACGTCAAGCGCATCTGAGCTCGTTAGTATTACCACAGTGAATAGAATATACATGGTTTGGCGACTAAATAAAAGTACAATACAACTCATTAACTATGTTATTGTCCACGTTTATGCAAAAAATGGTTCCTTTCTCGTCACGTGTCTATTGTATTTTAGCCAAACGTACCAATGGCATTCGTCTTGCTTAGCTCATCAACCTGGACTTGAAAAATATATTAATTATAAGATTGCTATTGGTTTTTCTGTGCAAAATACAATAGACATGTGATGAGAAAGGAACAATTTTTTGCATAAATGTACCTCAATATAGTTTATGAGTTGTATTGTAGTTTTATGTGGTCTCCAAACCATGTATATTCTATTAACTGTGGTATTACGGAGCCAATCATGTTTTATGCGATATCATACTTTTCGTGCTCTTCAAGTCTCTTTGTTTCACTAACAGCTCATTATCATAAGGATTCCCAATCTCAGGTAAAGGAATACTGGAATACAGAAGAAACAAACATGGTTGAACGAAAGGCTATAAAATGTATAGCTGGGGGCTCTCCCCGTATTCAACTATAGTTTCGGATCATAATAAAAAATGTCGTGCATAAATTCCGCTGCCTCAGCTCTCCATGCATGATTTTGTGTCTTTTTCATGTTGATTAGTGTATTCCTAGCAGTGGCAGAGTTGTACATAGCGGCCAAAGACTATCCTTCCTCAATTACACACCTTCTCAAGTGTAAAACAATCTGTGATTCACACCACATGGAAAATTTATCAATTACTGTTTCTCATCACATCGCTGAGGTTCAGGTATATACTATATGATACTATTCCTTCACTGTCGCTAGGGTCAACTTGCGAATAATCCGAAACACTAGTTGTATTGCCAAATTTCATTACCTGTTCTATTTTGCATGATTCTCAGCTTCAAACAGGTTTTCCAGAGAAAGCGTTATCTTTGCTTTGTCAAATAATGATCAACGCACTTAGCAATGGTAAGCATTAACAATATACAGGTTGTTTCTAAGAATTTGATATCAAGTGTAAATATTCTATTAACTATAAACAGTCTTGATATTGAACAACGTAAGATTTATTTCTTGATTTAAAAGTTAAATGAAAAAAGGCAAAAAGTGACTTTCGTGCATCGCATTGGTTTATTTTGCCCAGTAAACTCAAGCACAGACTTCAGTATGTCGTGTGTGAGTCAGTGTGACTTCATCGTAAATATCTACAGCTGTTTAAATATTTCTTGTTAGGCTCTCTGCATACGATATGTTGTACAAAGTTCCTCTTGACGCGCTGCCAACTTGCACAAAGTGAAGGTTGTTGTAAGGACGATAGAAAAGCAGGTTAGATTATATTTCATTAAGTTTTTTAACTTTTTATACCAAGGAAAATTTCATGATTGCATTGCAGAGTAATTTAGTAAAATTATTCTTCCTGTGTTCTTTGCAATTACTACTATAAGTACTATAGTACTATATAGTACTATATATACTAGTATAGTGCAAAGTACTATAAGTTAAATTTACTCTGTTTACTTCTTTACTGCTCAATTGCAAAGCATCATGTACCCAAACCTTTCAAAATCCTTTCATTCTAGTGTTGCTATCAATATTACCCACACTCGATTCCATATTAAAAGGCTTCAAGCAGTTGTATGCTGCGGCAGAGATACGAGAAGTTCTCCTTTTTCAGGTATTTTTGTCGGATCGATATTTAAACGTTTGAACTGACCAAGCAAGCTACGTCATTATCGCCGTAAATTCAACATGGCGAAATTCTCTTTTTCGTTTAAGGCTACGTTCACACAAGGTCTCGATCGAATTTGAGACCAATAATTTGAGGCCTCTAAATTGCCTTGTTCAGGTGTTCACACGGTGAAAACGAGTAAAACATGTTCTGCGCGTGTTCACACGAGGAACGGTCTTGAATTCGTTTGTTTCGTGTAGCCTTTTAAATCCTCTGCGGTCAAGATATGCTTCAGCACACACAATGGTAACAGCGACAATGATTGAATGCGATCATTGAATGCAATTGAGCGTGATGTGAAGAAGTGGCTAAGTTTGATCATGTCATGTGAAAACTCGCCTTTGTGTTGTTTTGCATTCCCGCTCTTTGGGACGTTGACGTCATGACGTTCAACGTTATGACGTAATGTTGTGAATAAAAAAATTATACTCCACGTTATGATGATGATGTCATTCCATTCCGTTCATGGCTATTAGCCAATGAGAGGCTGGGAATCGTTTGAAATAAACAATATAATGACTATTTTTTCAAATCGGTAACAATGTCATGAACGAAAATAACTACAGCGACTCTCCAGGTTTTAGGTGCATGACATGACATGACAAATTTTTATACCTGGATAATAAATTTATTTTTAGGCTTTTACCTACAATGAGTTGGGTTATACAGAGAAAAAGAACCGATGCTCAATGGAGTTTCGCGCAATTCATACGTCAGACAATAAACCAATCATAAGAAGAGTTTCAACATTGTTACAAACTGAAGTTTTATAATGAAGATACAACGACCCATCTCAATTTTTTTTATTTGTCTTGTGTATATAAGATTATATAAGACTGTGAATAATATCCCAGCCTCGATCCCAGCCCTGAAGGTCTGTTCAACATTTGCAATTTTTCGAATAGTTTTGAATGTTCTGACGTATAAGTGCCCTTAATTTGATTTGATCATGCGTTACTCCACCCCTGGTTACTCCTTCACATATATCCAAGGAAAAAAATCGCAGCAAAACCTGGTATTCATTGTCTGAGGCCATATTTACACGTTGTTTATTTGGAGAATGACAGATTACTATAATGAAAACTATAGAAAACTATAGACTAAACGTTGCTGTTTAAACTATACTTTTATTGTCTCTTATCAAAGCATTGCTAATTGCTTATAATGCATTTGACGTTCGTGTGACCCCAGAGGTCGAACGTCGTTTTCTTATTGGCAGTTTGCCCCACTTATTTTCTCATAAAACATTAATATTCTGACAATTTGAAAATCAAAATAATGATTATAGAAACACGACTTGGTCGACGAGAGGTTGAAACGTCTATATTCGATTATTTTTCAGCCAAACGATTAAAACTAGTCCAACATTTAAAAACACAGTCCTCCAATAACTATGAAGTTTCTGACATCCTGAGTAAGGAACTGGTGATACAACAAAATGTAATTTTTGTGTGTCAAACAAACAATTAACGCTATCGCAATAATAGTCATATTCAATAGTTATCAATTTGTTTCCAGTAAAACATTTCGAAGTGCATGAAGTCCTATTTTTATAGGAGCTGTCGGGATGTTTTGTTAACTTCAAACTTCTGTAGGATACACAAATTTCTCGACCATAAAATTTCACTAGTAAAGCGTATCCATTCATCTTATAATTTAGATCTGTTTCGCGACCTTTTCTTAAGGTTGCTTCGGTAATTTTTTTTCCACATTTTACCTCCGCTTTTGAGCTGTTCCAAGCCAACTGATAACAAAAATATACCTTCACATGAACTGTAGTTTGCGGTCCACTCCTAGCTTGAAACGGCACAGGGCACTTCTTGGTTACGGTAAACGTTACTAAGAAGGTCAGCGTTAACTGGATGGCGAGAGTTCCCCGATACAGCACCATACTGTATGTGGCAGGATTTGGCAATCAGCACGTCTCACTTAAAATCCCTATAAAAAAATTGAATAGGATTTAGTCAGTATGAGTTGTTGAGAGTTCATTTAGGCCTGGTTTTTATTATTGACAGTCAGCAAACTATGTTCCCATGCATCGTCAATCTTTCGATATCTACACACAATAGCCGACTGTTGTTTGGACTGTTTGACCCCGAGAACAACGGCAATTTCAGAGTCGATCTTTTCTGCTCGAAGTTTTGCCTAAACTCTAAAGTTTGCAATTCATATCTTTGCAATGAATGAGTCAATAATAACTTTGCAATTTGCGTCATAACAACGTGATGTATAAAAGTAACTGATGAAAAATATCTTAACCGCAATATTTTCGGCGGTCTCGAACGATCTCAAAAGAAAAAATTCTAAGCGATTTCTCTCAGCACTGCATATTGATTGCCCAAGCCCAGAATTCATACAGTTGTGAAAATGAGAGACTAATGATGATAGATTCTTGTAATAATATTTGTCCGGTACCTGGTGACAGCGACTCGGTAATCAACCAGACACATAAATTTCATAGAAAATGTACACAACAATAACTCAATGTTTATTATTCTTATCAATAACTATTATTGGTTTCGAATGAAGTTCTTTTATGATAACAATAAATGAAAGACATTTTGGATTTTTGGGATGTTTATATCTCATGCCCGCAAGACAAAGACACCCTAGACTCGACATGATGAATTTTGTGGGGCATGAATGCTAGTCGCTACTCGCTAGACCATGAAGGGCTAACAAATGGTTTAGAAAATACAATTAGTGAACAGCTGTGGAACTTAATCACGTATATAACGATTGAGATCTGTTATTACCTTCGCTTTGTCTTGATATATTCTATGACAGCATTTTTATCTCTTGTATTTTGTCTATTGGACGCTGAAAATATAAATAATATTGCTGCAGGGCCAGATGATACCCGTGACTGAGTTCCTTCTCTCGATCTTAAAATGTGACAAGTATTTACACTTGCTAACTTTTTCGTTCGCCTTGTATATTTTAGACAATTAGCACACTACAATCCAGAGCTCAACGTGCCAGTCAGAGTACAGTTAAACGTAATAAAATTTATACTTCTATTGTCTCTTATGTTAATTCCACCGAAAGATATTTGACGTTCGTTATGACCCGGAGGTCGAAACGTGACGTGCTTTTGCTCGGCAAGAGGTCGAACTGTCAGTGCAGAAGTCAGGACGATTGCCTACGAACGTCATCTTATCGAAAAGTTTGCCGATCCTGACGATAAGGAGACTGACAAAATTTTAGCCTGAATGAAATATGATTTTAGTAACACGACATCTGATACTGCACGCATTTATATGGAGGCTTGTTTACAGTCAAATCAGGGTTTCTGTATTTCTTTTTCCTGCAATGCTGCAACATTGCCGCGAATATTGCGATGTTTATTTGCTAATTGCCAGGGCAATCCTACTGTTGTCAATCTCAAATTGATTACGGTATACGAGTTGTTCACGGCATACGAGATAACATACAATGGAAATATTGAGATCAACAAATTTGCATTTGCGAATGAATATTGTAATATTCATGGCAATGTTGCACAACTGCAACCTCGCCTACGAGGTTGGCACAACTGTGGGGAACAAAACACGTGATTTGGGGTCTGGGCTGCGAACTGATGGAGCATATCAACTCCCTGGCTACGAGATGATTCTGTAGGTGTATCACAATTGCTTTCATAATGGTTGACTTTTCATTCTTGTTGCCTGAATTTCATTGTCGCCTAATAATATTGTAGATATAGTAACCGACTAACCCTAACTAAATTAACGAGGAAAAGTACACGCAGAACAAAATCTTTTAAATCCAAAAAAGTGGTGACTAATTGTATTGTAACGTCATATTTAAACGTCATATTGAAACGAAGGATATTCTAATGACTAGTTGATGTAAAAAGGGTTATTTAACCACTATAAGCAACAATTTGCGCGAAGCGGCTAGCTTTCACACTGGGAAGGAAGAAAAAAGCTTGTCTTTGTTTGCATCCAAGAAGAGAAAAAGTTAAAATCCTTGTGCGTGACTTGTGGGAGGGCTTTTGCTCAAAACGTTGGAGTCCTTCGAATTATGTTTTCGAATGAACTCAATGAAGAGCTTCTAATCTAATAGCTGAAATCTTGTTAGTGCTTCATTAGAAGATGTGATTTATCCACGACTGATGAATGATATGGCCAAGTTAGATGAATTCCAAGGTCAGGTTAAAAATACTTGTTGGAAACGGTCGAAACGGTTAAAATTTTATTCATTCGGATGCGTTATTTAACTGTCAGTAACGCATATTTGGCTGTTGAAATTGGTCAACTATTTTTTTTGCTCTAATATTAGGAGCAGGCCCGAACAACTAACTTTTTTGGTCGAGATTGCACCCGGTGAAGTGTGTAATAAATGATAAATCCAAACTCCGTAGAGTTTATAATCTTGAAGACTAAAACCATATAAAACAAATAAATATTGTTTAATATCTTAATTTAATTAAGGTGGTCCCTCCTAAAAGACGCAATCGATTCAATTTACCGGCCCGCCCCGGAGAAAATGGATACTGTGCCCATTTCAGGCTCGCAGTGCCAACAAATTGACTGCAGTATAAACGGGGCTGATAAGAACAAAATTGAAGACCCATGTTGGAAACCCATCATCCCTTACGCTCCCAGAGTTGAAGGTTCAAAGGCCAACTAATTCAATCATCTGTATGTTCAATTATGGTGACGTCATATATAGGACGAAATTGTCGGCTGTGAATGGGAGGTGTTCCGGGTCGGGAAGTGCACAGTGTTAGTTCAGTTACAGGAACAATTTGGGAAAAAACACCTGTCTAGGTCATGCTTGAAGGACCTCAACTTGCCCTCGTAAGAGAGTTCAATTTCCCCGTAGTAAAAGTCGACGTTTGTATTACCACTAAAACATTAAAAAGTATCATCTTTCGTGCTCATTTAGTATAAAAATTAATGTATGAGCGACTAGCGTACGAGTATGAAAACAACACTGATTTGTATGATTTTTTGTTGACGTCGCTGTCACTGCATAGCCATTGACATCATTATTGAGATCCACCACTTCGCCTCGTTTTAATGTCTCTCTACTTGACGGTTTTTGATAAACAAGCAGGTTTTTTGCTTCACGTTGCTTGAAAACATCGAAAAAGTGAGATGCACAGATCCTTCAGCTCCATGGTGTTTGGTATAGGGTTCAGATGAACGGTTCAAGCAAGAACAGGGGGACAAAACAGGAACTCATAAACCGGCGCGATGAGAACAATGCGTGAACGTCACAAAGCGGATACGAGGAAGCTGGGTTTAAGCCTGATTCTCATATGTCACCGACGGTCGGCGATGTATTGTTTGTGGTCGTTGACGAAGAAATTTATACAAAATAAGAAAGCACTTTATTCTCCAGTGATCACCGACAATAGCCATCGCCGACTGTCGGTGACATATGAGAATCAGGCTTTTTAAAGGGCCAATCATAGCAAATACTGAAATATTAAATAATATCTTTATACATGACTTTAAGTTTTCATATATATCCTCCTACATACATTTCATGATATATTAATTGAAACAAATCGCACAAGATGCAATTCAACAGACATGTGAGCAAGACAAAATATTGCATGGTCATTTGTTTATCAAGATAATGGTTATTACGTCATTGATTACATCCTAGCTGTTTGTCAAGATAATGTGGTTATTACGTCATTGATTACATCCTAGCCTACGTCGTATACCCATCTACGACGTACGCTATTACATCCTGATAACGTCAAAAAAAGGAAAGGAGTTGAAAAGGCATAATACACAGAGCATGGTATTGTCTATACACCGGAGGCCTAATATTTACTCTTGTTAAATTGATAACTATATATTTACGCTACTTCTTTATGTATCTAACATCGTATTTAAATTACCCCTAAAATCGTTCTCTGGAAACACACATATATAAAGCGTTCACAAAAAAACTATCTAATAATTTTGAAAATATAAAAAGCATAGCGTTATCAAGATGTGAAATGGAAAATACCATCTCACATCAGTCCAATCTTACCAATCGGGCTTGTGGATATAAAAGTATTTCATTGCCTTTTTATCTTATTTTACTTTGCGCTGCTGGTAAAAGAACTAAATAAGGTAAACCAATAAAACCATGATAAAAAGTGGGCCTGAAATTAACATACATTGGACCATGTTAACTCTGAGTCTTGCACTTCTTTTTTCTATTTAAACTTCAATGTTGATTGTGGTTTAGGAAAAGACGGTATATCATATGATATTATGATTATTATTGTCTTGTCCAATTCTGTCATTGCAAAATAATCTAAATATATCAAAATCAAAAAAATTCACACCACACAAAGGCACACATAGTATGTCCCAAAAAACCTTCATATGTTTTATTCTGAATAACATTACAAGAACCATACTTAAAAAGCATCTAACACTGTTTGCCATAAAGAACGGTTTTAAACAGCGTTTTCATAAAGAAAGTTTAGATCTTGAACATCTTCAAATTAACACATGAAGTGGGAGATTTGTAATTTCCTAGCTTGTAACATAAGTTCTACTGTAATTTTTCTTTCAGAAACTCTTCCACACTGTCTGTATTCCACTTGTCTATACTGAAAACAAAATAAAAAAATATTAATAAACATGTTTGTTCACTAGCTAACCCAGTGATTTAGTATTCAAACTAATGATCAGAATATGAGCACATCGATCTGGTTGCATTTTTTCGCTAATTGCAAAAGTTGTAAATACCTTAATTCCTCTTTCATCTCTCCATTGCTATTATACAATTTCAAAACAGGATCCTTGCCTCGAAGATACTATTTGGAAAGAACGGAAGCATATTACAAGGGTAAATAATTATAGAGATGAATACATGTGCTGGCAAGTATATACCTTCACACTTAGGTTTGGAAACTGATTTCGCTTTTCGCCTCTCACAAATGCTGAAAGAATAAAAATGATGAGAAAAATATTGAACTAATAATTAGCAACGATTTAACTAAAAGCTTTTTCCAATAAAACCTTGAATTTGTGGGAAGCGACCAATTTTTCAGTTACACACTTCAAGAACAGCTGATGCATACTAAATAAGATAGAAAAGCATTTTATTACCATTTTCTTTGGGGACAGTGGGACACCATATTCTCATAACCAAAATTTTTATCATATTTTAAATTGATTATTCGTGGGGAGAAGGTGGGTGAAATTAAAATTCCTATTTTTGTCTAAATCTGATGAAACTATAAACATAAAGCGTATGAGGAAATTTTTTAGATCAAACCTTTTCGACCATCGTTTCATTTTGGTCTGCCTGACAACATCCCTTACAATTGTCAACAAGTGCATCTAATTTAAACTGTGGTAATTCATCGCATGTACTGCATAAAAGATTCGGCGTAAACCCAAGAGAACGGCATTCCTCAGCAGTCAATTCAGCGCTGAGACACTGAAGAAATGATATAAGAATTGTCGGGAAAACCCAGACGCTGGAAGCCTCCTTCGGCCACATCATTCAAAGATGAAGAAGAATGCGCTCAGTGCGTACTTACATGACGTTTCAGGAATTCTTGGTGCCAGTCTTTTGAACGAAGAAAAGGAAAAAAAAGTTTTTTACTATCTTTTTTATTTATTTTCAGACTTTCAGTTATCACACGAGATTTTTATTATTTTTCACAGATGTGAAATGATTATTGACATGCATATTTTAAGTTAGTAACTGAATCATCTGAATATTCCTGGGATTCTTTCCGATGTAGTAAATATGGTGCACGTGTCGAGACAAATGGAATCAGAGGTGAGTTCGGGTGAAAAAATGGAATGAGTGAATGAATTGACATGATGTATAACCCCGCTTGGAAGTTGTAATTACCTGCTAAATTTATTGGTAGAATGGAATGGAAGGTAATGAACTGGAGTAGGCACAATGCAACAAAAACTACAAGCTATAATTAACACAGTTATACATAGGACACCACATATCCATACCACATAAGCAGGAAGTGTTAAGTCCCATGCGCCAACCACTCACACTGCAAGCAATGCGAGCACTTTTTGGGTTTTACAGATGTTAAATGGTGTTGGTTTTGGAGCACCAAAGAATTGCTTGTGTTTCAAGATGTTTCTTTTTAGATTATACTATATTTTTCATTTTTGTTTAATTTGAAAGGTCATCTTTACAAGTTCACATCATATACCTGACTTTTGTAGAATCTTTTGCAAGAAGTTCAGTCATTTGTTGTTCCGAGCAAAGGTCCTGGAGGAAATGTGAACATCTTAGAAAGAACAAAAAGTGCTATTGTTTTGATGAGATGTTTGCCGTGTGCTCGGGCTGCAGTATTGGAACAGATACGTGACATTTTTCAAGAAGCTGTGCATAAGCATATTATTGAAAGTGACAGACAAGATTTGTTGGGTAAGATTGGTGAAATAGGATTTCTGGAATCAAACCTAGGTATAACTCATATTTTTACATTCTGTAGGTTCTGGGGAGAAGGCAGAGGTTGATCCTGAAATATATGATGTTATCCAAAGTATTCATAATACATTGTTAGAGTTTATCAATAACAATCCAGATGCTTGGGCACCAATTGTCACTAAGGTAAAGTGTGTACAAACTGCAAATAAACTGCAAGAAAATACAAATGACTCATGCATACTGCATGATAATCAAACTGGAGCCAAGGTACAAGAAAGCATCCAAAAAAATGCAGTCTGTATAACCTGTCTGTGAACTACAAGCAGATTGCAAGTAAACTGTGGTAAGCAAAGTGAAAACAGCCTGAAAGTATAAAACTGCAGGCATTATGCAAACAAACAGAAAACAATCTGGAATAAAAAACAAATTGAGTAGTGCATGCTGATTGCATTCTTTTGGAGTGATTTACTTCCAGTAACAGAAGACTGTCACCCAGTTCCTTCTGTTAGTCTATACAATGCATTTTTTAACTTGATTGCTTTCAATTTATATATGTAAGCTTTCCTAAATTTGTTGATTTTAGTGGTCAGTTTATCTTCTTGGTCAGTTGAGTGCAAAATATGCAACGCAACGTGGTACCAAAACAAACACTTCACTGAATGAAAAATTACAAATCTGGTTGACCTGCCCTGCTGCTCAAATGTTGATGGAAATTTCTGCTCATTGCTTCACAAAATTGTATGTGGGAACTTGTGACATAACATGGCATTCTTAGGATTTTCTACCTCCTCTTAACTGGGTTAATTCTGTATTATTTTAGAATAAACACCAACCCTGATATATGTATCAAGTGTCTATTGGATTCTGCGGTTCAACACTCTCCTCACTTTGACTGGGTTGTTGCTTACATTGGGTAAGTATTTATGCTTCTGGTGTAAACTATAAACAATGGAAATTGAAAGAACACAAACAACTCCAAGGGGGCTGTTTCTCAAATAAGGGATATGGCTTTATGCTGCTATTGTTAGCATATACTGTTGGCAGTGTTCCATGAATTTCAATACTTTATCTTCTATTATTATGAGCAAGCAACGAAAAATCTTAAGTAGTTCTTTAAAATTGATATCTAAAAGATAGCGCAAATTAGGACAAAGCAAATAAGGATCAAGGACTAATTTTGTCATGGAAATGTTGAAGACTACTATGACATTTAATATATTCAATGTCAAGGAATTGACATATTCCTTTTCTCCTTCTTTTTTCAGTTCATATTTCCACAAATCTATCATTAGTCATCTACTGGCATGCGCAATGGACGAGTTTTATAGTGATAAACCTTGCGACGACGAATTTTCTGATCTCTTTCAAACAGCAATACGAATTTTGGACTATTTTGCACAAAAATATCCAGATGAAGTGAGAAAGGCTGTTTTAGCTATGTTTCAGGTTAGTGTGATGTGCTTTGGTGTGGGAATGCAGGTATGGTCCAGTGTGCCAGACCAGTGTGGTATTGTAGATAGATGTGCGCTGGTTAGCGGTCTGGGGCCGCTTGTATGAAAGCCGGATAGCGCTATCCACCGGATGGTCATTTTTTCAATCGCTTTCAAATCGCCCGTTGTTTGCTATAACTTTGATTAAATCTTTTTATTCGTAAATTGAGGATCCTCTTAAACAATTTTCGGTTCCAAAGCAGAAATTTTATTGTTTCCAAGTACTGTATTTTTAGAACGGTTGAAAACGTCACTATCCGGTGGATAGCGCTATCCAGCCTTCGAACAACCGGCCCTTGTAATGCTGTGATATGGTGTTTCCTGTGTGGTACATGATTTGCTATGATAGAATGGTAGTGATATTTAGTTTTGATTGGTATCGTATATTGGATGGTAATTTATCGCGCTGCATGGTATAATGCATGATAGAGATGTTTAAACCATGGTGTTCTACAGTATGTTTTGCTACTCTAGGAAAGCATTGCCAACACGGAAATGACCAAACCAAAATGGACAAAGACTAAGACCCAACCATGTTTGATTCCATTCTTCATTCAACTTGGTGTAAACGCTGCAAATATATTAAATGTCATAGTAGTCGCCTTCCTTGAACAATGTAAGCATTGAAAAAACCAAGAGAAATATAAGTACATTTTTAACCATACTCCAGTTAACTTAATTTTTCTGCACTCTAGTACACAATTTAAGAAAAAGAAACTGAAGTAGACGATGTCTTAATTTTCTTTTAGTAACTCCAGACGTTATGCAAATATTACATCGCCAGTTGCGAGATTGGGGGTCATCTCCTGGTAACCATCCACCAAGGTAATGAAGAAAGTTTTACTGCATTGTATTGTCTCAATACAAAAGGTATTTGAAAAGGTCAAAAATTAGCCAAACAATTTCGACATTTTGAGGAGACGGCTCTTTCAGAGATTGTAAAAACAACAAATTATTCTTTACTCTTATTCATAAGGAAAAAATTATTTCATGCAAACATACTCGTATGTCTGAATTGAATCTGAATCGGATCGCACCCCACTAGAATTTCACCCACCACAGCTTATTCTCTCTCCTATTTATGGCGCAACGGAATCTTTCTCTCTTTCAGTTTGTTGTCATCCATTGTCGGCCTGGTGATTTCTCTAAAACATGGCTCGTTTAAGACTTTTCAGTTTTTCCTAGCTGTATCAGCCCATACTACAGGTTTGTTGATCTGGGGCCAAGGGCCGGTTATACGAAGGCTGGATAAATCCCCCGTTGTTGGATATAATTTTGATTAAATCTTAGTATTTCTAAATTGACGATTCTCTTTAATAATTGTTGGTTCCAAAGCTGAAATTTTATTGCTTTTTAAGCATTTTTAGAACAGTTGAAATAATCACTATCCAGGAGATAGCGCTATCCACCCTTTGTACAACCACCCCCAGTTGTATAAAAGACTATATATAGGGACAGAATTGGCCAACCAGAGTCGTGTATTTCTAAGTTAACTAGGATTTAACTATGCAAAATGTCGTTGAAGAGTTTTATACAACCGGCTTCTGAAATGTGTCCTCGGACATGTCGCAGCGCTCGGAAGCTTTCGTCCAATCGGATAATGCTTTTCTATGCTTTCTAAAGAACGAAGCTATGCTATTGGTTGAAATAGGAATGTATTGTAAAGTTTAGCCAATGAAAATCATTCTTGCGAGGAGCTGCGACCCTACCCTGTCCTTGTACTACAGGATCATACTTTTTTTGCTTTTATGTGCTAGTTAAAAAATTGTTGTCAGTGAATCAATACCTCATTAAGGTGGACTAGATAATTGCATGATTTCAACATGTGTATGTATAAAATTAACTTCTATGATTATTTTCTCATCCAAGATTCGACCGATGGTGTGGAAATACAGAATGACATACGCTATTATAGTGCTTTAATATTGGTAAGGCAAGAATTTAACAGTTTTTTCACGAAAAAATTTGCAAAATTTGCATTTCACGGGAATTTGCAAAGAATCTTATGTTACAAGTATATATTAAAAGTTCAAAGAATCTTATGCCAGTGAAATATCGTTGTAGGAAAAAGTGTTTATTAGCCTACATCGTCTGGTAACGAAAAACCATCGAGCAGAGTTTGCATCTGCTGACGGAAAGGGGACTGGGTCTAGTGCAAATAAGGATTCAAGCAATGATATTCCTTTTCTGAATGAGTTAAAAGAAAAATGGAGGGAACTTTGCGATGAGATGTTGAAAGCTGATGGACAAAGGTAGAAACGCCGCTTGATTCTTACTTGGTCGCATGAGAAAATTATTTTAGTTACTAATGTAGTTACTAATGTACTACTAAAGTTAGGTTTTCGCTAGGATCACCCGCTTGTTTCTATATTAATCAAAAGAACCATGCTAGAGGCCTATTGGAGTTCTAAAAGAAAAATTTTAAAACTAGAATTTCCGGGAAAACTATTTTGCTGCATATAAATATAAAATTGAATTTAGGCTTCCTGTCTTGAAGAACAATTAGGCCCAATAAATAGAGATGTCCTATGGTCTTTAGACAGATTAAACTGATAGAGCTATTATTGTATTTTGTTTACTTTAGATCATATCTTCAGTTGGAGTATCTTAAAATCAATGCAGGCGTATTGATCTAACATCAGAACATATTTCTTGTTTTCTCAGGTCATCTTGGTATCTCAGGTTGTTATCTCTTGTGGCAATCTACTCAGGAACATCTGCTTGCGTCGAGATATTTAACTATATTGTTACATTCAAACCAACTGGTCAAAATGTAAGTCAACCGTGTTCGAAAATCACAATATGGAAATACTGTGAAGCTAAACACTTTGGACGCCTTTTAATAAGTTTGTACGCACTCTGTCCCCTCACAATATTTTCCTAAGTGAAAATATCTGTTTTAGTTGTCATTGTATGTGGAACTACAGAAGGAAGTTCAAGCATTCTATCCAAGAGCTCCTGATCTGGCTGTGTCAAAATGCTTGAAGAGAATCTCTATCAAATCCTCTCCTAATATTTTAACTGAGGTAGATCTGGAATTTGCTTTTCGATTGCAATTTCAGGGGTGTTTTTAGCGCGTGTACTTTTCATCTCCGAGTTTGGAGCACAATTCGTACAATATATATGAAGTATATGGTTATAATTTTATCTCAGTTTTTTTATCACTTTCATGTCAGGCGATTGCTTCTAGTTACTTTGTTGGCACAGCGCGTCGGATACTGTGAATTAACCAAGCTCTTTTCGCAGGTACAAACAATCCTAGAAAATTTTTATCAACTCATGAAAATGGAAAAGATCGTTGGACAGGATTATGCAGGGTGGGTTGATTTCTGAAGCCTAGGGTTATACGTCGCATTTTCGTTGCGTCGAATGCAATTCAAACAAAAGATAATAAGATGGCAATGAAGGTTGATGAGGTTTATCGGCTCATCTATTTTTTGAAATTTTTTGCGACGTGTAACCTAGGCCTGAGAAAATTAGATTGAAATTTTGAGATGGAAATATAACATGACTTTACACAAAACGATTTTGCTTGTCAGTGGTCAGTGGTAAAGTAGTAAGATGTATGAAAACAGTGTGACGATGGGAGAAACGTTTAATATATAAACAAGCGACAAGAAGTATATAAAGGCCAATTTCCATTCAGTGCAAAATGGCCTATCTTTAAAAGGGGGAACAGGGAATATCGGGAAATGGGGGATACGATTTTTTGCAATCGCTTTCTTTTGAAATGTTTGAAGTCAATCTCGTCTAATGGGATTTAAATAGTTCCGTCTGATTGTCTATATTTCAAAGGAAAGCGATCGCAAAAAGTCGATCGCGCGACATTTTGCACCGCATGGGAATCCGCCTTAAGGGAGGAATTTTCACTGCTTTTTCCTTGTGTTATAGAACCAGGTTTTACTGACTTTACACTCTCGTTATTTTCTTTGCACTTTTTCACAGCTTACCAAAATGTACAGTCTTTTGATTAGTCTCTTTTGATTGTATTTTTTTAGGTTTTCTGTAGGTCGTTCTATGAGGCAGCACACTCCGTTGCTTGTTTCATTTCTTCCTTATCCCAACAAAGTGATATCTTCAGTAACGCTCGACCTCCTTATCGCTCTCGGGTTTCCTTTCATTGCGTTCTCTGTTAGCGAAAAAATTAGGATTGTGAAGACATGCGTGAATTTCTTCTTTAAGTTGCTTCATCAGTACAATACTGCTTGTCAAGAAGGAAGTAAGTTTATATTCATGCATATATATATGTTAGAATATGTATAGGTATATATGATTAACTAGCTTATTTGCACTTCAGCTTTAGCAGTTTTAAACAGTTCTCAATGAATGTTTAATGAGAGCAATGACACTATGTGTTCTTAAATCATATTACTGAGAAATAATATAACAAATAGCCAAGTTGCATAGTATAGACTAACGCCCGCACTCAAAAAGCTCACTCACACTCATTGAGTGTCACACTCATTGAGTGTGACATATAAATTTTGTTCATGCTGGTCAATGAGAAAGGTAAAACACTGAAAATCAAGCCCTATTCGGTTGGAAATACCACCATGGAAACGTAATAACAAGATTAAAATCCCCCATGAGTGTGAGTGAGCATTTAGAATACAGGTGTAAATCTCAACTGTTTGAAAGAGAATCCCAAGTTTAGTACATTTACGAAGTTTGTCATCGGCTCTTGCATGAGCAACCCACAGAAGAAGTTTAGTCCAGGTCCATCCGTTTTTTGTCCGCTGCTAATTTGTTTGTATATATAGGAGAAGGCATGTATTTATACTGGCCAACTCTTTTTGCTTTATGAGTCTGTGCTTCCTAAAGATTTAGCAAGGTCCGTTGGGTCCGATGATATAATACGGAATTAGAACTAGTTTGAACTCCATAAGTCATTATACTCGAATACTGACGCTGTTTTTTTATTGGATTATGTTTAGATTACGATGCGCGATATTATTGTTTGAATATGCTAAAGAAATACCAAGTGCTTCTGTCTATTATTTGCCGAGACGAACCGTGTCAAATTTTGGCCATTCGATATTTCATGGAAGATTCTTTTCATCAGGAGAACAAGATGTTGTTTTGCAAACATAGTAGAAAACGTAAGCAAAACCTAGTAGAGGAAAGAGAGCTGATTGGAATACAGGCGATGCAGTTGACAACTAAACAAATTTCACTTTAATCTTATAGCCAGAGAAAATGAAGAAAAGTCTGACACTTCATTGTTTGATAAAAATATCACACCTGGAATTTCATCTCGACTGCCTCTTAATACAGCCTCAGTATTTTATCTCGGTGTTATTGGCAAAGGAAAAAGATCTGATGAACAGGAAATATTACAGGTGTTTAATTACATATTTTGTGTATAAACGTATATTCGTGTTACCCAAAGATATTTAATGAGTTGTAATGCTTGATGAAACCTTAACATGATTTTATTCTTTCTCTCTTCAATAACAATAATGTATAACTTTATTTATTTCATTTTTTAGATCTTTTCACAGAGTAACTCTCAAATTTTCCTCCAATGCATACATACAATCTGTCATAGTTCCAGGCCGCCGCCAAACCCTGGCCCGATGGAACCACATAATGTGAAGATTTTTGGAACTTTAGCATTTTCACTCCGAGACCTTATGGTGTTAGATGGGTCTTTTGACTGCAATACGTGGCCCGATGAAGACACTATCAAATACTCCATTGAAAGGTAAACTAGACAACCTTTTGTACAACAACTAGACAAATGTATTGATAACCTTGTTTCCTTGTTTACAGAGATGTTAAACTACGTAAATTGTTTGACGAGAGTGAAATATTTTGGCATTTGTTGTTCTTACTTGCAGAAGGTAAATTATCTCAAAAAGTCATGGTTGGATACTTGGTGGGTTCCCCATGTCTTACAGGACAGACAAATGCTCAAACATGATCTTAGTAGTACAAAGCACACTCTTCTTTTTCTCTCCCGATTGTATTCATATATTAATTGGCATGATAATACTATACACTGTTATATGTCTATATTGCAAATAATTACCCTAGCTCTAGGCCTAGTGGGATGATACTGAGATCTTGGCCAACTTTCATATTTGCATATTTATATTTACCCTCATCACTGCAGTTTTTTTCTTTCAGTTCCCCATGTTCTTCTCAACTGTCTGCCAATCATCCATGGCTTATTTTCATCGATTCTCAAATTCTGGGAACAAAGCAGAGAGCCAACAGTTGACTGTCCCAGTCAACTCTACGCTTCAGTTCAAATGATGTCTATATTTAGGAAGGCGATGTGGTTACCTCGACCGTTATGTTTTGTCGGAGATATTTTTCACATTATATCACCCAAGGAAATTCACAAACTTCTTGGGACAATATGGGAATTTTTTAAGGTAGGTTTCATTCAATTATGTCACGGGGAAGCTATGTGTGAAAATATCGGAGAAATGGTCGAAATACTCAATACTTTTCACCCCTGGCACATCACTTCTATTATTGCTCATGATTTGTGAATGTGAGACTGAGACGTCCAGACAAAATTACCAAAATCTATCAACTACAGAAGTCGTTGCATCATTGTGAAGTTTAAAAGCTCATGATGAATGTTGAAGCGTTTAGTCGCGGTTAAATTGTGACGGCTCAATGAATTCGCGGAGTTCTAAGCATTTCAGTTGTATTGATTTTCCCGAGATTACTTCACATATAATTTAAATTGATGTCCTGTAGGTAATTCTGTAAACAAACGCTTCAACTTATCGTTCGCATCAAGAAGCATTCGAAACCTGGGAAGCCAATTTTTACATTAAATCACGAGGGACACAATCGATGCGCTGCATGACCCATATGTACATATTTTAAAATCGGCTGCGAAGATTTCATGGAGATATCAGCTCAGTCATGTATTACTTTTTCTTTTCAGGAAAACCCACCAACGGTCAACACGAGAATTATAACAGAGATTCAAAACGGTAATTTATATTTCTTTTCAACAGAATTTGCGTCGTCATAAATTAATTATCTTCATGATTGGCGTACATTGTGTTTTTTTTTTCATCCAGGTCGCCATAAGAATGTCGTGAAGTCTATTTTTCTCGGGAACATTGCCCAGTTGGGTCATCTTTATGCGAGATTTTTCCCAGTGCATGATAGAACGTAGTTTGATAAAGGAATTTCATAATAAGAACTCCACCTGTAAATAAACCACAGTGCAATATATTTTTACTTCAAGTTCCAGTGTCGAAGTTCCAGTGTCCACGTGAGACCATCAATGTAAACGTAACTCACGCGCGCAAAACTTAAATTTCACAGTTGACTTTGATAGGTAAATGGGGTCTAAAAGCATGGAAGCTCCCATCTTGTACTCTTTTTGTTTCCGTTGAAAAGTGACTTGCATAAATGTGCAGTGTGCACAGACGTTTGTAAATGGTAGATACGGAGTCTGATGGCACCATTAGAGCATTTTAGTGGAGATTGTGGCGAAGGCTAATGAGTACCGCTGATATTATTAACTTTAGAAAATAAAAAACCAACTTTATTATCCATGTTACCTAAGAAGTATTTCGAGACATTGAAATGCCCAGACAAGAACGTTTAGCAATTATTACCTTGGAATTACCACGTTTAAAGTAAAGATGGTTGACGTGAGCAGAATGCATGCAATTGCAATTTTTTAATGCTTCATTAACGTAATGGTGAGGTTAGCTGGTTGGGTGATCTAATTAGTTTAGTGCGTTCAAAAATATTCTATGATCAAAATTAGCATTTGGAACACAATTCCAATCTCGTTCTCAACCAATCACATCTCACCTCATTTACCAATGCTATTTCCAGGCTTCTCGCTCGTCCACAGCTGTACATAACACTACTTTCCACAGCAACGTTTATAGTTGTTAGGCTGCATTTCGTGTGTTTTTTTGGCAAAAATGACCGAAATACAAGTACAATCGCAAGAAATACCTGTCCTAGAGACAGTTGAAGATATAGAGCGACGTAGAGAGCAGGTGCTACGTCGCTATGCGGAATTTAAGGAAGCAACTCGGCTCAAAAGGTTGCGCTTGGAAGAAGCTAAACGCTACCACCAGTGGAAACGAGATGTGGACGAATGTGAAATTTGGATCAATGAAAAGCTGCAAATTGCCTCGGATGAATCATTTAAAGATACGACGAATCTACAGGTAATATCCTGCAATATTCTGTGTATTCTTCAGGCTACCAAAGTATATTAAAGCAGGGATTTTTGCACAACTTGTATGGAATTTCTCTTCGACAACGCCCGCTAGGCCAGATCAAAGCTCGATAGGTCAAACGATTTTTGATAAATATTTAATGATGTTCAGCTTGTTTTGAAGACCGATGCCTCGATATACTTGGGATTGATTTAGAATGCGTTTGATTTAACTGTAATTTAGTCGGTGTTCAATATAAAGTTGTAACACTTTCTAGTTTTATACAAAGTTGTTTAAATTCTGTAGTACTTCGGAAGTATAATTGAATATTAATTGCAATATGTTTCTTTTTGTGAATGATATTTTGCATTCTTGTTAATTTATGAATGTTTTTGACTTTCGACAAATTTATTTGCAAAATGAAAGTTTGGAAGCCTTGTCATATTTTGAAGTTTAAAAAAGTTCCTGTGCTGGTATATATAACTTATGTGACTATACCAAATAAAAAGGAATGATCTCATGAAATATTGTTAGGCTAGTTAGTACAATGCACAGGAATATACAGGCCTAAAATATTTTAGGAGGCAGGTGGAGTTTTACCTGATGAGACGATAAAAGTGAGAGCAAGTTAGGGCAATGAATGAACCTGTGCACAAGTCATCATGTTGCAAAATATGCATGTCTGGTCCTGTTTAATGCTGCAAAGGATCACAAAGTTTGTTTGTTGTTTTGTACAGGTTAAGCTACAGAAGCATCAAGCATTCGAAGCAGAGATCTCAGCCCATACAAATACAATCATCACGATCAAGACATCTGGTGAACAGATGATTACTGAAGAACATTATGAGTCTGTGACAATTACGGTATTACATAGTTGTTGTTGATTTTATTGTTTTCAGAAGTTGCTTATTTTTACTGTCAATCATAGTTTAACTGTTTGTTTGTTTGTTTGGAAAATCCGTTGAAATTAAAATGTTGTTTCTGTTGCAGTTATCTGTTATTGTTGGTGTTTACTATGATATACAAGCTAATTTTCATAATTTCATTTTTTTGTTTCAGGAGAGATTAAAACACTTGATGCATCTATGGGAACTTTTGCTGATGCAATCTGCTGAGAAAGGCCGCATGTTGTTATTTACACAAAAGCGTGTTCACTTCATTCGAGAGTGTAGTGAAGTTTTGATGTGGATTGCTGATAGGGTATGTTTCTGCTTAGTACCAATTGGACAAGAAATGAATTGAGCAGTAATTAGAATTAATCTAGTAAAGCTTGACTTATTTGATGTTTCTTTATTTGTTTTAGGAAGTTATTGTCTCAACAGAAGAGACAGTTCGGGACTTTGAGCATGTTGAAGTTCTTCAGAAGAAACTTGAAGATTTTGCAAAAGATCTAGATGCAAATGAGAATCGAATTAAAAGCATCAACCAACAAGCTGATACCTTAGAAGTAGAGGGTCACCCTGACATTGATGTTATCCAAAGTAAACGAGATGTAAGATGGGAAATGAATAGCCATTAGCAATGTCCATTTTATCAAATTTTCAGGCGGTTAATTAGATGGAGGAGTATGAAGTTTCAGAAGTTATTCAACACATCATATATTATTCATTCTGTAGGAAGTCAATGAAGCTTGGGACAAGTTGCACCAGCTGGTTATTGTTCGTAGAACAACACTGACTAGTTCCCATGAGATTCATTCATTTTACAGGTAAATATTTTACAATTCCCCTTATGATTATAGTTAGTGTTGTCCTTGAAAGTGGTTAGGTATTCCTATCCCTTTGATCACCAACATACCCATAATTTTTGTCCAGTTTGAAATAATAATATACCATGATACACATACGTTTTTTTGGTGTTTGAGGGCTGCTTTGTCTTTCTCATTTATTGGTATTGATCAACCAACCTTGTTCTACATACCACTAGATTAAGGCTGTGCATTAATCACTGTTTCAATTTCTCAACTCTATTCTTGTTCCCTTCAGAGAAGTGAATGAAACAGTTGAATGGATAGTGGAAAAAGACACCGTGTTGTCGTCAGATGATTATGGCAAGGATCTTGCAAGTGTTAATGCACTGAAACGAAAACATGATGGGCTGGAGAGAGATCTTGTTGCGTTGGATGACAAGGTTCAGAATCTTGGTAGTGAATGTGACCAGTTGAAGGAAAACTATCCTGAAGTTGCTGAAGACATTGAAGCAAAGAAAGAAGAATTAGTACAGGCTTGGGATGGCCTGAAAGAAAAGGTATATATTTGGTGTTGGCATGTAAACTCAGGCCTATAAGTAATTATGAACTTTCTGCATAGTCTGCTGTGCGTAGAACAAGACTGGAGGATGCTTACAACTTGCAAAGATTGCTCGCTGACTACAAGGAACATATTTTGTTTATTACGGAGATGAAAACTTTGATCGAGACCGATGAAGTCGCAAAAGATGTGGCAGGAGCAGAGATGCTGATTGAAAGACACCAAGAACACAAGGTTAGCTATGCTTGACTTTAAGATCTGACTTTGATCTGATCAATCCAAGGTCAAATGCATCAGAATCAGTAGAAGAGTGGGGATATGTACATATAACTATGCAGTTATGTGTCAATTCTGTCAATTGCTTGCTGTACTAAATTGTAACAATGATATTTACTTGTGCAGGGTTACATTGATGCCCAACAAGAAGGATTTGATAAGTTTTTAACTTCTGGAAAAGAACTGGTTGATGGAGATCATTATGCTGCAGAAGAGATAAAAGAGAAGGTAAAAGTAGATGTAACTATCTCCATACAGTATAGACTTCCTTGTATGTAAATCATGGGTGAATTTACAGACTGCTTAATCTTCTGAAAAAATCCAAGCAACCTATTTTCGATACAATGAGCCCATATCCTCCCTGATATTGATAGTAGTCTGTTTGTATCCTTCTCTCAGTTGGACAATCTGGAAACAGAAAAGGCATCCTTGTACGAACTTTGGGAACAGCGTAAAGTGACATTAGATCAAAGTTTGGAATTGCAGCTGTTTTACAGAGATTGTCAGAATGCTGAAAACCAGATGATCAAACAAGAGGTACAGTATGAGGGTTTCTTTGACTTCGAGTTTCATGTATAGCAGCCAGCTACTACAGTCAATGTAGTAAAACAACAATTATTGAATGAGGTTGAACATAATATGAAGAATTATCAAGCCAAAGTTTGTGGAACTATCATACGGTCATAACGTGGGATACGACTATTTATCACGCGTTATGACGTAGTAACGTGCAAAAAAGAAGCCGTATCACACATTACGACGTCACATGTTGGACATGACGATTTGACACATTGGTCATGGGTCTTTAACAATACAGAGATAAAGTTGTAGTGGTGGTTTAAATAATGTGACTAAATTTTGAAGTTTAAATTTAATTAAATTTTTACTAATTCTATTGAAGGCTAGTCTGGTTCACATGTATGTTAATAAACGCAGGCATAAACTATATTTTTGGTTCAAACATTCACAAAACAGCATGTAGCATGATTTTGCAAGGGGAACAGGGTAATACAAAACAGGTGAGTATATTTAAGTTAAAATTTTGTGTGTGATTCTGTAGACTTTCTTGTCTGATGACGATGTTGGTGATTCTCTGGATGCAGTTGATGCTTTAATAAGGAAACATGATGACTTTGCTAAGTCATTTGCTGCACAAGAAGATAAGATCAGAGACATTGATGAAACTGCAACTAAACTTATCGATAATGAGCATTATGCTTCTCCTGACATTGATGAAAGACGGAATGAAGTGAGTTTTACACCCGTACTTACATGCTCAGTATTATCACACCATATCATTCACCACCATACTGTGATGTTGAGTTATTTGAAAATTCTTCCTACTCGTTTTCAACTTGCAGATACTTGCCAGACGTCAGAATATTCATGAAAAATCTGATAAACGAAGAGATTTGTTGGAGGAATCACGAAAGTTGCAGCAATTTGAAAAAGAAGCTGACGAAACCAAAGCTTGGATCAACGAAAAACTCAAAATTGCTACCGACGAATCTTATAAGGTTCTTTTATGCCGCATTTACTTATGACCAGGGCTAAGCTAAGGTTTATTTTTCTGCAAATATATATAGATCAGTTCGTTATAGAAAGGACTGTCACTTAAGTATTGGTCATATTTCACTACAAAAGGAAAACAGTTTGTGGTGTTTCGTGGAGTTCTGTGAAAATTATTTTTCTTATTTGAGTAAATCAAAATTTGGAGACAGCATGTTCCATTTATCCTATTCCAAAAGTATTTTGAAACCACGACTTTATCCAAATATTTCCACCCGTCTTTTAACAGGATCCCACAAATCTTCAAAGGAAAGCTCAGAAGCACGAGGCATTCAACGCAGAATTGGAAGCCAACCAAAGTCGTATCGATTCCATCCATGACAAGGGAAAACAGCTGATCAGCAACGAACATTACGCGTCGGATATTATACAGACAAGACTTGATGAGCTTGATGAACTCTGGAAACATTTGCTTGAAAAAACTCAAGAAAAAGGCAACAGGTTGAAGGACGCCAAAAAACAGCAACAATATAACAGGTATACTCCCGTTGTTCATATCGGGCAAAATATCTGAGGAGTCTAGTTCGAAAGAGGGGGGAGGTGTGGGGGTACAGCTCGCACAACTGTGGCTCGTATATACGTGGAAACTCTAAAATACTGTATAAAGTATAAACAGAAGGACCACTAACTCTACAACGTGTCCCGGAATTTTATGCAATCGACTTTATGCAATCGATTTTGGTGAGGTCAAATTGAGTGAAAATTTTATGCGTTGTACACGCACTTGATTTCTAGGGGAATTGATGATATGGACCTTTGGATCACAGATATGGAAGCTACACTACTAAACGAAGATATCGGAAAGGTAGAAACGATATTAAAGGAAGAATTTGATATGCATTCATTTTCTTCGTTCATAATGCACGTTTTATTGTATGATTGGTGCATGGAGTGTTGTAAATTAATTTGGTACAACAGGAAGTAATTTTGAGAGAATCACGATTAGTGCGCAATTATGGTTAAGTAAGGTTTGGTCTTTGAATTCCGTCGGCTCAAGTTTACCTGGCTTACCTAGTGCTTTGTCATGTCTTCTGTATGGGGGATTATGATCGAGTATTGCTGAATAGAATATTGCAGATGATCTCAATTTAAAGGAAACAATATCACTAGGTGTTACCAATGGTATCTCTGTTTAGGATCTACCTGGTGTCCAAAACCTTCAGAAGAAACACGACTTGATTGCAGGAGACATCATCACCAAGCAGGAGCGTATTGATGTATGTTCGGTCCAGGCAGATCTGTTTTCTGAAGAAGAACACTTCGATGCTCCCACAATTGTGGCGAAAAAAGCTGCTCTAATGGAGCGATATGAAAAATTGAAGGTAATTTGTAATCGAGTTAATAGCATAACTTCCTTCATAGATAAACGATCAACCTTTTTACATGTTTACGGATCTGCACCCAGACGAGAAATTTCGAAGGCAAGAAGATCAATTCTGTTCGTGTATGTCTTCTACTATCTACTTATTTTTAACAGGAACCATTAAACAACAGAAAGAAAAAACTTGAAGATGCCCAGAAATATCAAGAATTCTTGCGCGATTTTGAAGACGAGGAAGCCTGGATACGAGAAAAGGAGCCCGTTGTTTCTTCTACGAATTTAGGTTGGTGTCATTTGCCGTATTGTCACCAGTTGATATCAAACAGTCAAACGCAAGCGTATGTTATAATGTTCGCTGTCTCTGTATAGGAAAAGACTTGACTGGGGCTCAGAATCTATCGAAAAAACACCAAGCTTTGATGGTGAGCAATAGTACATGTATTAACTGAGAAATTTGAGATCCACACTGCTTATACTTAGTCTGGTTGGTGTGTAGCCAAGCTTAGACTAGTTTTAGTCGCAGGATACTGTAATACTTAGTAAATCAACCTGAATGAAGGGTAGAGTAAAGTTTCTCTGTTTCTTACTTTAGACCGAAATGACTGGGCATGAAGCACGCATTAACAATGTCATGGACGACGGAAGAAAAATGATTGATGAAGGTATCACTTCACATCTTCCTTCATATTTAGGATAAGGTGATACCTGCTTTATCGATGAAATATGTATATTGATGTAATATCTATTCGTTATCTGTCATCATAGATCATTTCAGAAAAGATGAAGTCCAGGAGAAAATGGATGAACTGGAAACTCAATGGATGCAGCTGAAGGCAAGTGGTTGATATACAGTAGTTTAGTTAGTTATGAATTGCACTGAGGTCTAAATGCGTCTGCGAGCCACAGTCTTGGTTTAGCTTGTCTCTTCACTGCTCTTGGTTTAGCTTGGCTCATACACCAAGAGTAGGCTATTTCCAGAAAACGTAGAATCAATTGTGAGTGCTTAAAATTGTGAATTATCTTTAGGACAAGGCAGCCGCTCGTAAGGAAGATCTAGATGACTCTCTTCATGCGTATCAGTACTTGGCTGATGTTACCGAAGCAGAGGCTTGGCTGACTGAGAAGGAACCATTGGTAACAAGCACAGATTACGGGAAAGACGAGGACAGTGCTCAAGCCATGTTAAAGAAACACAATGCAGTGATGAGTGATCTGGAAGCGTATGGTACTGTGGTTGATCAGCTCCGTGATCAGAGTAAGACCTGTAAGGTGAGTTTGTTGGTGGTGGTGGTTCTGATGTGAGATGACATAGGTGGTAATACGGTGGTGGTATTGATAATGGTAGTTTTCAGTGAAGTTGATTTATGATAATGGTGTTCTGCCTGGTTTTTGGTTGGTGAAGGTGATGGTGTAGTAAAATGAATTTTCTTATTTTTCTAATATAGACTATCACACCTGTTAAAGATTTTAGCGACAGAGAATGTGTGGAAGCTTTGTATGACTACCAGGAAAAGACAGCTCGTGAGGTCTCCATGACGAAAGGAGATATTTTAACGTTGTTGAATTCTACAAACAAGGTATGTTTACTATGTTATATACCGACCTATCATTCCGACACATACCGACCTATCATTCCGACACATACCGACCTATCATTCCGACATATCATTCCGTTGATATTTCTCACAATCATGACTTGAAATCAAGGAGTTGTGTTTTTCTTCATAAAAGCTTCTTTCCTTTCTTTTTCTGAAGGATTGGTGGAAGGTTGAGACAAATGATCGTCAAGGTTTCGTTCCTGCAGCGTATGTAAAGAGAATTGACTCTAAGACGGCTTCCCAAGAGATCCTCGACAAAGCCGATGATGTCGACACAGTATCTCAAAGACAAGATGCTCTGGATAAGAAATATCAAGATTTGCTTGAGGCTGGTGCTGAGAGAAGAAAGAAACTCGAGGAATCTATTGAAAGACACGGGTTGTTGCGAGAAGCTCACGAGATTGAGTCGTGGATTAACGACAAGGTTACCACGTGTTACCACGGGTGACATTATCCTAAATAACAGTACAAGGGTGGATTTTCACGTACAGAGAAAGACTTCGCTAGGGGAAATATTTGCATGTTTTCTTTTGAATTTTAAATAAATTAGTTCAGCTTGAATGTTCTCATTTCAAAAGAAAATATACAAATACTTTGCTAGCGAACCATTCACTGCAAGTGGAAATCCAGCCTTTGTGAGTGATAGCTATGTCGCAAATTTCACGTCTTTGTATTTAATCGACAACTTCTTGTATATGAGTTGTACAGTCACTTGTGTTCTACGTTTGGCTAAATATTTAAGTATTTATTTTCCAGGCGGCAGTGGTGACGTCAGAAGAGGTTGGTGACGATTTTGAACACGTTGAAGCCCAGAAAAAGAAATTCGACGATTATCAAAAGGTAAGTCACTGCAATATGGCTGAAGTTCGTTATTGTATGCTGTCTACCAGGGTCCGGTTGTTTCAAGCCCGTTCAGCTTAAACGGTGGAGAGGTCAAATTTAAAAAACACTCTTACATCTCTTTTCAATGAGTCAACTTGAATATTATGCACTGAATATGTAGATGTAAACAGTATCTTTGTATTAAGGTAAAAAATATTTAGTTCGCTTGTTGAATAAAACGATAGACTTGCTTTTTATTTTGAGCTTAAGTTTAAGCTAAACGGGCTTGATACAACCGACCCCAGGGGCCGGTTGTTCGAAAATCGTTTAGCTTAAACGGTGGATAAGCCAAAGTTTAAAAGTGCTCTCACAGATCTTGTGAATGAATGAACCTGTATCTTACGCATTAAATATGTACTTCCATTGAAAATTAAACTATTTACATCGAAATATTTCAGCTCAGTTGTTCAATAAATAGATAATTTTGTTTTCCATTTTGAACTTATCCACCGTTCAAGCTAAACCCCTTTCGAGCAACCGGCCCCAGGAGTTTAAAGTTCTGTCGTTGATCAAATACTTTTCTTCAGGATATGCGCACGATCGAGATACGCATCCGAGAATTGACAATAATTTCTGAGAAACTAAAGGTCGAGCATCGTCGTGAATACGAGATGATCCAGGAAATTATTAAGCGTTTGACAGAAAGATGGGAAGAGTTGCAACAGCTTTCCGAGAAACGTCAGCAGGCTTTGGAAAGTGCTCAGGAGATCCAAAGATTCCATCGGTAAATTTTCTTTGATACCCTAGTATTTTCAAGCGTTTGGGTCCAGTTTAGATGTAGCTACAATAAGTAGGCAAGTCATGATTCTTTAATATTCCATTGTGTTTTGTGTAGCGATGCGGACGATACCAAAGCATGGATCTCAGAAAAAGACACCGCTCTCTCTTCTGCGGACTATGGCAGAGATTTAGCTAGTGTCCAGGCTTTACAGCGCAAACACGACGTCCTGGAGAGAGATCTAGCCGCATTGGAAGAAAAGGTAATAGAATAGATTCTTCATTAAACCATTCTTTTTTGGGGGGTTTTCCACCACAAATTCACCTTTTTAAGATTATAGCTTTCGTGTTCTACTACATCATACAAAATTTTTAATGATCGGAAAATGTATTTCGTAGGTCCGTCAACTGAATAACGAGGCAGCAACGTTGATGGAAACACATCCAACTCACGCTCAAGACATCGAGGCGAAACGCGACGAGATCTCAGAAGCTTGGGGCGGGCTTAAAGACCAGGTTAGATTATTCACCAGTGTCAAATGCAGTAAAATCACAGATCAATGCCCTCTTCACGCTTGTTCCATAATACTAAGTTCTTAAAACCTAAAAGAAAGCGCTTCCATGGATCGTTTTTAGAGTTTCTATCAAATGCACTATTGGCAACACACAGACACAGTTCATTTTATACTAGAATTGACGCAAACTATAATGTATTTTTCCGCTGCACAAACGGAATACCATACACAGTAATATTGGAGTTACTTTCCCGGCATTTAAATGAAACGAAAATCAGAAACAAATCTTGACTCCGTCTATTTTTTAAAGGCTGCTTCAAGGAAAGGAAAGTTGTTGGACTCTCACGATTACCAACGTTTCCTGAACGAATTCAGGTGAGATGTTCGGTGTAACTTGTTTCAATCGGCAACGACTGAAATCCAATAACAAACCCTTAGGATTTCTTGAATGAATTGAATGTTTGTTTTTACAGAGATCTGGAGTCCTGGTTGACTGGCATCAAAGCTTTGGTGTCGTCCGATGAATTAGCAAAGGATGTTGCTGGTGCAGAGGCCTTACTTGAACGACACCAGGTAATCTTTAATCAGCCAGGGCAGGTGGATTACCTTTTCTTTCCAATCGTTAACCTTGCTATTCTGTTAGGAATACCGTGCAGAGATTGATGCGAGAGATGAAACGTTTCAAGCATTCAATGATTTCGGTAAAGAATTGGCTGAGAAAGAACATTATGCCAGGGATGAGATTGAAGAGAAACTGCAAGCTGTTGATGACGAAAGAAAGGATTTGGAAACGTAAGGCAAAAATAATGCATTTCTACTGGGCAGCATTTCCATTTTAATTATTAAAACACAAAGGCGCGTGTTAATCTCTGCTGGAGCTCTGAGCTGAGTTGTATTTTTGTTTTGCGGCTTTCTTTTTTCTGTCCCTTTGTTTTCCTAAGTTCAATTCAGTTTAAAACTTGTCTACAGCGGTACTTATTCTGAGGGAAAATGCAATATGAAAGCTCCACATTTCAAGATTCAGAACTTTATTCACATACACTAACAGTTGTCTACTTTTTTCTAGCGCTTGGGCTGAAAGAAAAGATAAGTTGGACCAATGCCTTGAGTTGCAGGTGAGTATTTTCTTTGCCTCGTCTAGCTTACACTTCATTAGCTTCTATTCACGTTATCTTTCAATCTTTCAGTTATTCAATCGTGACGCAGAGCAGCTTGAGTCGTGGATGGCGCCACGTGAAGCAATCATTCGAACTGAAGAAGTTGGTGGTTCTCCCGAAGGTGCAGACAAACTTGTGAAGACCCATGAGAATATTGAGAAATCCATCAAACAACAGGTAAAGAAAGATTACATATTCTAATTTTCTATAGATGCATTTTGAAATATCAAGAACTAAAAAGCAGTGAGTTAAAAACAATGCCACTTCTTTATCTCAAGGAGGAGAAAATCAGCGCACTTCAGGATTACGCCAATAAGTTGACGGAGAATGATCATTATGATTCCCCAGCAATAAATGAACGAGTCGAGTCTGTTTTAGAAAGGTAGGCTTCTTAAATTACAAAATTTGACATCAGGGATAAGATGGGAAGAGATGGGATAAATATAAGGAGAAGAAGCTACAATTCACAGAAGTATGTTAATGTATACAACTTATCGTGTTGAAATAAATGTTATGAATGAATTACACAGGATTCTAAACATGCCCCTCTATGTCCCTCAATATATCTTTGTTTTCAAAGTCTTGTCATACTGCTTCTTTCCCTTGCGCTTCCGGAGTTGATTTCGTTTCATTCTTGACTTCATAAAGATGGCAGAAACTGAAAGCAGCTCTCGTTGAACGTCGTTCTAAGCTCGGAGAGAGTCAGAACATTCAACAGGTGACCCGAGATGCTGAAGATATCGAGGCTTGGATCAGTGAGAAGCTGCAATCTGTTCAAGACGAGTCTTACATGGATCCCAGTAACCTCCAGGTGCCTAGTGATTTTATCTTGATCGCTGTTTTAACATTCTGTAATTGTTCACCATGCTCTTTGATGCAAGCTGTTTCTTATTGCTTAATTTCTTGTAGAGTAAAGTACAAAAACAACAAGCCTTTGAAGCAGAAATGGCCGCGAACGAGGAACGAGTGTTACACGTCATTGCCACGACCAACCGTAAGTGTGGTTGTATCAAAAGCTTCATTTTGACTTGTGTATTACTTATTTCACCACCTTGCTCCCTCGCAAAAAAAATTATGTCGATCTATCTTGGATAGTTTTATCAGAACTTTCCAACGTACTATTTTTTCATACTGTAATCATTACTGTAGAATTGATCGAAGAACGAAAATGTGCAAACAACGAAGAAATAGTTCGTGAGAGGATCACTAAACTGCAAGAAATCTGGGAAAAACTAACCAAGCAATCTCAGTCCAAGTCTCGTTATTTGATGGAGTCTAATCAGCTACAACAATACAATAATAATGTGAAAGAATTAGATTATTGGCTTGATGAGGCAAGTATGGTTAGCTCGTAATTTAGGGGTTTTATAATGTATTGTAAATGCTTTGTGACGAAGATCTACTTTGCACTTTTCACAGAGAAGCCATTATTCTTATTCTTGTTATAATGAATATTTTTTCGTTTTAATTCAAGGTTAATCGTGATAAAACCAAATTCTTTCCCCTCCTAAAGGCTCTGTTTTCAAGGAGGTTGAATGATTGAATCTACTTAAAAACCAATCTTCTTATTCTCCAAAAGATTCACTCATTTCAACCGGCAAGACCCAGCTTAATCTGGGTGACTCCAAAAAACATTTGGATAGTGAGAGGAAAGAATTGTGTAACAGTAGAACAGGATTTTAACCTAATTGGTCTTTCATTAATTATAGACTGAGACGCTGCTCTCATCAGAAGACTGTGGTCATGATTTAGCGAGTACACAGAACCTGCTCAAGAAACATCAACTTGTTGAAGCTGATATCACTGCTCATCAGGTAACCCGGAGTGCATGTTTCAACAGAAATATACTGGTTTCTATACTAGCATTGGTTTGTTCATGTCGAAACGTTTGTCTCCCTTGCTAAGAACGCACCAATAAGTATGCGTGTTGAGGCCTTTAGTGTGAAACATTTTCAGGAGTAAGATAATGGGCAGATTTATCTGAAAATCTGATGCATGTCTAAATTCTATTTTTGGTCTAAAGGTAAAAGACCACCTCATATGGTATGAGAAGTAATTAGGAATCTTACTGGGGGAGGTTTGAGCATGTGATTGGCATCAAACACTATGAGGTTATCTAACGGGGTATATCTTAAAATGCGCTCTTGACTCAGTTTCTTGTTCTTTTTAGGATCATGTCAATGATCTCCAAGCACAAGCTCAGAAGTTCATTGAGAGAGAACATCATGAGTCGACGACTATCAAAGAAAAAGCTGAGACCATTACAACACGCTATGAGAAGTACGAAATAGTGAAACAAAATGAAAATGGCAATAAATCATTAGCAGAGTTTATTAATAAAACCGTTTCTTTCACTCCAGGATCACAAACATGGCGAGTGAGCGACGGGCAAGACTTGAAAAAGCCAACGATCTACAGCAATTATTCCGAGACATTGATGACGAAGAATCGTGGATTAAGTAAGATCGTTTCTTTGTGTACCTACGTGTTAAATATAATACGCCGAATTTAAAAGCGTGTGTAATAAGGCCGTAAAAGTAGAAATGAAAATCAGAATACCTTTTTATCGTTAAGGGAGAAAAAGTTGCTTGCAAGTTCTGAGGATTATGGCAAAGATTTGACTGGCGTTCAAAACTTGCGCAGAAAACATCAGAGACTTGAAGCTGAAATTCATAATCATGAACCAAAAGTTGTGGTAAGCTTTGCCTGGATATGAGATGATTATTGACTGATACATGCACCCGTGATTGGTTTATTGAGTCATTAGTTCATAGCGAAATAATATTTATCGGGATTATGCTATTTCCAGAATGTTTGCGACCGTGGTGAGAAGTTTATTGCGGAGGGAAGACCTGACGCGGATGCCATTAGAACACGCATCGACGGATTGCAGGAGAAATGGCAAGAATTGAACGAGATTGCGGCCACAAGGTGATGTCATGTTAACTTCTATGTAATGACTGAATTAAGGAAGAAGAGGAATTTATACTGAATTCAAAGAGGACAATTTCTTTTCTTCTTCAAACTGCGAGCACGCTATATTTTTTTTGGATATTTTTTTGTTTTCCTATGTACAATTCTAGCAAATCTACACGTTTGTAAAGTTGACGCTGCATGGTCGCGTGGAGACCTCAAGTGCTGAAATAATATTGGTTTATTTTTAGACAAAAGAAATTGGAGCAATCCTTGGCTTATCAACAGTTCAGTACCAATGTCGATGAAGAAGAATCTTGGATCAATGAGAAGAACACGTTAGTTATCAGTGATGACTATGGCGACACCTTAGCTGCAGCGCAAGTAAGTGCCCACCATTACCCTCACTAGTTTAGCACAAACACTGGAACAAGATCTTACATCTTTTCATGCATTTTCTTTGCAGGGTTTACTGAAGAAACATGATGCTTTTGAGAAAGATTTTGAGGTTCACAAAGAACGTGTAAAAGATATTGAAAATGTTGGTCAAGGTCTTCTTGCTGAGGTACGCTTGGTAGAATGTTCACTCCATAGAGTTATATTATTCATCCTCCAAAATACTTTGTGATAATTGTTGTCGATATCAGTTTTACCTTATTTTTCTCACCACAGGATAACCATGAGAAAGATCTGATTGAACAGAAGATTGCTTCATTGAACGTAAGTCTGTATTTGAAATTCACTCGTAACAATGAAGTTATTTGTTTTTTCGATACAACACGTAAAGCTTTCAAAATAATGAGAATGGCGAATACAAAATAAATAAACCACGTTGTATTATATACTTATTGATTGTATCAACGTTTTTTTAGAACAAAGTGGCTGAACTTGAACGACTATCAAGCTATCGTAAAGCTAAGCTGACAGACAACTCAGCCTTCCTGCAGTTCAACTGGAAAACAGATGTTGTCGAGTCTTGGATCAGTGAGTTCATTTGTAAATTTTTTTCAATGAAACCTATCGGAACAAGAATTTTTCCTAAAGTACTAATAAAACAAATTTTAAAACGCTTTCTCCAACCCCCCCCCCCCCTATCTAATTTGCTACAATTATGCTGCCTCATTGTATCCTCCCAACCCTTTGTTTCCGCGTGTCCACCAGCGCAGTTGTTAAACTGACTTTTGAAAAATCTCCCCTAACATGTTGGATATATTTCCTCGTTCGTTATTTTTGTCTATCCAACAAAACGAGAGTTATTAACTTGTCCAACTTGATCCCCAGGCGACAAGGCGACTGTGGTCCAGTCAGAAGACTGTGGCAAAGATTTAGCCTCTGTCCAAACACTCTTGAACAAACAGGTAAGCTGGAAATATTGAATGTGTTTACTCTGAAAATTTTATGGTGGCGGCTGGTTTAGTGCACCCAAATGCATTTTTTTATATAGTACCAGCGTTTCAACTTTGCCTAACATCTCTGTTTATCTGTCTTTTCGCCAGGTAACTTTCGAGTCTGGTTTACATGCTTTTGAACAAGAAGGAGTTCAGAAAGTAACAACATTGAAAGATGATTTAGTGAAAGCTCAACATGCTCAATCACCTGCCATTATCAGACGTAATGATGAATTGGTCCAAAGGTAAATTCTTAGTCTGACTTGATTTTAATATTGACCATTCCTAAAAAGTCATGATTTTTTCTGTCCTTAGATGGCAAGCTCTGCTTGAAGCGTCTGCCGCTCGTAAGCAACAGCTTTTAAAATCACAAGACAAGTACAAGAAGGTAGGAAATTGCGCTGTCTGCAGTTATCCTTCGGTTAACCATATTCACAATCAGCATCACTATTAGTATTCGCTAGGTCAAGTCTGATTAATTTATGTCTTGCATTTGCTCAGGTTGAAGACATGTACTTACTGTTTGCCAAGAAAGCGTCAGCTTTTAACAGTTGGTTTGAGAATGCCGAGGAAGATCTTACTGATCCTGTTCGTTGTAATTCTGTCGAGGAAATAATGGTAACAGTAACCATTTTGCTTTTGAAAGTTCTGTATTCAAAGTAATCTTTATCTAAGGCGTATTCACCGAGCTGTATTGTTCGGTAGAGTCAAGGAAGACATTCTCTTTTGCAAGTTTGTATTCTTACAATCAGACAACTTCATATTTCATAAGTCACTAGCAAAAAACACAACTGAGTGTTCGCTCTACCGTAGATAAGTGTAGCGTTATGTGTACATACAATACAAGTGTATTATCAAGGTGAAACATGGATGAATCAAAATGAATTATAATTTTCTCAGGTGCTTCAAGATCAACACGAGCAATTCCGTGAGTCTTTACAACAGGCTGAAGAGGACATGAGGACATTGCGAAGACTTGACAAACAGATAAAAAGTTACCATGTTTCTATCAACCCGTAAGAGTTTTCTTTAGTCAAAAGCGTTTAAATCGTTTTTTCCCCTCGGTATTATTGGGCATATTGGTTTACCAAAATGACTTTTTGTACTGATTTTTAGTTACACCTGGTTCACAATGGAAACCCTGGAAGAGACTTGGGAAAGTTTGGAGAAGATCATTCAAGTATGCCTTTTTATTTCTGACAATTATGTATCGTATACTATATTTCATGGGTTAAATGTTCATATACCACATAACAGGGTGAAAGCAAGCCTATTTAATTCTCCCCAAATTAAGGGGGGAAACTTTGTTACTTGACTCTTAATATAACTGTCAGTTGGCCACAGTCGTTCCTGCGCATCCCTGCTGAAGCCCTCTCCCCCTTCCTTATGAAATAGTTTAAACGGCTCATGTTTTTCTCTTGCTGCTAGGAGCGTGAACTGGATCTTAGAAAAGAGGCGGAACGTCAACGTTATAACGATGAACTCAGACAAGATTTTGCAGAGAATGCAAACTCATTCCACGCATGGTTAACAGAAACAAGATCAGTTATGGTGGATAGCCAGGGAGATTTGGAAGATCAGCTCAAGATCATTCAGGAAAAATCCAAAGAAATACAGGAACGAAAAGAAGCCTTGTCAGTGGTAGAAGATCTCGGGGCTCAGATGGAAGAAGCTCTTATACTTGATAACAAGTGAGTGAAAACCACGATTCGAGTTTAGAATTAACGGTGTAGAAAACTGACAACGGTGTAGTTTTGTGCCGTTTTCATCGTGTGAATCCTGAAGTCCAACCCGGTCTGAAAGTGCCTTTGTCTTGTAATTTTTATATCTGAACAACAAAATATTCCAGTAAATATGGAGGTTTAATTTCATAATGCATAGGCAGTTTTCATGGAAAGCCAGTTTATGACGAAGGAAGATTGCTTTTGTTTGTCCTTTTCTCTGGTAATAATGTTAAAGTGATATTTCTTATTAGGTACACAGAGCACTCAACAGTTGGCTTGGCACAACAATGGGATCAACTGGATCAACTTGCTATGAGAATGAGACACAATCTTGAACAGCAAATACAAGCACGTAAGATGACTGGCGTACCTGAGGAGACCCTCAAGGAATTCTCTGCTAATTTCAGGTACGTTAAGGTTAAAACGTCCGCGCTGGGATCGTGATGACGAATATCATTATTATTGTCATAATCATCACATCGTCATCAGGGATAGTCAAGGAAAGTAATTTGGCAGAAACTATTATAGAACTTAAGCATAATCACATCAAGTGCTTCTCCGTTACCACAAAGACCAACATTCCTTGTGAGATTTACGTTGTTTTTTGGCGTTTGACGTCATTATGCATAAGAGCTATTCTGTGGTTAATATGTGTAAAGTCAGTAAGGTCGAAAATAAAATGCAAACTAGATATGGTGACCAATCAGGAGTGAACATTCGTTGGGACCCTCTGGTATTATTATACTGCTATAATAAATAACAAATAAAAATAATGATAGATGGTTTTGAACTTGAAATTGTAATTTTGTAATTGAAACATTGCAAATTTCGCAGAAAATTTCTAGCTATTAAGGTTCCAAGAGATAGATAAAATTTCTATGATCCTCATCATCGCTAAACATGCTTTATCACTCATTAATGTGCTTTTTTTTAGGCATTTCGACAAAAACAAATCTCAGTTCCTGGATCATCAAGAGTTCAAATCCTGCTTACGTTCTCTTGGTTACGATCTTCCGCTGGTCGAGGAAGGTCAACCTGAACCAGAATTTGAAGCTATACTCAAAACTGTTGACCCGAACGGGTGAGTTTGTCATCCTGTTGTGACCTGACTAAAATTATTTAAAAATAAGAAATAATGATAATGGTTTATTTCGCATTTCCATTGTCACATGGCTCTACATCTTCATGAAAGAGATGAATTGTTTTCATATCAATTCCTCCTTATTAGTGACGGCGTGGTATCTTTGAGTGAATACATGTCGTTTATGATCAGTCGTGAGACAGAGAATGTTCATTCAAGCAAAGATGTTGAAGATGCGTTCCGGGCGTTGACTGAAGGTGCTGATAAAGACTTTGTCACCGAACAAGAATTGTATCAGGTATTACATTTTCAAAATAAAATCCGTTTTAAAAAACCTTTATCGTACTCATTAGCTTGCTTGAACTTTACTGAAACTTCAAACTTGAATTTTGTCTTTTAGTCATTATCCCGTCCGCAAGCAGAATACTGTGTCCAACACATGAAACCGTACGTTGACGATCGTGGGCGGGAGGTCCCGAACGCCTACGATTACAAGACGTTCTGTTCTGATTTGTTTGCAAACTAGACTTTCATGGAACTATCGATAATTATGTAAGGCCTTCTGGTGTCACACTATTACTATTATTACGCCTTTAGCAAGCTCAAGAGAGAAACGTTTCCCCACCAAGAGGGTGTTTTTGTTTTCAATTTTAGTTCGGCGATGGACAGCGAATGCTAGGGTTTTGTTATAAACGCTTGATGCTTTTACTTTAGGTTATAACAGTAGACTATAGTTTCAGACTTGTAAGTCTAAATACACTATATGAAATAAAAGGAAGAAGCACTGCTTTTCCAGATGTGTATCGTTCATAGTTACTTCAAAGAAAAATACGGTAGAAGTTAGTTCTAACAATATTTTCAATGGAACCGTTTAGTTATAGGATTCATTTTGCCGTTTACTATCGTAATGATGAGTCCGAGCAAATCATCTCGGTTTTGAGCCGAATCCGGAAAGAATATTACGTAGAAACTTTAAATCGGGAACGTGAATATTAGAAACTTTAAATCCGGTTTCCAGGATTCCGTAAAAACGTAGGTGGAAACTTCAATGACCGAACGCACGCAAGGTCTGAAATCGTTCTGCTTACTGCAATTGAATATTTGGAATACAGCGAATTTGAATACCACATCTGGGTTCAATGTCGGGCAGGGTTTGGGCAGTGGAGCTTAGCTAATAGCAGGAACTGAAACTTTATCTTTCCTGGAGTGGGAGTGGGAGAAAGCGGATTTCAGATCGTATTCCCTACACTGTGGGTATGTCCATAGGGCTGCCTATGGTATGTCACGGTAAAATAAAATAATCACATTTTGTTGAATAATACCAATTTTTTCCCCCAGTGATATTTGATTTTCTCAGACGAGAGAAGACTGAAGAGCTTCGTACTGTACGGGGGTGGAGATGATTATTTAGACGGAAGTAAGGATTACTAATTATTTCCATGACAATATTTTTCGACTTCTTGCGTAATGCTCACAAATTGCACAGTGCGTTTCACCATGACCAATGCAGTTAAAAGCTTCCCACACAAACTATGGCTGGGCTAGGCTTACAATGGGATGGTTTTTGGACGAAGTAATATGAAATAAATTGTGTCGTGGGTTGGCGACCGCTGTTCATTCTGTAACTGTGTTCTGTCATAGCAGCAAGTGCTCCAGGGAAAGACAAGCGAAGATATTGGAAGAACAGCACTGTCATCGGAGTCATGGAAATATTAGTGGAGGTAAGGCGCTCAAGTTATCTTACATTGAGACATTTTTTCATTTTTCAAGGCGAGATTGCCAAACTGTTAAACTCTCAAGCAAAAGCAATTTAAGAAATATTAAATATTCCTACGTGACTTGTTGGATATACAACAGTATTAAGCCATGCAGTTTGTTTTTGATTTTATATATTTTAAAGGCAATTCTCTTCTTGTAAGTTTATTAAGATACCCTTAATTTTAATTTTAGCTAAACTTTTCTAATATTGCCCATTATTTAACCTCAAAGCAGAAGCTAATGCGATTTTATTTCACATAAAAAACGAGATAAAAAATATGCGTGAAGACTTTAAACTTCCGCCAAACTTGAGGGTCAGAAATTTTGCGAAGTTATTTCTATAAGCATAAAGTAATAGATAGTAAATGCCACACGGAATTATTCCAGTCTTTGAATTCACTGGATAACTGGCATGAATGTGGTCTGGTGTCCGTATAAACAATTTGGGGATGTGCACTTTAGGTGAAGTGACTTTGTTTTTCTTATAACTCAGAGCAAATTTATATGGTTTATGTTACATTCATATTTGTTTGAAATAATTCGATCACAACGAAGGTCATAATGTTAAGTACAAATATTTCCGTATAGTTGCAAATGAAAAGAACGATTTGATATTGTTGCAAATTAAATCACATTATGCCCCATAATTTTGTTCTAAGCAATAACAGCGTTAATAATTAAACAGTTTATCATATCGTATAATAATTTTGTGCTTTATTTCAAGTGGAAAAAGTAATAGATAGGACTCAACATTCGACCTTTGCATTTCGTAGTTTTGACATTTCTCCAGATATGCCCTAATATTTTATTTCTCTATCTAATGCCAGACTACTTTATATGTCAGTTTATATTTGTTTTAACTGATCAACAAACTGGTGTCAGATTCAAGTTCAGAAGTAGGTGCATTTAGGTTTATTGACAGTTCAAAAGCTGGAAAGTGGAAACTGATATTTTTAAACTACACTTGAATTAGAAAAGGTTTGAAAAGCAGGGACCACCTGTTCAAAAGGCATTAAGCTTGAACGGTGGATAAGTTGAAAATGGGAAACAAAATTATCTATCTATTGAACAACTGAGCTGAAATATTTTGATGTAAAATGTTTATTTTGAATGAAGATACATATTTAATGCATACAAATTGTATGATACAATTTAGGTTCAGTCATTCAATCACAAGATGCATGAGGGTACTTTTGAACTTTGGCTTATCCACCGTTTAGCTAAACTTGAAGACTTGATTTGCATCTTTTTTGCAAGTTCTTCCTGATTTGAATTGACCATCTGCAGTTTTGTTAGACATTTTTAATAAATTAGCATCACTTACATGCATCCAAATGAATATATAGTGAACAAAAAGCTAAATAACTTACATAAATAGTGTCCTTGCAGACAGATATATGTTAGAGTTGCTTTGCAATTGGTGTGCTCATTCTGAGATTCAGCGCATGGAAGGTGTTAAACATAGCCTAATGTTCCTTATTATGATAGGGTCAACTAGATTATTTTGAAGAAAGAAGCTGGAAGAAGAGATATTTTGTGATGAAATATGAGATAAGCAGTGCACTTAGATACATTGAGATTTACAAAGACAAAAATTGGCAAAAACAGCTCCCAAGACATGTTGTGAATTTGCACCCAGGATATGAAGTGAGGCGTAGGGACGAATCAAAGAAAAAGTATTGTTTTTCACTCAAGACAACAGATCATGTCCTTCTTTTGGCTTCTGAAGATGAAAATGCTATTATCAATTGGATGGCTACACTAGAAGAATATAATTTAGGTAGGTATAAATATAGGGTTTTAGACTCACAATTTGGTTCTTCACTCAAATTCAATATTATAATCAATAAGGCTAGCAGATATGCCTTTATCCCTGCTCTGAATGATTTTCCTTCTTGAAAGGTATAGTAATTACTAGAGGTTTTTCAAAAGGTCTTAATTTCGAGGAAAATTATACAAACTTAAAATTCAAGCCAAGAACAGTTGATGGAAAAATGAGTGAACTATAGGTCCTCCTGCAGGAATCGAAACTACGCTTTTGCAATGCCAGTGCAATGCTCTTGCCACTGAGCTATAGAGGTAGCTGACAAGAGCAAGTGTGGTTGATGTGTATAGGATGGTAATGCTGGGAATAGGCGAGGGTAAATTGATTATGATTTTTTGCACTTCACTCAATGTTGGTAAATTCTAGAGGTTTTAATGGTCTTAATTTTGAGTGGAACTATATACACTTCTGTAGCTCAGTGGCAAGAGCATTGCACCGACATTGCAAAAGTGTAGGTTCAATTCCTGCCAGAGGACCTATACTTGACTCATTTTTCCATCAACTGTTCCTGGCTTGAATTTGAAGTGTGTATAATTCCACTTGAAATTAAGACCCTTTAAAACCTCTAGAATTTACCCACATTGGGTGAAGTGCAAAAAATCATAGTACTTACTACTTCATACTTTTGCTATTTAGTAGGGTATTGAGGCTTTTAATGCATGGGCTAAGGTAGTAGAATAACAACCAATATAATAACTAATTAGATAGGATTGTGATACAAGTTGATGAATTGGCTGGTAATGATGTATTTAACATTGCAATTGTGTTTTATTCCTGGAATGTCATCAGTATTTATTGCTTTTTAGTAAAATCTTTCTGTGTCCAACCACAAGACACAGAAACCATGATAAGAATTGAAGCAGTGTTTCCATGCCACCTTCAGCTTGTACATTCTGAGGTGCGCCTTGTTAGTGCCATGGATGGAAAACTACTTGGTTTGTGGCCTTTTAAATGTATTCGAAGATACAAATTTGTTGGCAATATGTTTTCAATTGAAGCTGGTCGCAAGGCACCGACGGGAGAGGGAGTTTTTGAATTCATTTCCAACGAATGTTCTGAGATTTACCGAGTTATGGACACGATAATTCGTACAAAAGCCGGGAATACCACTGTGAGACGTCTTGCGTCAGAACGGCTGAGTAATCAGGTTCAACAAGAACATCAAGTGATTAGAAAAGTGAATTCCGTGCCAGTTAATACACCAACTAAGAAAACAAATCAATATGACTATGCAAACCCCACCCATAGACCCCCTCCTCCTCCTGTCCCCTTACCAAGTCCACCAGTATTAAACGCACCATCAGACCCCACCTATGACATATTGTCCCCCGGGGCTGAAGGCACTGAAACTGACGGTAAGGCTGGCAAAAAAGAACGAACGTTGACAAATGATAGTGAGTACAATACACTACAGTTTGGCTCTCCTCGTCCTGTGGAAACCCGTTCACAAGTTCCCCAGAGGGCACCAAAGATGGCAGGCTCTCCAGGAAGCTACGATACACTAAGGTTCGGAACCTCCCTTGAGAGTACTTCAAATAAAGATGAAACGCTGAAAGCCAAGGGAAAAGATGATCAATATGACACGCTGCAGTTTGACCCCCAATCTTCATCATTTCCAATCGATGACAATGTCAGTGAACTACCGCAAAGTTCGGGAAGTTTTTACAATACTTTAGACCATTCCTCTGGTTCGATTGGTTCGGTTGGTTCTATTAGCAGTACTACCAGTAATACGTACGATTGTTTAGACACTGGAAACAAGCGTCTTTCTAATGGGTCAGATACATACGACATGCTGGGAAATTCAAGAAAAGAAATTAAACCACAGCCACCGAGGACGCTAGATTTGGGTGGCAACACGTACGATGCTCTGCAACATGCTGAGAGCCAGAAACCAACAGGGAGAAACTCACCAGTGACATCTCAAAAGCCCACCACCCCTAGTCAGGGGATGACCCCTCCGAAACCAAACAAGCCTCCACCCAGAAAGAAACCTCCGTCAATTCCAAAACAATCCGAAATTGCTCCAAGAAAGGCATCAACCCCTCCTGAGGCACCCACTAAAAAGATATCTGCGGGAGCCAAGCCTAATAAGCCATTCAGAGCCCATCATAAGAATCCACAAGACACAAAGGACAGTCAGAAAACGAAGGGTGAAAGTATAAGTGATGTTATTCAGAAACGTTTAGCTACTACTCAACCAGTTGATGATGATGATGATGATGGTAGTTATGCGTCTGTGGACCATGAATATGCATCCATAGATTATAGTAAAGTTTCAAAACCAGAAACCACTGATTCTTCCGATATTTACACTGATCCAGATCAAGACGATACCAAGATAGTAACACCTATCCCTAAGCCAGCAAAACCAGCAAAACCCAGCAAGCCCAATCCTAAAGCGATGATGAAATTATTCAAAAAAGGACCGGCAAAAGCAAAGAGCGACTCTGATGGCGGTCATTTTGCAGACGAACTGAAGAAAAAACTCGAATTAAAACTAAAGAAAACTGAAGACAACAAGTCTGTTACAACCAGTCAAACTGGTCAGACTGGTAATGATGATGATATCTATGACGAAGTAGATACATGTGATCCCTTCTATAGTGAACCTGATCCATATAATGAGCCCGCTGTGTAAACGTGGATGTCCATTGGTTTAATAATGTATCGTTTACAAATAAACCTAACTCTAACGAGGTTTCACTCTTACAAAATTTTTGGCTCGTGGTCTCGCTTTCATGATATAAAGCCTTGCCTTTTTTAAAATTTGCATGCGCACATCCGCAAGGTCAATGTTAAATAGGGAAGAGGCGATAAGAGCCCAACCCACCATCGTTCATAGCCAACTGTTGCCTGTCAGTAAGTTTAAACAGCCTCACTGAAACTAGAGTGACATTTGAGTCTATGTAGGCCACTTTGTGAAGCTAAAACAAAAAACCACATCTTGCTGGCAAATGCTGCTTTATTATGCCGGCTTCGTGGGCACACCTTCGTCTACAGGAGTATCTCGTGTAGCCCTAAAACCGTTTTTCATTGTTTTAATTAGCTAGCGATATTTTTCGCGAAAATGGAAACGTTAAGTCTATGATCTTTCAAAACCAGTTGGTTTTGAACGATGGTGGTCGATTGATCGTGTCTCAATGACGAAAATAATTCGGTTTTTAGCAAGCAATTAGAAAAGTAACAGGGTGTAATAAAATACTGCAAAATAAATAACTAATTGTGTGAAATAATTCATGTGGGCAGGTAATGATTCTGAAAATAGTAAGACTGAAGAAAGAGAAATTTTAACTAGATTGTAAATATTGCATGAATCTTAGTATAGTAATTTAATATGAAATCATTCCACATCGTTCCTGTAGTGTCCGAGATTAAGACATGTATTGAGGAGTATAGTTGCACAATAAAAAATTCACACTATTACATATTTTGATGTAATTGTATTAGATTTCTTCCAATATATATATACAGTATGCCATCTAGGTTCTGCAATCAACAAAATAGGTTATAATTTGCTTCTTATCAATTGATCATAAACTTTGCTTTTATTAATTCCCAACTTAGTCTCTGATAACCACTCTTGATACTCAAACTCTGGACTTCTTTCAAACAACAAAGAAGCAACGTGCGTTGCAATTACAGCTGTCAAACCCCATATGATGTGGACATTGTCACTACTTTCCCCAAACTCAAAGTAATCCAACTTTCTTTGGCTTTGCTTGCCCTCATGCTTACCAGAAGCAAATAGTCTACATTTATGATATTTCTTTAATATGAATGTCTCTAACGGTACTGTCAAAATCTCACAAACTTCGAAAGGGTTTATACTCGGTGAAAACGTTTTGTAATTCAACACTTCGGCCACGACTGGAGTGACAACGTAATTCGTTTGTGTGACATGTGGCAGCAGTTTGCCAATGATTTTTAAATGATCAGATGCCATACCAATTTCTTCATATGTCTCTCTCAGAGCTGTGGCAACTATATTTTCATCCGTTGAATCTCGTTTACCACCAGGAAAGGACACCTGGCCAGGATAGCTCGATAAGTTCATGGAACGAACCGTAAGCAGAACAGATGGAACGTCATTTTTTATGACAATTGGCACTAAAACAGCTGCTTCTGTGAGAGTTTTAGAATGGATATCATCTAACGTTTGTTCAAAACTCGAAATAGCTTCAATGTTTGCTTTAAATTTATGAAAAGACCACATACTGCATATATAAAAAGCATATATAAAAAAAAATGATTATTTTGCGAAAGTACTTTTGTAAGAAAATGCGGCCATATTGAATTTGGCCATGAAATTTCCGGCATTTCCCACTTCGTCGCATATTTTCTCCGGTACTTTTCTCAGAAACATAACAACATGGCGACGCCAAGGACGCTATTTGAGTTGTTAACGTAACTTAGTATTTATTTTTAATACGCAACAGGACCATAAACGTTTCAAATAATGCAGGAGGAAGACGCAAGATACTTAAAAAGGTATGTTACTTTAGTATTATCTCTTTTAATAGTCAGTATATACCAGTCTTATGAATGAATTTTTGTCAAGAACACAAAATTCCTTTCTTAAATGATTAAATATAAATCTATACTAGACGTGTAAAAGCTGGGACAATTGATGTCCATCCAACAGAGAAGGCAATTGTCGTCAACTATGAACTGGAGGCAACAATTCTTGGGGAAATGGGTGACCCAATGTTGGGGGAAAAGAAGGAATGTCAAAAAATGTACGTTGACAGAGTGGAGCTAGGTCGATTAGCCTTTCTCACGATGACGTTTTTAGGGCTCTTTCAATTCTCTCAAATGGGTTTAAAAAATTATAACAACATGAAAAGCAATTTTTTAGAATCAACAGAACATTTTAAGAATAGACTCAGCCTAAAAATAAAGATAGTCGCCGTTACGAGGTCTTACGCTCTTGGTTTATGGTTTTCCGTTTTGACAAAAGGTACCCCAAAAATAGCGGCATATTCGTCATCGTGAGAATTGAGAAAGGCTAATTGTGTGGTATTTATTAAGACGATCACAGTGCTCACCTCCATTTCTATTATTCTCTATTAAATCCTTTTATACAAATTTTAAAATTTTATCTCCCATTTCCCTTCTTTCCTCACCTGCAACATCTCCCTTTCTCTCTTATTGATAAACACGATGTTCTAGCTCTATTGAGAAGTATGATGAGCAATCAGTATGGTGATGATGAAATATATTTTGAATCATGAGAATTTGCAACACACTAACAAATTCTAAATTACCCAAATCCTGATGATAAACACCACAAAAAATGTCAAATGTCCTACACTGTTTTTTCTTCATCTGTATTTTCAACTATTTTCAATACAATGTCAGTACTACCCATGGAAACACTTCCCATCCCATTCATTACAGATCATCCCCTTGTTTATGCAACTTTTCCATTCAAAACTCGCCATTTTTTTCACAGAATTCGTTTGAAGAGTCTAAATTCAACATCAAATATCCGGGCAGTTGCACAGCAAATTGTTGCCAAATGTAACCTCATTCATCCCTCTAAAATACCAGAAGTGGAACAATTGCTTTATTATCTCCAGAAAAGGAAGGACACTGCTGTTAGCAGTGCAAAAACAAGTATGAACAAATTATATCTGTTGGGCTACACCTGTCCTCAAAACCTACATGCTCCCTAATTCCTAGAAACTTGCACAGACTTAAATATTTTTTACACCTGCTAAATGAAATATTTTAAAATAAGTAATCATTCATTCTCAGGTCAATCAACCAGTTTGCAAGACCAATTAGATGCAGCTGGATTTGAAGGTCTTAATGTAAGTAATCTAATTCTTATTTCATATATTATTAAAGAGCATATTTGAAACACAATTTATGTATGAACAAAAATTAACTTTCCACAGCCTGACGAGGTTGCAAATTTAAATGATCTGGATGAGTATATTGAGTTGCTTTATGAAGACATTCCTGAGAAAGTCAGGGGCACAGCATTTATACTGCAGCTTGCAAGAAACCCTGATAATATGGAAGAAATTGTTCAGAATGGTATGAAATACAACACAAAAATCAGATGTACATATCTGTACAGCATATCTGTACAATCCTTTGGCTAAAGTTGTTTGCTACAGCAAGTTTCTGATATTTTTGAATTTTTTTGCCTTCCAAATAGAAACAGTGCTTGGGGCATTAGCTCGAGTACTACGTGAAGACTCAAAGAAAAGCACAGAACTGGCAACAAATATTGTATACACCTTCTTCTGTTTCTCGTCTTTCTCTGATTTTCATGGCATTATCTCCCATCATAAGATTGGCGCAATGTGTATGTCAATCTTGGATCACGAAATCAAAAGATACGATAGTTGGCAGGAAGAACTTGAAAATAAAAACAAAGCTGATATCCTTTTACTCTGTGGTAGTTGTTTCAGCAGTATTTCAGCTATGTACAGTGTATGTCTTTTCTAAACACAGATTAGTGAGTATAGAAGCCTCTAATGATCCTGGGTTTAAGGTTTGGTGCAAACGTACTTCCAACTCGCAAATTACGGCCATATGGGTTTTCTAGGCGATAAATAAGCAGTAAGTCTGTCCATCGTTCATTTTCCCTAACCATGGCTAAGCTTGCGTAAAGATCACGAAAAAAGTTACAAGAAATTCGTGAATTTGTCTAAAAAGCAAGAGCAACTCTTACGAGGTTTGTGAAATTGCTCAGTGGAAATTGCATGAAAGTGCAACTGTGCTTCAAAAGCTACGGATCCGAGCTCCAGCAAGCTGCAGCATCATTTTGCTGTTTTAACCGTTTCTATAGTGACCGTCTACCTACTGCTCAATTTATCGGAAGACACAAAAGTTGAGGCGAAGATGATAAATAAAAAGATCGTGTATCTTTTGATGAAGTTGTTGAATCGTGAAAACTCGGACCTACTGATTCTTGTTGTCTCCTTTCTGAAGAAACTGAGTATTTTTAATGAAAACAAAAACGAAATGGTAAGTAAGTTGTGAAAACGAGTAACTCAGTATTATAAATGCAGAGTAACTGGAGTATATCAGGATTCAAACATGCACATTGTATTGAATTGTATTGAGGGTGCAAACTTCGGTTGGCAACGTGCAAATGGCTAAATTTGAGGTTTTGAATGTATGTATGGGAAATACAAGCGGCGCACGTGCTTTCATTAATGACATTATCATGATTCTAGGCAAGAAATGACATCATTGAAAAGATCGCTCACCTCATACCAAATCAAAACGAGGTAAATAATAATTATATTCCAGACCTGTTTTTCGCCAAATTTTATAATCGTATTTTTTTAACTTACTGCGTACGTACATGTAATGCTTCGCTGAGGCCTTCATTTGTAGCATGGAGGACCATCTGAACGTAATCCACTATATAATGTTAACATATACTGTCTATACTTTTTACTCTCTATATTCTGTGTAGGCTATAGTTTGTCGTGTTGACAAGTCCTTTTTGCAGGATGGTTCAGACTAAAAATCGCTTTTTTAAAAATACTTTTACCAAGAGTGTGCAGCTAAATTATGCGCAGTTCAATTATATCAGAAGTATAGCATAAGAACTCAGTTTGCCATCGACTTTTTCTTTATTTATTTAGGATCTTTTAAACATTACCCTACGTCTTCTGCTTAACCTTTCATTTGAAACCGAACTTCGTTCCAAAGCAGTTAAAAATGGACTGGTACCGAAGCTTGTAGCGCTTATTGGTACGTATGTGAGGGATTTCCATACATCCTGATTATCCCTTCCTACCCCAAATGATCCTTTCCATTTCAGAGCTTCAACCTATTCTCTTATCTTATCTTATCTTATCTTCAACTCTTATTCAGGAAATGAAATCCAATGTATCGTTGTTTTGTGTATTTTGTACCATATCAGTATGGACGATGGACACAAATCTATGTTTTCATATACAGACTGCATTCCATTAGTAAGTACAACGCTCTGCGTTTTACTGGTTATTCAACTTAGTTTGCCTGCACTGGATAGCATTTGTAGATAGAAATTGGGCTTTGGATATGTCCAGGTGGACCTGTTGAAATATGCAGGAAATTTGAAATTGAATTTCACTTTTCAATTTCACTTTTGAATTCCGCCAACTAACGCTTGTGAAAAGAGTACATCAATGCATTAAAACATAATTTCGGGACTAGAGAAACTAGTAACAACAAGACGCCCGGTAGGCGTTAACTCAGGCTGTGTAGCCGGTAAATACACTGCACTGAAACTGAGCTATATTGATACACTGTAAATATGCGACTGTCCGCGTGGAAAACTAAGCCTGCGACACGAAAAAAAAATAATAATAATCGCGAAACCTAGACTCGGCTACCACAGTAGCCCGAGTAATAATGGGAAGTCAAATTCAGAGATTCATAAAACCGCTGTGCCAATAATACATTTAACACGACTATAAATATATATATTGGTTAGGTTATGAAGATGCTGTTAGAGACGAAAAGTGATCATCTTCCTTTGGAGCTGTTGGCTTTAGCCATTAACCTGGCAACCCACAAAAATAATGCTCAGTTAATCTGTGAGGGTCCTGGCTTGAGATTACTCATGAAACGAGCGTTCAAGTTCAAGGATCCTCTCCTGTTGAAAATGGCGCGAAATATTTCGCAACATGACGGACCAACGAAGGAACTGTTTGTGGTGAGTTCACTAAACTTTGCTTGTTTTTAACACGTGCCATGGAAGTAGTGCTCAACTATTGTTGATAATAATGCGCAGAAGCTTTCGGACACTTCATGGAACTGGAATATTCTTATGTAGCTAATTTACTCTAGTTCTTCTTCAGTAATATACTGTATAAAATATGATGATTTTACAGCTAGACCCACTTATACCATTACGGTGCCGTTTTGTGTTACCATCTTTTTGTGTGTTTCAATTCAGCCATTTATCGCGGACTTAGCAAATGCGATTAAGACGTTCTCAGATGAGGAATTTGTGGTGGAAGCAGTTGGGATTCTGGGAAATATTGCTGTCCGTGGTTTAAACTACGCACAATTGTTGACGAAATTCGACATGTTGTCTTATATCAAGAGTAAATTGCAGCCAGGTAGGAACTGATTATCGTAAGCCTCTTGTCACAGACTACATGTGGTTATTCCTGGTTTTCTGTTTAGGTCATTCAATACCCAGATTATATTGAATGAATCAGGCACGAAACAAAATTCCCTTCAGAAATGAATTAGGCAGTTGACAATATGCAAATATCAGTAAATTAGTCATTAGCTAAAAAAAACTGGCAATATATAATGTATATACTGTGTTTGTATTATCCCAGTCTCCAGATTAGTAGAAATATACTTGTATATTATTCTAGAGTTACAACAGGAGAAACCTTGGTTGTAATAGGGTCATCAATTCAGAACCATTCTATTCCAAGTGTCTAGTATACAGTTGGTGCTCTAGTGTTCATTTATATAAACATAAACTATGGTGTCTTCCCTTAGTGTATACTCCAGTTCGAACTATTGTAAGGGTCCTCTCTCTTTGGTTCAGTGTTTCTATAACTGAAAGAGACCAAAATTTCGACATATGCAACATAATTGCAACATAATCGGACATGTGTATAAAGACGTATATGTATTTCAAATCGAATGTTATATTCGATTACTTAGTTGAACGATTGCTTCAATAGGGGCAGCTGAAGATGATTTAGTGTTGGGAGTAATCATCTTGATTGGAACTGTATGTGCAGATGACGCCTGTGCTGCACTTCTGGCAGAAGAAGGCGTACCACAAATACTTATTGATCTACTTAATGGTAAATTGAGAGATGATTTTAATTATAAAGATGTTCTATAATCAGCTCACGCTAGTTAAACCAATCGATGTTCTTTTAAATATTTCAGCAAAACAAGAAGACGATGAGGTTGTCTTGCAGATTGTTTATGTCTTTTATCAAATGGTCTTCCACAAAGCAACACGAGAGGTCATTGTAAAGCAGACTCGTATCCTTTTGTTTGTTAGCAACGTTGTTCCTAGGATCGTGATAGAACTGTAATAGTTACACCTAGCTTTTCAAAAAATCTAGACTTAATTGCATGTTAGCACACGTACAGTTTATGTTTAAGTTGAAAAAATATGTTTTTTCTTAATATTGTGTTCAGAAGCTCCAGCTTACCTCATTGATCTTATGCATGATAAGAATGCTGAGATTAGGAAGGTTTGCGATCAGACATTAGACATTATCATGGTGAGTATTGAATGAGCTTGTTTACACTATCAAGTCTCCGTAATATCGTTGGAGTTTTGAAGGATTTGCAAAATTCTGAATTCTAAAACAGTGCTTCAAATGGGTTTTGAAGTTTTTGAAGTTCAAGCTGTTACGTCTTTTGCTGCTAAGTTCGTGCTTAAAACCGAACTTACTCTATTCTAAATGCAAAGGTTTCAAAACTTAGAGTCGATGTATATATGTAAATATCATGTTGTGATCACTTAAACTTTGAAAGTGTAAGCCAGTCAACCTTACATTTTGTTACAAGACTCCAAATTCCTCGCTGGAGAAAGAGTGTCAGCAGATTTTCGCACTAATCGATCCACTTTTAGGAATTTGATCAGGAGTGGGCCAAGAAAATACAAATTGAGAAATTCCGTTGGCACAATTCTCAATGGCTTGAAATGGTCGAAGGTCATCAAGATGATAACGATGATGACGAACTTATGATGTACCCTGATGAACCTACCTTTATTGATAATGGTGATATACTTGATCGTCCAGATTTGTTCTACGGCCAACATGTGTATGGCGATATTGGGAGTCGAGAGGGAGCAAGTACACCCGAGATGATGATGCGAGGATCTGGACCCGAGTTTGACTTATACGACGACGAGCCTGGAAGTGACCGTGGTTACATGGGTGGATACCCAAGCCCCGTGGAAGCGTACTCGGACGGTGGGTTGATTAACGGTGATGACTGGGATCAAGTGCTGGATAATAGACCAAGCAGTCGTTATGGTCAACGGCCAATCAGTCGTCATGGTTACGGTGGCGCTGAATACGATGATAGGCCCGTATCAAGACATGGGCACAGTCAGGAATATGGTTATAGATAGGATATCTTTGGTAATTGGAAATCAGCAACAGATAAGTCAGAAACGATAATTTTATGTAACTTTTTAAGTACATATTCCGCTCTGCCACAGAAGATCATCCAAGCCTCATCAGGTCCTTTTGTACCCAGAGCGAAGGCCCTGGTTATGGGGTGGGATTTAAGACGCGTTTACACTAGATGCCTAGATCTGGCCTGGGCCAGGTTTAGGAGGAGTCTGGATAATATGTGCCCAGTTCACATTGTCTTTCTTGCTGATGGTATAAATAAGGTAGCTAACATAATTGACAAAATACTTGGAACAAGACCCAAACACGCCGAAATGTGGTAATACTAGTATGGATACAAAGATTATATTATTAAGTTTTAAGTTGAAAATTAGTCAGGACTAGGTGAAGCCCGTTCACATTGCAAAAATCGTGCTCCATGTCGTGCACTTTCTTCTGTTGGCCTGGATTTTGTGGCCTACACCAGACCTGGACCAGGTCCAGTCCAGGTCGAGGCACGTAGTGTAAACGCGACTTAACTGGAATTGTTTCATTCATCTTGAAATCTTTCAGCATTTCAAGTCTTTCCATTTAGTCCTAATTGTTGCTAACATATCAAGGTGAGTTAGGTGACTGATGTGATAGAATATTGCTGTGCGTGCAGTCAATCAATGATTGATTGGAATACAGAAAATAAAATGACTTGTTCACAACAACAGTTACGACAAAATGGAAACCAGGTTTTAGCGGTCTTATCGATAGTTGCTTCTGCACCCGAAATCAAGCACTTTGGTCTGGAAAGATGCATTTATATTATGTAAAAAATACGGTGTACATCACATGCGTAATGCGTTTGAATATATTGATATATGAATGAATATCAAACATGTAAATATAGAAATGCAATTGAAGTTGTCGACCGGTTTAAATCCGAAAATATAAAGGGGTTAAAGAAAATTTGGATGGATGACGTGAAAATGGGGAAGACGAAGGGAAGGTAAGCAAATAGCCTAACAGATAGCCTTGGTATATTTCCATGATCCTTTGCGTCATCGATTTCCATCGCTTTGTTAGGGACTGTGGAAGAGCTACCTTCTCCGCAGGAGCTAGGGAGCATTTCGGCTAGGCTCCCCAATCTGGAGTAGAACGAAACGTAAACCGAACGCTGTGCAGTCAGTGGTTCACCGAATCGGGCAATTTTTGCTTTCATACAGTTCCATAAAAAAAATTGCGCCGAAATTAGATTAGGGTTAAAGCAGTTCTTTATATGAATTTTTCTAATCTGTTTTAATCTTTTTTCATCAATATTTTCTGGATTGATAGAAGTCATATTTTCTAAAGTTTTAAAACGAACAGTAGTTCAGAAGCATATAAACTAAAACACTGGATTAAAATTTAACCCAGGTTAGCGCTAACCTAGCTTTGAACAACTGGCCCATGGAGTAGGAACGTGGGCGTATGGTTTGCCGTGCCAGTTTTTTAGGGATCTTGAATATAAACTCAACTTGGCAAAAGTTTTGAATCCCTAAGACGAGTGAAATTGTTTAATTAATGTGATTGGACATTTATTATCTCTTAGGATTAAAACGGTACATTGTAAATGGAACTAATATAAGTTGATGTTCGCGGGCATAGATGTGTTTTTGGCCCGACTCTGAACTGATCAGTAGCCCGAGAGCGTAGCGAGGGTTAAAATGTGTTCTGAGGAGGGCCAAAAAGACATTTATGCCCAAGAACATCAACTGTGTTACTATTATATCAACTTTAGAGGGAAAATTTTGTATAAGAAATTATGCAATGGGTAAACACTTCAGTCATTGAGCGGGCTTAAATATAATTCGGCACGGAAAATTTATCATTTAGCCCGCAAAATACACCGCAATGCCCACTAAAGTCAATATAATTTACATTAATTTACATTAACTGGTCTTTGGCCTTTATGGAAAAAGTTATTTATTTACTGTTCCAAGATACAACACCAAATATATTTTTTTGCTGTCCAATAACTTGAGCCATCTTTTTTTTTTTTACACAGATTTGCTCGCTATCTTTTCTTTCAGGCTCCCAACTTGGGCCATTATATTTTGTATTGTCTCCTGCCATTGGTCCTCGTATATAGTCGCACTGTTCAAACTGTTCACTTAATTTTTCATCGAGTCGACATTTACTTTCTTTTTGACCACATCTGTTCCACTTGACAATATTTTTCCAGCCTTCTAGGTCTCCTCGCAGATCTAGAAGTTTGTAGCTATTTAGCATTTCCTTTGATACTTCATATATGATGACAGATGCATTTTTTTTCGACTTGGCCCAGTCAACTGCACTCATACCATCTGGATTTAAATAGAACCCATCTCCACTGGAAAAATCAAGTTCTTTCTTCCCTTCCATTAAATTAATTCCTTTGTTAACAATGTTTAAAGCTGATTCATTATTTGTTCCATGAAACCAATATTCCAAGACATTGCTTCCACATCCAGTTGTTTTCTGTTTGATTGCACTCCTTGCATTACTCATGTTTTCTGCATTATAGAAGGGTATTTTGACAGGTGTATCCTTTTTATTCTTGGGATGCATTTCTACCATAAACCATGTATTCAACTTTTTGTGTTCATATGGATATGAATTTGTATATTTATTCAAGAAAATATTATTAAAAACATTCTTAAAATACTGTTCTGTTGAAGAAAAAAGCAACCAATATCCAAACACATGCTTCTTTGAATGTGCTCTTGAATCAGCAAATATCTCTAAACTCATTTCCTGTTGACTTGTTCTTGTTTAATTAAAGTTCACTGAGTAAAGAGGTTTTTGTGTGCTGTAAAGTTAACAAAAAAGCAAATTAGTTTGTAGGTACACCACATAATAATACTGCAAAGCTTTTGGTCTGTTAACCTGGGCCTGCATCAGTGCAATACAAGAATATTATAAATATTTTGACATTTTAAAGTACTCGATCTAAGTGTGTTTTTGGAGTTATATCCATGAGGTCACAACTCACAAACGAAAGACAAAAGATCTAATGCTAAGATGAAATAAAAACTATAAATTATTTACTGTTAAACAAGACACCTGCTCAGATGTCAATCTTGCAAGCACAGGGTCTTAACTATGCAAAGACTGGAAGGGTGCTACATCTAATTAAAACCCTTATTGGAGATATCTATGTGAATACCCAAAATCTGTAATAGAACTGCATGTGGTACATGACCAGGTTGGTGAAATGGCATTGAGGAATGGAGACTTTTCCAGGTAAAACATGAAAGCATCAAGGACAAGAGAGGGACAAGAGCAACACTTTTTAGATTTACGTGTGACACTAAAAACATAGTAGACTAGTTGGATAGAAAATTTAGATATAGTCTTATTATTACCAGACATGTGAACACTTTCAATGACATAGTGATTTGGATGGTTGGACCACAAAAATTGGTCAATATCACATGACACTCCCCCCCAATCCTGACTCGTTTGACACGCCCCTAATCTCATAAAATTTATGTGTCAATGAAATGCATGCATAAATTAATGTTTTGAGAGATGAGGCACTAAAGGCACTTATGTATACGATGGAAGCGACAAGGTGGAATCAAGCCCATTTTCCTTGCGTGAGGATAGTAGAAAGCAATATACATTTTTTTATACGATCAATCACATCACCGGTTACTTTTTGCTGCGTCGCACGAATAAATTCGACTAGTCGAGGAAGAAAGAATGCTTGACTTCCGGCTCAGTTCTTTAATACACATGACATAACTCTTACTGGCAATTTATTATTTACAAAAAAAACATACTCCGAATTTCGAAAAACAACATCATGTACAGAATGTTGTACATAATAAATTGCAAACAAGACAACCGCAAAATTGATGTCTTGTTTTACCGTTACATACTTCATACCTTGATTCTTGAGTTTAGTACAATCATGTTGTTTTTCGGAGCATGATTTTTATTGCATTTAATAAAATTGTCTGCTGGTAAAGGTTTTTTCATCAGGTGCGTCAAATGAATTATATATATCATGTACAATATCAGTAATGTACCCAAGTATAAAAGTAGCTATATTGCCATAGCATATAGCGATGGAAGTTTCTCGGGGCGGGGTGTTGATATTAGACTCATCTCTATGATTAGACCTGGCGTGAGGCCTAACGGGGCGCTTATAACAATCACTAGTATATACATAGAATCTAAAATGAGTTTGAAAAAATATACTTAAATACTTACGTCCAGAAACACACCATTCCAAACCTTCTCTTCCAAGAATTAACCAAGAAGCATGTGTTTGATACTTTGATGTTTGACATAATTATATTCAATTTCATTAGTCACGTGACCCGACCGCAAAGCATCAAGGTAAGGTTTGCTGTGACTAACGAAACTACGAAAGTCCTTCCCAAATAAATTGCGTTGCGAAGAAAAATACGAAAAAAATAGCAAGAAAACTAAAGTTATAAAGGTAAACTTTAATTATAGATATCTTCAGCAAGATAAACGTCGAAACAAGTATATAGTTTCGTACTTTTGGCATTGTTTGAAGGCTATTTTGACGATGTTTCGTCGTTTAGTAATAGGTGTTTTCTTTTAAATCATGGCATCATTAAAATTGTTGTCAAACTTTATAAACGGCAAATTGCCTTAGTTTCATTTATGAAATCGCATCTGTTAAATATGAGGGTGGATTTTTCTTGACCCAACATGTGATAGATACGTATGTCTAATTTCTCAAAATGCCGTAATTCTACACTATATTGAATACGTCATAATGACAACACTTTTTGTTTTCTTTAACCTTCCCTTATAAATGTGGTAGCAACTTTTTTACGCAACACCGAAAACAAGTTGATGATACTTTTTAAAATTGTTTATTGTTTATTGAATATTTTTACACTTCTGTATTCTGTAATGAAGAATTATTCCAAAAACTATTGTCAAAATGCTACATTTTTGCCTAAACATGAATTCCGAACTTCAGCAATTATTTTTGGCTGCAGGTCTTCTGTGAGTTGCAATATCCCCTGTATAACGCCTGTATTTGTGTTATTTTAACTTTTATTTGATATGACAATTGTTGATTCAAATGTGAAGGCTTGACCTGAGCAGAGAAGCAATCAGAATTGTGTGGGAATTTTCAATAATATCTTCAATGAGGATCTATAAATTATTCTTTCAAAGTAAAAAAATTCATCAGTATATTGACGGGGTATTTCTAGTTCACAATTGCATTATTGAGAATATGTCTTGCTATTAAACTCGTATGTTTTTTTTTTTTGTTTTTTGAATCTGCAGCAGATGAGTGACAGACTACCAGTGATGGCCTTTGCTAACAACATTCTTCCTAACTACCCCATTTCGCATCATTGGAAGTTAGGAAGTACACAATCTGACAAAGAAGACTACCTAAATACAGTTGTTGTTATAACAAATCAAGTGGTTAAATTGCCAGATCTTGAAGGTTGGAATTGAATCATTGACTAATTTTAAGCAAAACAGATAAAAAATTTAACAGACAAGTGTCTGTTATTTAACATTTCTATTGTTCTTAAAATTACATGGGTGGATATGACTCTATTTAAAGAAAGCATCAAAGATGACAACAGAATTTTTGAAAGAATTTTTGATACATCAAAGTCATTTGCTTTTCATGCCATATTTCATTTTCATGCTACTTTGTTAAAATCATCACTTTATTAATAATAATTGAATTTGGTCCATGTTGAATAAGAAACGTGTTACCAAGAAGCAAACAATGTAGCCCAAGGTACCAGTCATTCTAAGTACAGTCAAACCTTTATAAGCGGCACCCTGTTAATGGTCAACCCTTTGTTGAGTGGTCATGTGACAAATTCCCAAAATTTTCATAGTAGAAAATACTAACATATACCTTTGTTTAATTGTTTATATAATATACCTTTGTTGAACGGTTACCTCTATTAAGCGGACATGGTCACCCTTTCCATGGTCCCAAATTAAGCTTTTCAAGGTTTTGAAACTTTCATCAACAACATTACTAAAATTATCAACAATATAACTTTTTTTAGTTCATTTTTCTTGTGTAAACTTCCATTTCCGTTATACCTACACAAAATTTTTTTTATATACACTGTATGTCTTATCGTTACTTGATATGTGTAATAAAATATATATTTACATTTTACACCTTACATTTAAGTGTTGGGGTGATTCCTACAGGACCTTGATTAAATGATCAACCGGTATTAATCAGTTAACCGGTATTAATCGGTCACATGCAAAATCCCTGTTGGTACAGGATAGTACAGGTGACTGTACTAGTGATTTTCAATAATGTCTTTCAACTATTTTTTTTTCTCACACCCATAGCAAAAAACGAGAAGACTTTCCAAGATTTACAAAATGCTTTAAAATGCCTTACGGAAGCGACTGTCATGAGTCGATCCTGCTTGCAAATTGTTGAAAAACAGTTGAATGATATCAAAGACATTGATGAAAGTGTTGTGAAAAACCTGAGAAAACTGAAAGAACGCCTTTCAAAATTTATTGGTTACCTTGATAAAATTTTGCTGTTTTATTCAGATATGAATAACGTTGTTGATGTGAAACCTAGCCTTGAAAATGTAAAGGAAAGCACAGAAAAGTTAAAGAGTGTTCTTAAGAAGATGAATAAGGACAAACTACCAGATTTGTTTTCATGTTACTCCGAAAGAGATTGTCCGAAAGTTATTCCGGAAGAGATCCTTTGTGCATTTGTTGGCCTACAAAGTGATGTTGCTCAAAGACTCGCCAATTTGGACCCTGATGTCCGAAGTCACCAAACTGATATGTATTTTCTTCTACATTTCATCTCTGATGATTGCAGCAATGCTGAGGTTGATTTGAGAAACACCCAAGCAGTTGCATCCAAGTTGAAAGAAATGGGATTTACAGAAAGTCGTTCTCAACTTGTTGCTGGCTGGATATCAAAACAGTCTCTACCTGAACACCGGTCATTGCTATCCTGGGTGAGAAGATATATTGAGAACATTTTCAATTACGATATTTTCCTGAATGAATCAGTAGATCTGTTCCCCCATTCTTCTAACACAATCAACGAATGGTTTGAGGTTCAAGTCAAAATTTACCGGCCACGAACCAGTCATATGGTACAATTCTTCAACACAACGTCTTCTGCTGAGGCACTAAATGCATGTCAGAAACGAGCGCAGGAGTCGGGTTCGAAATGTTGGTTCCATGGAACAGATCACAAGGCTGCAAATAACATTGTTGAGAATGGCATTATCCTTAATAATGGGGCGACAAATCTTGATTTTTCACACGGTAGTGGTTTCTATTTGAACCCGGATTGCCAAAAAACAGTAGAGTGGATAAGCTCAGCAAAGGCTGGTGCAATAATCATGTTCAAAGCGTTAGAAAGAACTGAATTCAAATGTCTCAACCTAGAAAGCAATACAGAACACTGGAGTAGAGTAGTAAAGTGGAACCGAAGCGGTGAAGATAGAGATGAGAGCTTGGATGAAGACTTCGAAGAAGAGTATGAAGAGTGTGATTACATTCAAGGTCCAGTGAGTATTGATGGTGCTAAGAACACTGGCACAAATTGGGAGCCCCAACCTTCTGACGCACAGCAAATATGTGTAAAGTCAAAAAAGATGGCTTCTGCTATTGGACGACAAACCAACATAATTGGTGTTGTGTGCTGGAACTCAATTTAAAATGCCGTCTCAGTTTTGATGTACATAGGCTATTACACAGTTGTTTGTGTATTGTGTTAAATTCATATGCTTAATATTCAGTTTACCAAAACGTTTACCAATAGGATTTGGGAGGTTATTCTTTGACTGGTCTTTGAGTTTCCTGTTTGATTAGGGCTAACCGTGTGTGAGTTTTCATACAAGCATTTCATACAACTCCCGCTCCTCTTTTCCAAGTGGTTTTTGAAGGAGTGCTTTGGCCCGTTGTTAAGGCGGGTTGCTGGTCTGTTGAATATAAAAAATAAATCCGTAAAATAGGAAATGTTCAAATTAATATGAGATTGCTCCAGAAGTATTCATTGAAAATGAGCATGCTGAAATCCAACTGGTCTTTTATCATTTTAAAAAAAACTGAAATATTTTTTCAGAAATTGGCTCACATGCAGACCGGGGCTAAACTTGGTAACAATTTTTGGCTAGAAATACCCGTTTTGGACTATGTGCACACGGTAACGTTTTCGAGCGTTTTCATTTTCGTTTTCATGCCAAAACGGTTTGAAACACCGTCAATTTACAATAAAAGTTGGAGCTAACTTATAACATAAAGCATATTTTTCCTTGGAGAGTGTGGACAGGGGGTCAAAACAATAAAATAGACAAAAACGATTTTGAAAACGACGCTCGTGTGCACATAGCCTTGGAAGCTGTTACGAATTCCCTCAACGTTCAAGAACAATTAGACCCATATTTTCCGGTTTTGTACTTTTATATGATCATGAGTTTTCAAAGATATCACTGAAAATTGTGAGAAACTTCTCAAATAACATGCTTCTGCGGTGGTGCATTAATTTCCATGAATTTGGGACTCGTCGAGTTACGAGGTTTGTTCAGACGTACCATTTGAGCATGATCCCAAATTTGTGCAATCCCGTGTGACGTAGCCTTTGGCAAAAATAGTCAAAATATCTAAATCTTACCCATGCATCAGAAAACTTGAACAGTTTTTTAATGACTATGTATTGCGTTTTTTGGCGTTTGCGTGTTTTAGCAGTAAACATTCCTAGAAGTGACGCAAAAAATCCAGCATGGAGTTATGTCTATGTAGTGGAAAACGAAGCTTCTAAGAGTCCCATGTACCAGGAGATTTTCTACAGGGTGTATAAAAAAATCCTGCGAGCACTTATATTCATATATGTTCGCTTCTATCCAATGACAAAAGATCGTAGATCCTGGGAATTATTAGGGTTGCACTTTTTTGATACACACTGCCGTAGCATGATCATTGTTGCTCATTGGATACAACTTAGCACTGGTAACAGTTCTGTTGCATAATATTATTTTAGATTGGTATAGTACGATTACATCATAAATGACTATTTAAGAATAATCATGTTCCGTTTATTTCACTTTGTAGTGTTACAACATGGAGTGGGACTGTGGGAGCATGATTGACCGCAGTTTTCTCACGAATCTTGAATCTCAAACTTGGCAAACGTTTTGCCATTAGAAATGGTAAGCATTCTTAAAGTGTGAAGTTGTTTTTCTCTGGTAACTACAGAAAGTTTCGTAAGGTCAAAGGAATGTCGTCATTACTGCGTCGCGCACTGCGCGAACGCAGTCTCAAATTGCCGTCGGTGTTTTTTTGTTTTTTTTTTTTTTTTTTTTTTTTTGTGTTTTTTACGTTTTCGACCCGGTCTACCTGATTCCAAACTCAGCCTTATTCACTTATATCGTTAGCTACATATGCCTAGCACCAATAATGCAGTTTTACCCGTATATTCTGTACGAAGTGCTCTATTTACTAGAAAACCTAAGAAAGAAACATTTTTCTAAAGGAATAAATATTAACAGGAAATGGGGCACAGTTGCATGCAACGATTGGCGCGACGCAGTAACCGCCAGAATTGGCGTCTTGTTGGATTTGTATTCACAACTTGTGGAATGTGGATTCAACATCTATAGGTGAGGCCACCCCAATTGTCCCGCGTGGATACCACGTCATGCGTGGATTCTCAGCCGCATTGGGTCACAATCTACTGTCCTGCAATTAGATTTAATTCATTCACATAGCCCCGCTAAGCGGATGTAAAATATTTGACATTTTTTGCATTGGGCCGCGAACAGCACAATGCGCATCCATCAACACCGCGGAAAAACGTCTGCGCACGCGTCAACTCTGCCTGTAAGTGAGATTAAAAATAATTAAAAAGCGGTTCCGAACGTTTCCGAAGGCTAAAAATGGCGGTAAAAAGGAGTGATTTCATTCGTGTCTTCAAATCCATATTTCGATGGCATAAATAAACACTGCATTATAGAAACTAAGAGAAAAAACGTCCAGCGAGTCCTAGAAGTGGCATCCTACAAAAACACCTGTAAAAGGTGACTGTTGACAAATTTTTCGTCTCAAACATTTTGTTTATCAAATAAGCAACGACAGTTTCCGAACTTTTGATTGAGACACGTTTTATTAAAAAAAAATATGTCGCCAGATACGAGACGTTTGCGTGTTCTCAATGATTGAAAATTAAGATGTATTTTACAATTTAAATATATTAGAAAGCTTAACTTTCCGCGGGTTTTCTTAACTTTTAGGTTTAAACTTTTGTTTTCGAAAAATATTCTAAAGCCACCCCGTAAAAAAAAGGAAAATTTACCGAGAATTCCAGTTCGTTCGATACTCTAAATGCTAGAAGGCTTTTAATTTATGTTCTGTCTGGCCGTCTTGTATATTTTTGCCTTTTCTTAACTTATATTTTATCAAATAATGGGCATGTTTTGTTGCAAAAGTTGATATTTAGATTTACCATAATATTTTGATATTTCGGCGCGTGCGCAGACATTTTTCCGCGGTGTTGCATCCATCTGTGGCTGTTATTTACGAAATCAAACACCCTGGTGCGCGAGCGACATTCTGCGCATGCATCAGTAACGGATGAAACACGAATAAATTGTAGGTCATTGTAATTTGTGTTGCAAAAAGAGGTGTGAGAGACTTTGAAGTATTGGAATGAGTAAATAACATGATCCTGGTAGTGGTGTAATCGTCCGGACAATAATATACATCTGCTTGTTTAGTTCTAAAAAATGTAATACCTCAAAATATCGGAGTGTGTATATTTTAAAGTGTGTTTATATAAAATTTGTACAGCTTTATTCAGTTCTCCTATTTTTTTTTCACATTTCGCAACCAAATTTTCCGATTTTACAAATTCTTGAATGCGCTTTTGTATGTACAGCTGCATCTTAAACCGATCAACTTTCACTGTTCCCCCCGTTCAATGTTGGTAACACGAAAACATCCATCGCTAAACAGACACTATCTGACAAATATCAACGAAAAGAGATTTAAAAATGCCGTGGGGGAACGTTATCTCATATTAAAAATTGGTCAAAGATTGTTGCTCTGTCGTAAAAAAATCGTGCACCTTTTCTCGTTCACTGGAGCATTTCGGCCTCACGTTTGTAAGAAAATAATAATGATCATGAATAGATTTTTAGTTAAATATTCACTGCATACTATCTTATGTATATTATGCGGTACCCGCATTGACCGGGCTGCCTATGCTGATCATAATTAATTTTTGAGACCTGATTGTATTTTTAAACAGATAATGAATGACAATATCCCAGACCTCGGTGGTAAGGATATGGACACACTGAATGCATATTCACTGAATTTGATCAGCTAATGCGCGATCACAACAAACCCTGGAAGGTGAAAATCAATTGTGATTACTGTTTAAAACAATATTTCTCCGGTGCAATGTACACCCTAGTGCGTTGGTCACATATTCTGCATAGATGTGTACACAGGGTACCTCAATTAAACATACAAATCACGCAGTGTTTATACATTGTAACCTTCGTCGCATAAAGCATCCCGCATTTGTCTGCTGAAACACATTACTGTTCAACACTTTAGTGGGTGTACTGAACAAGCAGCTCTATTCAACACTTCAGAGGGTGTAACCTCGTATTGTCTCGTACTCTATAGTGGTATGATACAATTGATTTTTTTAGGCGTTGATAAAGTGGTCTGGTATAGACTGCATTGTTCTTGTCTGTGAAGCTGAAGTAAGGAGTAACTTTGGCACAAAAAATGGGCCGAAGAAGTTCACTGGTAAATTAATCATAAGAAGCAAGATATCTAGCTGTTCCGAGACCAAGAAAAGTACATTTTATTCCTTGGTTTTCCACAATTAACACTGGCTAACGGAGAGTTACCTAATTACAACATTGACGGTATGTCCTCTGCTTCAAACGGCTCACGAAGCCGAGTAGTCGGCAGAGATCTGACATGTTACCTTTGCCGTCAGCACTACAAGAACCCAAAACTTCTGCCATGTCTTCACACATTCTGTCAAGAATGTTTGGAAAAAGCGCACGAGAAAGACAACGAATCATTCCTTATCTGCCCGTCGTGTCAATCTCGATTCAACCTCAGCGCGAACGGTGGAATTGCAAGCCTCAAATCAAATTTCATGGTCAAAAACATGCTTGATTTGCTCGCAGTTAACCTAAACGAGGTTATCAATTGCGGCAACTGCGACGATAAAAATCGCGTCACGGTGCGTTGTGCTGAGTGCGCGGAGTTTTTATGTCAGCCTTGCGCGGATGGCCATAAACGGGTGCGTTTCACTCGGAATCATAGCCTTATGACCCTAAAAGAATGCGAAAATCAAGGAAAGATCCATAGCACCGCTTATTGCCCGAAGCACGAAGACGGGGTTTTGAAATTATTCTGCGAGACTTGCCAAGTTCCAATGTGTCGCGATTGCACGATTGTCGATCACCCGATCACGGTACACGAATATCGGTACGTCGAAGAAGCGTTTGAAACGTGTAAGGACGCTTTGAGCACGTTGTCCAACCAGGTGAGCGCGCAAATTCCCAATATCGTTGAAGCGGTCGGGCAGTTGAATGATATATCGCAACAGCTGGAGATCAACAAAGGAAGCGTTGCGCGGGATATCCATATTTATATTGAGCAGTATGTGTCAGCGTTGAGGCAGAGAGAGAAAGAACTTCTTGGAGAAATGGATAAAATATACAGTAGAAAACGACACGTATTATCAGTACAGAAGGAAAAGTTGGAACAAGATTTGAGTAAATTGAAGATTGCAACAGAATTCACAAATAAGGTAGGATATGGGGGAAAGTATGGTTGGGTTGGGTTGGGCAATGGACCCCGCAGCGATATTTTAAGCTCTGGCGGCATGGCGTTATCACTGTGGCTAAGACGTAGGAATTTAGTTCATATTAAGGAAGGGTGGGGTGGGGCGCAACCACTGGGTGCTTCCACCCCTAGCGCCGAGCAAATGAGAAGGTTAATATCACAAGTCTATGCCTAGAACGTTAAAAACGACCTTTTCAAAGTCCTATACCCGGCTTGGCCCCCGGGGCAATCCCTCCCCCTCCCCAATTGGGTGAGCTATATTGTTATACTCCCTGATTTCCTGAGAATGACTGGAAAGGAAAAGTTGCATTTGGGCACATAAGTCTTGCCATGAATAAAAAAAACTACTCATCAACAATGTTATTTTCTAGATATTAATATATGGCAGTCCTTTAGAAGTTCTTGGTATAAAGAAACAACTGTCAGCCCATCTGAAAAATCTTAAATCCAAAAAACAGCGTGGCGTTCCACTCTCTCCTCAAGAGACTGATCAAATGGAATTTCAACTGGAATACCAAGTTGCACAAAAACTTACGTGTATTCCAGATTTTGGAGAGATTGTCAGTGGATCATCGTCTAATGCAACAATTGTTGAGGGAGATGGTTTAAAACGTGCAATCGCTGGCAAGCCAGGTGATCACATACACTTCCATAGATTAGTCGGTTTAGCCCCCGGTGCCTTTCTCAAATGGAAAAGACAAATCTGTATTCCAACTGCCATAAAATAAAACTTTTTGTATATTTTAGGCAGTTGAAGGGCCGATTTGTCGTCAGATATGCAAAACTATACGGCTCACATAATGGCCCTGAAAACATTAATTAGGCAGTAATGTCTTTCGCGTTTTTCTGCTTACGTAAACTGTTTCTGCATCAAATTACAGGTTACTTATCTTAATCAAGTGAAATTCATTAACATTTTCATTTAAATAAATGTTAATTTTCTTAATTCTGTGCCTAAAGTTTGTAACTGTTTATCTACAGCGACATTTACTATCAAGAAGAATCCTTTCTTTATCGATGAACTTGATGATGATGATTCTGGAATTGTTTTAAAAGTGAAGAGTAAAGATGCGGATAGTATTGGAGCGGTTGATATCATTGAGGGGGAACATGGGACATATAGGGTGACATATGAACCTCAAACACCAGGTACGCTTCGTTTTCTTGTATTATGTACGTCTCAATTTTGACTCTGACTTGATGGTTTACTTTTTATCCTTGTCGTCAAAGCGTAGCGTATTTCCTACTACTCTAGTACTCGGGCAGAGATTGTGACTTTAAAAGGCATATGGCATGTTACCATACCTTTAAAGTAGTTCAGAAAGGTGACAGCTACTGTAACGATTAGTTCATTAAATGTTCACAAATCTATTTAGTTTGCATCTCTACTCTCAGGTACAGTTTGTTTGGCGGTATTCCTCAAAGATGATCATATCCATGGCAGTCCCTTTGTAGTCTCTGTTCATAAGGAAATCAAATATAACGAGGGCAGCAAAAAATATATATTAGGCTTGGATACCGACGGTCCTGGGCAGTTTGTATGTCCGTATGGTGTTGCAGTCTCCCCCCTGACAGGAGATATATGGGTGACAGACAGTGGGAATACAGAGGACCAAATACAGGTGAGGGGTGGGGGATGAAAAAGATAAGGGTGGGGACAGACGAAGGTTAATGATGATGATAGTCGCGATCATGAATTAATACATGATTAGGTTAGTTGATCTAATCAATATCATCCTTTTCAACAGGTTTTCAGCAAGAATAACCAGTTAAAATTTCGGTTTGGCAAGGTTGGCAACCAGCATGGTGAATTCAATGATCCAGCGGACATTACCTTCGTTGGTGATGACCGAGTGGCTGTTGTTGATAGAGGAAACCATCGTGTTCAAATTTTTAACGCAGAAGGTATATACACTCGTATAGTCAACGAAACATGACAGCTAGGCGTCTGGTTAGGAGTAGTGGACTGTTGTGAACGAACTACCTCGACATGATTACACGAATACAAAGCTCGTTTTCCACTGGGCGAATTTATTCACGCGACGCAAAGCGATATCTGAAATCCGGTGATGTGATTGGTTTGCGAAAAAATTCGCCGCGAAAAAGGTGGAATCGCTTCCTACTGTTTAGCAGTTCCCGCGGATAAATTCGCCTAGTGGAAAACGGGCTGTAGGCATAGTGACACGTATTTTAGTGTGACTTGTTGCGTTAGTGTCTTGAATTTTCTGAATAGATATAAAAAGGTTATAAATTTCTAAATCGGTATATAGATTCTAAAGATAGTTCGGACACGAAAAGAAAAAGAAGTCAGAAAAGAAACACTGTCATTGCTCTATCTTCTACCATGAATGCCATTTTCCTAACGAGATCGTGAAACAACTTTAATGATATTTTACAGGTCATTTTCAGTCGACATTTGGTACCAAAGGAAGCGGTGTTGGTCAGCTATCGTTCCCAACAGGCGTAGCGGCCAGTGACCATGCTATTATTGCTGTGTGTGACAATGGGAACAAGAGAGTTCAATTATTTAAAGACGATGGTTCTCACTTGATGACGCTCGATGAAAGCAACCCTAACGGTGTAAAATTCAGTTCTCCTTGGAATGCGGCAGTTAACCACCAACACGAGTTGATTGTCACAGATAGCATTAACCATTGTGTACTGGTGTTTGGTGGTGATGGTAAACTGGTACAGAGATTCGGTAGCCATGGTAACGGTGATGGTGAATTCAATACGCCAACTGGAGTGACAATTGATGGTGAGAATAACATCTTGGTGGTAGATCGCGATAATAATCGAGTTCAAGTTTTCACATCCACTGGTGTCTATATTGCGAAGATTAATACCCTTGGGGTTGATGGGGCTGAGTTCTTTCACCCAGGAGGCATTTGTGTAAGTCCATTTGGAGCAGTTATTGTAGCAGATTGTCTTTACAAGTGTGTAGAGGTGTTTCAATTTTAGTTCAAAATTGGTATAGATATGGTGAGGAATGTGAGGATATGGTTTTAGATTTTTATTCTTTCAAATTTACTAGAGCTAAAATGGGAATATATGTATTTGTTTAAATAAGTTAGGTTAATATTATGGTTAAAATGTAAAGAATTGACATACCTATAAATAAAAGAGGACATCAAACATTATTCTTCAAATAGTAAATGCAAATACTTGTAATTTTCAGTAGATATAAATTACACATGAATTATATTCACAATGTCAAATACCAAGTTACCCTATCACAGTACATTCAGATTCTTATTTTGTGTAAAAACTTAAATAATAAATTAATATCTTGCATTGGCTACAATACCACTGCTCATCATATGCTGGCAATAAATGCAGCTATCTCACTCTTCAGTTCATGAAAGTACGCCACAGCAAATAGTCTGAGTATTTTGAATGTTCCAATTACATCAAATGAAGTAAATAATCCATCTCCAATAAGTGATGGCAAACTCATTGGTAAGAATCCACGTCCATATTCAAATACCCATGTATTTTCCTTCAATGCCACAAAGCCTGTACTTTCACTCAGTGGGACAGTGAAATGATCTCCAGTGTTGTATTCAATAGCTTCTATTGTACCTTCCTTCCAGTACTTCAAAGACCCTGATAAAACTACAAATGTACTGTTTAACCAATGGCGACCTGAAAAAATAAATGAATATAGTTTTTCTCTCTTATGTGCGTTTTAAGTGCGCTATTCAAGCCCTCTCCCAAAATGGTGGCAAGCAAGATACTTGCATGATTTGATAAAAAAATATATTGCTGTTCTATACATATACTTGGCTAAAAAAATGCGAAGGACTATTTTATGATTGACCCTTCTCAGGCATGCTACTTGTACCTAGATAGCCATCTGTGTTTATTGCAGATCCAGTCAGTACTATATATTCTGTCAGAGATACATGTAGAATGGAAATGGATAGAGTCTGTCCAGAGCATTTATACATGGCCCATTCCCTGGTACGTTTCTGTTGTATATGTCCTGGGTAGCGTTCTTGTAGGTGGTTGGTGATTTTCTGAAATGCTTGCTGTGGGTCTTGACCTAAATTGTAATGATGAGAGTGAGTACCAGAACTTAACAAAATTCAATGAATACTATGGTTGAAATTATCTTATTTTAGAACCATCCTCAGACTTGAAGCTGTTGGAAAAAACTCATTTTTTCTTGAAAGCCTGCCAGTTATAGTCTTATAGATCACCTGATTGCTGGGTGATTATAATTGCGACATTGGACTTTACCATATTACTATATTTTGCTTACATGATATTTTGAATAAAGAATTATGGTAGTCAAAACTGTGGAAGACTTTACTGACATTCCTTTTTACCAAGTGGTCTTGTTTTCATGTTCTAAAATTTATTAAATCATTAATTGCTACATTTTATAAAATTTTGTATACCTGCATACTTTTTTCCTATTCTAACAATGCTCTCCCTGTCAAAAATATATGATTTTGTCTTCACCCAAAAATGAATGACAAATAGAAACATCAATATAAGCAAACAATTTTTTAAAAAGCGCATTGACATTTTCTTTCTTTTTGATTTTCGATTATATTTCACGGAAAAATCATACTCTTTAGTTCTCATTAGCCAATCACAAATTCGTATTACCAACAAAATTTTCTTAGAACCCCCCGGCGCAAATACTCATTGGTATTACATTTCAGGAGGGTTACACACCTATTTTTTTCAGGGAGACCAGTGCCAAACTCAAGAAAACCTGCACATATTCCACTAATAACTAATTCCAGTCTCCAGATTGATTTCAATATAAAAGTCATATTTAGTTTTATTAGAATGAAAAGTTACAGGTGAGTAACGTTGTGTTGAAATAGAATATTCTAATGAAAAACATATTAAAATAGTGAGCCATTTGACTGGGAGATTTTTTAATTTCCCGCCTGTCAAAGCTCAAAACGATTGAATCATTGAACGGCGCGCCATTTAAAATGTGATTTACTGATGGTTATCTCCAGTATAGGTATATGAAGGAAATTAAAGACTTAAATACTAACATAATTCGGTTTTGCACAGCCAAACCCAGGTGAAAATGATGTGTATAGATAGTGTTATTTTAGCAGTAATTTGATACGATTTAGGGTGCATATTTTTTGAAAGATATACTTAACAAAAATTGGCTTGTCATTTGCCCGGACTTGTTATTTGTGCATTGTTACTCTGAGTGGAAATGCTTGCTTAACTATGGTGGAAATCAAATATGCAGTTTATACCGATAGGTATCTGAAGGAACCAACCTGATCTAAGTTTCTCAATTGCTAGTACTTCATGGTATGATGGTGATAAGAATGTAAGATTGATATTCACCTGGAAAAATTATTCCTGAAAAGGGAATAAATCATTTTCCTGATAATTATACTATGTGGAAAAACATCACAAAAATTCCTGATGATTAACTTCTGTTAGAAAATGGAAGTGGTAAATGGATGTATTGGATAAATATCATGTCATCATGAACTATGTTATACCACTGGTTGTACACAATGATTTTTCAAAACAGTTAACCAAATTATATTGAAAATCTGACTATATATGACTTTATATGACCTATATAAATAGACAAGATTCTAGAGATGTAGAATCAAACTCAGTTTTTGTGCTCCACATTGAACATCAATTTTGTCAATTTTTGTGCTCCCTATGACTGCATTCTTTCTTTGAGTAATGTTATCAATGCAATGGCAACAGGAAAACCAGGCTAGAGATACAAGCAACAAAATCATGAGATATATGTTTAATTATGTTCTTTTGTAAATCTTCCCAATCACAGCTAAAGAACACAAGTCACTATGATGACATGATCACATCAAGTAATTTATACTGATATAAGTGAAGCATTTGACTCCTTGAAACTCAGTGTATTGTTGCCAACTAGGGCTTACTGATTTGAGTAAGAATACAAGAACATGCTTTCTTAGCAAGAACATGCTTGACCAGGTTACCAGGTACTTATAGTCTTGGGCCACTACTATGTAATATTTATAAGAATAGAAAGAAACATTCCAGCTGTAATCATTAATCAAAAACAAGAACAAGTTACTTTAAAAGTCAAGACAGACAGAAAAAGCATCTGCATCATGGGGAGAAAATATTGATATATAGCTATATTGATAACAGCTATATTGATAACCCCCTTATCTTAATGTCGTAAGCTTACAAAATGAGTTGTGGAATAATATGTATCAGAAAGGAATATTTACATCTATAGTATTCTACCAATCTTTCTTTGATTTTACAATTAACTATTTATGGATCACATTCCCTGACATCTCCAGACTAACTGGAGTAGGATCAAAAGTGTGACTAAAGGTGTGATCTGCTTAATTTTCATTAGTTTTACTCAGAGAAATATAATACAAATGTTTTACCTGCATTGGTTCAAAACAGCACTATCAACTGCGTATAGCATTCGTAATACTGGTACAATTTGTCTAGATGCATCATGTCAATGAACACAAACTACCTTATTGGTTGATAAACTTTCACCTATGTTTGCAGACATGACAACCACATGCAATGTTTCGGAGGCAAATGTTGACCCAGACTATGAGACCTTGCAGGAGGAAAGTGTTGGTGAAGTTAATGAAAGTTTACAGCGAGAAGATGCAAGGGACCAGACTGTTCAAAAAATTCAGGACATAATTCATGAACAGTTCTCATTCGAGATCAATCTTAAGGAAAAAGAAGTCTCAACACTTAACAGCAGAGTTCATGAATGTCGAACAAACTTGGACCGACTCAGGGCATGTATCCTTGCTGGATATTATGGATATGGCACCCCACCTCAGTCAGCACGCCAGGTTGGTGCACGAACAGGAAAAACCAGAAACTCAACTTTAAAGGAAGCAAGTCTACATGAAATTATGAATTGGAAGAAATCTTTGCCACCAAACATTAAGGAACAACCAACTGATCAAAATTTATCCAATCCTGACTGCACCAAAAAAGACTTAACAAAGACCAGTAATCCAACCCCTAGGGACATTGATTCTCTAAATTTGTTTGAATGTAGTAAACGTGAGTCGTTTGATAACGAGTCGAGGTTCTATGTCAAAAGAAGAATCATAATTGGCAACACGTCAAAGTACATTCTCCCTGAACAGCGAGAGAGAAACGACAGGTCCACTCACAAATGGATGGTTTATGTCCGTGGTCCCAAAGATGGCAGTGAATTGAATAATTTCATAAGCAAAGTATGGTTCCTGCTCCACCCAAGTTACCAACCCAACGATCTGGTTGAGGTGTGCAAACCCCCTTTTCAGGTAACGAGACGAGGCTGGGGTGAGTTTCCTGTTCGTGTCCAACTGCATTTTGTTGAGAACAAGAACAAGCGTGTTGACATTATTCATCATTTAAAACTTGATAAATCATACACAGGCTTGCAAACGCTTGGTGCAGAGACACATGTTGATATTGAACTTGATCGAAAGAACTTTGACGGTTTGAGCATGAGTAAATCTTTGGTTGAAGATACTAACAGGAAGAATATAACCTCTAGTTCACAAGTCCTACCCACGAACCTTTGTTCAGTGAGGGAATCTGCAGCACCAGTTAGTTCTAAGTGTTTTGAGCTACCGCCAGTAGAAAATGTCACTGCAGTGGATTCTGGTAGCCCAAAGGAGGTAGGGACGGTTAAATATGGTTCCAATCCAGACCATGGTATTTTTTGTGATCATTCGTACAGCAGTATTGGGACAGAAGAAAAAACAAGCACCGAACATGATATGAAATACCCAACACCACCAACCTCCGCTAATGGTTCAAGATGTTCATCACCTAGAAAAGATCCTAAATTGACAGAATCGTTCTCAGTTGAAGCAGACATCGAGCAAGAATCTTTGCTACGAAAATCGATTGAGCAATTCCCTGTCATAACAGCTGAAAAAAACTTCAATACACCGGGCTATTGTGCTAGCAGTTTGGAGCAGTTCTTCAGTTGGACCATTGGTAAACGGCTGGCAGCGGAATGGCAGCGCGCACTAGCTATAAAGGCGCATATAAAGAAACAGAAAGCTTTGAGATTACGTCTTGAGAATGAGGTGCTGGGTCTGGAAGCACAAGTCAAGGAAGAGAGCCATGCATTGTCGCTATCTACAAAAGATGTCATGAATTACTGTCGCACACATGGGTACACGCCGATGATGGTGGATGCTTTGTCTGAAGGAGAGACGCTTTGCAAGTTTTGTGGTGAGGAAGTAGATGAATCCGAATGTGACGAGGATGGCCGGCCTATGTTAGCTCATGAGGAATGTGTTTCAGAGTTTGAAGAGGATGATGTTTCAGGGACTTACACTACTGCCAAATCATTTTTGGAAATTTTAAGCAAGTCAGAGGCAACTTCGGTAAAGCAAGATGAGAGAAAGATAGATGATGATGTAATCGATGTGGTTGGAGTAACGCACAAAATCGTAACCAGAGATCCCTCAAAGCCAAGGTTGTTTTTCCTTCCTGTGACAGTAGAGCATGAGTGGGTGCAAGAAATAGCCCAAGAAGTGAATGTATCGTTGACAAATTCCGATATTGATGGTGTTCATGCTCCTGTCACATCCGCAATGCTGTTCAAAGCATGTGCCATGTTTGTTGAAGATATTGTTCGCAAGGCGAACAGATTTACGTGGAAATCCACGATGCACATTCCAAAAGCAAAGTGTATTCTTCCGTCGCACGTGAAACAAGCTGTGGACGCTATACCACATTGTGATTTTTTGACCAACAAGAATATGAAAGTTGATGTCGACACACCAGACGACTGACATAAATTGAAAAGCACTGTAGCCAGTTGTAGAGAACTGAATAGCGCTATCCACCTCTAGTGATTTCTCAGTCATCGTAAAAAGCCATGGAAAGCAATAAAGCAACAGTTTTTGGCTCCCAACAGATATGAGAACTTCTATCCCGATAAGAATGCTATATAAGTCTCAACCCAGGCTACACCAAAGTTCAGGCAATTTTGAAGGGATTTTAAACGCTATACGCGTTGGATAGCGTTATCAGCCTCTCAGTCCTTCGTTAAACTGGACACTGTTTTGTAATGAAAATTACCTGACTGGTATTCAGTTTCGTGTATTCCGTCCGAATTTAGATTCATTCATTTCTATTCAAATATTCTAGAACGCAATACAATTGCATACTTAAACAAAACACTAAATTCTGTTTATTTATTTAAGAAAAAAAACTAAAAGTAGTCTTACTGTTTACAACAAAAACCGAGCGCATTTGTTGCCCGGTGACGGTGTAAATATATATATATACTAGTATTGTTTGACTACAGTACAGGGGTAATACTAAAATTTACCTAAGACCATTCTACACGGATCAGTTCAAATCACATGTTTTTCTAATGTCGACATTTCTGAACTTTTCTCATCGATGGATGTTCATGTCTGGTAATATCGTTCAAATTATTATAGTGTGGGCAAAAATGTTCCCAAAATGAATTAACTCTTTCTGAAAAATCTTCCATTTTACCCTAATATGACGCCAGAAAATCGTATACCAAACAATTCTTCATAAGTACTTCAACACCGATAACCTCTTGAGACTTTTTTCTTGTATTTTTGTACTTGTATTTTTGAAACTTGTACTTCTTTGTATTTTTCAGGTAGTCCACTTCATATTAAGACATTTCCTAGATCGGTAATCTCTGTTCGACACATTGTCATTGATATATCCTTCCAACACCCGTTTCATCATATTACAGGCAACAATTAGTGAATTATTACTAAGCGTCCATGGCGTGACCTCAGTTTTTGAATATCTTGTTTAGTCATGTTATTGTTCAAAAGGTTTAATTGATTGATTTTACAATTTTGGTTTTTCAAGGCTTTGCTGAGATGTTCGACGCCTATTTTGCCTATCTCGTTGCAGGAGAGATCCAGCAAGGTAAGTTTACAATTTTCATTCATTAACGCATTGCAAACCGTCTCCACGCCATGATTTTTGATCTTGTTGTTAGCTAGGGATAAATGCACCAGCTTGCAGATATTTTCTTCTATAAGACCAGGAAAAATACACTCCACTCCAACGTCAGCTAACTCGTTAACACCAAGGTCTAATTTAGTAAGCGTGCAGATTTTACTCAACAAAACATCACGTATCGGTTCAATATCATGGGCTTTCAGGCCATTTCGTTGAAGAACTAGACTAGTTACTTTACATTTCCCAATTTGCAGGACATCGCATAAGCTTTTGACTCCTTCCCTGTTTATGTTATTACCACTAAGACATATATCGACAAGTTTACAATTCTTATGTTGCAATGCTTCACAAAGTACAGCAACGCCTTCGTTTCCTATTTGACCTCCACTCAAATTCAGTTTAGTGAGGTTGCAATTAGGGTGAATTAAGGCCCTGCTCAGGGCTTCGGCACCTTCATAAAATATTTTGTTACTTCTCAGATCGAGCAGATTTAGATTCAACTTTTTCCCTATCATTGCATCCGATAGACATTTCACACCTGCAGCTTTTATTTGATTAATTTCGAGTATCAAGCTGATTATTCGATGTGTTTTGGTATCTATTTTATCACATATTATCCTAATGCCTTCATCACTTAACGAAATACGAGTTAAATTTAACAAAGTAAGGTTAACTTTTTCATTAATGAATTTTGCAAGACCATGGCATCCAAGATCAGAAATCTGATTGTTAGAGACGTTTAGTTTGGTTAAATTTTTAACGTGAATAAGAAATTGAAATAATGCTGTACAATCAACTGGTGCAATATTTAGTCCACTGAGATTGAAAATGGCTTTGTTACCTCCACCATCCACCTCATTTGCACATAATTTCACCATTTCTTTATCTTGCATTTCATGTAAGCATTTGATGACCAGCAGAGCAGCACTTTTGTCAATCATTTTTGAATTAGGCATAGTTAAAGGGCGAATCAATTGCAAGAAACTATATAGAAGAAGAAAAGAAGATAAGAGTTTTGCTAGTTAATTATACTTCTCCAAACCTTTTACTAATCACATGGATTGCTAGCAGTTCAAATCAGATACACATGCCTAATAATATCAGGGCCTGTTAAGCATGTTAGAGAGTGGGGTGGGGGCTAAGCCTAAATCATAGATGCAAAGACATCCCCAGTGGCAATTAATGGTTTTAACTACACAAACACAAGTAATCTTAATTTGGAACCCCTTCCCCCTCACATAACCTAACCCAATCCCAAACACAACCGTATACCCTACAGTACAGGTAACTCTCCTTCTCCTTCAACCCTAATTATTACCCAGTCCAAAATTATCATGCTTTGCGAATTCGGGACACGAATTACCCACCTTCTACAAATATTTTCTTTTGGTACGTCGATGCTCTTCTGTCGTATTTTCTCTCCCAACAAACCAGCAACAAACTGGACAACCAGATGCCAGTGAGGCTTTTCCAGATAGTTCTTGAAAGAACTTAAAAATTGTCTCACATCACAGATATCTTTCATGCCGTCAACAATATGGTAGGCAGCGAGAAATTCTTTCATGGTGGTGTGAAGAAAACAATAATACTCGTCTGGCAATCGTGTAAGCAAACCACAGCTTATGATATTTTGGGAAATATCTTCGGCTTCAAGTTGAAAGCTTGTTTCGGTGGATTCCATTTCAGATTTAGCTATCTTTTTCAATTTTTTCATAAAGTTTTCAGGCGACTGAGGTAGGGATGAGATTAAGTAGCCTCTTGTACCAAAACTTTTGAATTTCAATTGTTTGGAAACTATAACTCTGATAGCTCGTTGGTACAATTCAGTCATAGTTTTTGGAATGTATTTTTCAATATCATTTTCAGTATTGGACTTCTCAAAGCATTCATTTAAAATTAAACAAACAAGATCACAGGTTGCTGGTGTATAGCATAAACTCAAAAACTCTGCATTTGATTCAATTGTTCTCCACACATTCCCGCTTTCGTGCCTTGCCTGGCAAAATGCTCTCACATAATCTTTGATGTCGTTCTTAGTGAAGCCAAGAAGCTCTAACCTTGTTTGAAATGTTACCTTCAAGAAATTGCACATCTTTTCTGCTTTGTAAGGTCTCGATGATGTTATTATTGTTGCACCTGGTAGAAATTTATTTTTGAGAAGCTTCAAATAGATTGCGAACATTGACATCGTTCCTTGGTAATCGTTTACCGTATCTTCGTCCAGTTCTTCTAAACAATGATCCCAATCAATTTGAATATCATCCAAGCCGTCAAAAATGAGAACAACTTTCTTAGGATTCACAAGAATAAACTTAAAAAGTTCTTCAAAATTCGTTCCCGAGGGTATCCCTTCACCTTGGCGTAACATCATCTTAAGCGTGGTTAGTTTATTCTTTCTGAATTCCCGAAATCTCAGAAAGATAACAACTTTGTCTTCTAAGAATGAACATGTTGCCCACCTGTATAGAATAGCTTTGGTTGCCGTGGTTTTACCAATTCCGGCTCGACCAGTGATGAGAATTTTATCACAAATTTTTAAGATTTGGGAATAATGAGTTATAGGATCGGTGGTTGTGTTGGGGTCGTCGGTGTTGCTGGTATGATTGTCATTGTTACCAATAACAATCTGTACATGTTCATCTGGGAACAAATGAAGCAATGGATTCTTCGTCGAAGCTTGATCTTGCTTTAAATGCACGTTATAAATCTCGTGCTTCTGTGAACTTCTTTCGATTACTTCGTATGCAAGAAACCGGAAATTCAAATCACCAAGCAGTTGTCCGCTTGGATGGAACGGTGACATTACATAACGAAATTGTTCGTTCTTCCTAACCGTCTTTCGAATTCGTTTCAAAATTTGTCGTATTGTCAAGTTCCGTTTTTCAAGTACATACATGGAACAGAATTCGACATCGCTTGCAAAGTCGCTATCTTGAGAGAAAATGTACAGCAGATACCCAACTTCCATAAAACCAAGCGTGCCGATAATACAATCAATAATCAAAGCTGAGGTAGCCAATGTCGTGAATTTCTCTCCAAGCGGGTTAACACATTCTACAATAGTTTCATCGTTCCATTGGCATTGGAATTTCATTGGAAAATTTGCCGGGTAGATTAAAAGAAAGTACAAGATTATAGGCACAATACGACCGAGAATTAGGTGTAAAATGTACAAGGGAAATATAAAAATATTCGTTTCTTGCGATCTCTCTTTCAGCCAAGATTCTTGGTCATTTTCATCGCCGTTTTGAGGTGATTTACTAAGAAATGTTTCAACCTTTGAGTTCACAAGGCCAACATAAAGGACAGAAATTACCAGCATAAGACCAAAATTTATGACAACGAACCTACTCACAGGCACGGATGGATGATGAATCCGTTCATACTCTATATAACAGTTCGTCTCTACAAAATTCTTTGCTACTAAATCGGCAGCAATTGTCTTGTTCGGGTTGCAACGAAAATTTGCCTTCTCCTTCAAGTCGTATCCGACTCCTATAAGAATCACAGCAGACAGAAAGATGATTGTTAAAAATATGCGACCATTTCTGTTGTAACTTTTCGATGACAAAGGAATAAACGTTTCCCAGGAATCCATCTCTTTCAAACATTCGCTGTAACCTGTAGTGAAATGTGCAATGTGAAATATGAAACGCTTTGTGAACATTTGTTATGATTGAAAGTATATTATTAGCATCTTTATGCATCAGTCATTAAATTAAGTTTGCCCTCCTGCTATCAACTAATCTTATATTCATACTTTTTAAAAGATTTGCATTTTTAGTCTATTCTTTAGCCAGTTTTAGGATACTTTTAAGTATAGTTATCATAAAGAACAACTCGGTAAGAATTTTAAAATTTAGGATACTGTTGCTAACTAAGTAACTCATTCAGGAAGAAAAATTGAGGGAAAGCATTTGCTTCGATACTGTTTAAAATCACTTAAAAATATATTTCTACAATATCTATTTACAATACTTTACAATACTATTTTTGGTATATTCAATTTTAGACCTTATTTTTCAATATGTAATACATTGACTCGTTCTTGTCATCCTACCAACGTGACCACCATCCAGTGAACTCGTGTATACATATTGAGATCACTGCCACCATCCAGAAATCTCGTATCGCTTATCACTCTCCATCACTGAGCATCAGCTAAAATGCCTCTACTTTTCCCCAACATGTCAGGCTTGTGACGTGCAGACTTCTGATGTGCTCGTAGTCCCGCGAGTTGCGAGTATGCGAAATGACAAACTGTACATTTGTAAGGTTTTTCCCCTGTATGTAATCGCGTATGGTTGCGCAGCGTTGAGGACTGGGAAAAACTTTTCTTACAGTATTTGCATTGGAAAGGCTTCTCAAGTGTATGTATTCTCATATGCGAACGAAGATTGCTACGAGAGTTAAATCCTCGGCGACATATCGTGCATTTCAAACGCCCATTGTGATCTGGTGGGAACTCTTTCATCTGGCTGACGATTATACTTTCTTCAACTGCGAAGAAAAAGATTTTGTATTAGTTTAAATTTAAACCCTATGAACAGTGCGAACATAAGAACCGGCTTATTAAGTGCTAAAGAACAAAAAATGGTGTTTCCTAGCCATGTTTTCCACAGTTGGGCAAACCAGGAAATATTTTTCTTCCTATAATCATGTTTCCCCAAGGTTGAAAAATCAGGAAGCACTGTTTCCAAAAGATAGACTAATCACGAATAAATGGTTTCCTAGACTATTCCGTTGGTAATTTGGCTAGGAAAATGAATTTTTCCCAAAAAGTATTTTCTCACATATCTGACGTTCACTAATGTATTATTACCCATTTAATATCAAAATACCTTCATAGTTCCGGCGTCTTCTAGGGCGTTCAGCAATTGGTGGAATGCCGGGAATTCCCAGAAACTGTACATAACTGGGCCCATACCAAACTAATAACTCTTGCTCTGGGGGAATGTCTTTGATAGCACGATAATAAATACTGTTTCCATATTGAAAAACCTCTAGGTTCTGTTCTTGTTCGTTTCTTGCACAGTTCACAAAACACATCCAGTTTCGAGGCGTTTCATTTTTGCCGTCGATAAAATGGCTGACTTCTCCATCTTCGCTAAGCACCTTAAAATATTTCATATTCAATTAAAATACTAATTACATGGCCGCATGTTATTAAACCATTTTCCGACAATCATGAGCATTTCTTATTAACAAAAAGAGTAAGTTGCTAGAAATTCCTATAATGAATAACGAATTTTAAGCATTGACAAAGAGCCTCCTTAATCAAAACAACATCAAGGAAACCTACCTCCCACATAAGGTTGTTGTCCATTTTCAAGTCAATTTCATCTTTTCGTAAAACGTGACCAGTAAATGGTCCCATGTGTGTTCCTTCCTTAATCCAACAGTTCGTAAACACGCCATGTTTATTGCCAGGAACAGACGATGACCCAATGCACACTTGTTCGGGAAGCGATACAAATGTCATGTATTGAAGCGATTCGTGGTCCTTGTATTTTAATCTTGGCTTTTCCGCCTCTGTTTCAGCACTGTCCAATAGTGGTACGAGATTGTTTGGTGACAGACATGACACTTGTCCGAAGGCTTCACGATGGTCTGCGAAAGGGGACGAGGTTAGTACAAGCGTTGCATTAACGACGCACACTATAATAGTGTGCGATTACAGCAATAAAGCACGTTTTACAGCAATAAAGCACGTCTTTACAGCAATAATGCCAAAAAAAGCGCGTCATACAGCTATAAAGCACGTAAAATAACGGTGACAATTATAATTGTGACATTTTGAAGTTAGACTGGAAATTTCGGAGATCATTTTGTCTAGGAACTATGCTCGTACTATCAAAATATAATAAAAACGTGCTTTATTGCTTGTAATTCAATCTTGCGACGGTCTAATGAACTAAATAAAGTAAGATTTGTTTTCGAAAATCTTAAAGCAAGCTCAGTCTAAAAGTTGTGTAGAACATTGCCGTTTTACAGAGTATATATACGACTATATGTCAACAAACTTGTGGTAGCAAGTTGTCAACAAGCGGCCTGGCGTGAATAACTTCAGCTGGCTTGCAACAATTTTCACAATTAGCAGTGTACAAGCAAATTAGCAAAGCGAACAGAATAATGTAGTTACCAGTTTTCCGAGCGAAATCGGTGTGCTGCAAAATTTGTTACCACTGCGATGATTATACGTGTGAAAATTCCAAATCTTGGGCATGTTTTATTGACAAGATCTCGTCAGGCGTTAAACACAGATATATTTTCGTTCCATCTGCTACTAAATCATGCAATTATTATTCAAAATATATTGTTTAAATCGAAACAAAGTGTAATAACCATAAACAATTATTAGCTATCTTTGGGAAAAATCGTGAAAACAAGCATGTGATTAACAAACGATTTTTCTTTGTTTTCCTCTATCTTTAAACAAAATTTCATTAAATCATTTAGAAAGCTTATCTCGTCCCAAAAGACAGGTGACAATACGTATAACTTAATCATCAGTTGTTAATTGAGGATATCACATGCAAACCTAGTATAATTGTTAAGACGTAAAACATTCATTCGCTTGTACAGAATATCCGCTGCTATAAACGTAACTAATGTCAAATGCATGCATAGAATATTCAAAATTTTCAAATACAGAAAATTGTCGCCGGGGGAGATTTTAAACGAGAGTAAAAGACATTGTCATTGGAACTCTCTTTTCTCAGTATTAATTTGGCTATACAAACCTTTAGTCTTGGCAATGCATCAACTTAAGTTAGTTCAAACGCGGAATGCGCTTGGTAATTCCTCGAAAATCGCAATCTCGCTTTGCCTTTGTATGATTAAAAGAGATATTTTGACTTTTCTGTAACAAGGTGTGCTAATGTTTTCATGCCCAGACAAAATGTATGCCAAGCCGACATAGTATGAATTATCTTGAAAGAAGCAAGGATCGAAAATTATCCAGTCGTTGAAAGAACTTTTGTTCCGCAAGCCCATCTTTAATAACGTTATTGTCCAAAACACAATGTATATATGGGACTCCATATTTAACAATATACGTGTATGTAAATATTTTGCTTTTGTTACATAAGGGTAACTTTTTTATGTTCTTGAATTTTTGACACAATCTTTCGAGAAACCGGGAGAAAAAAAGAGTTGCATGTGCGATATGAAAATGATTAGTCAAGTGGAAGCTGTCTCGTATATATTTGTAAAAAAGAAATGGAACTTTTATGTTCAAGGATTTCTTACTGTTTTAATTCATGCTTCCAGTTACTCGCTTTTTACAAACGGTTTAGAATCCAGTTTGGATTATAGCCACGTTGTTTTTCAACCATTTTGCTGCATGAAGATTACATATAAATTCTCAATTGTACACATTTGAATGTTTCGTCTTTGAATTAACCAAACACGGAAACCTATATATATGCGCGAATTTTAGCTCATGTTTAGCAATAAGGGTATCAATGATAACTTTAGAAATGCTGTAAACAGAACTCGTAATTAAAATTTCTTTTACTCCAAATGAAAACAGTGGAAGTGCAATATAGCGCATTATGAATAATCATTTTGAAGAAATGCATAAAGATTAGCGACAAATTTAAGTAACATGAATATAAATGGTGTTCTTGACTATTTTTCTTTGCAACATACATTATACATTTCTTTCAGTTTAAGCTGTTTCACCTGCTCCTAGAAGATACCAGAGTGATTTACTGAGCACCGGATTTACTTAGATTTGATTGGAGATAGAAACGCCTGCGTAAAATCGTTAGTGTAAGCACTAACGTGAATTGTTATCTTTCAATAAAGAGTTTAACTATGTTAGTCGGTGTATCCAGCATGAAACTATTTCTCTTGGTGATTCGGATTCCCTAATGATGATTATAACGATCATAGTTATAAAAATGCAAGCTTGCATCGGTTGGAGTGATCTCCTTACTGCATGCTATGTTCAAATTATTATATTATACAATGCATATATTTCGAAATCAAGACTATAAACTCGCTATAAATCCATGTATAAATGCTTGTTTCCAAATGGGAAGAGCTTTTGCGCAAACGATTCTATTGTCGAACTAAGGCATAAGAGACATATATTGGGCATAACCATGCAGGCATCAGTTGAAATATGCGTACAGCCATGCAGTATCAAGAGATGTCAATTTACTGGAGTGTCAGTTAATCTCTTTATGGTGGATATCAGAAAAAATTGTATAAAGTTAATGCATCAAATGAAACGTTAGTTAGCCACAACGATACCCTGAGTTGGAAAGAATCACTTGCATGCTAGCTGTAGCTTGCTTTGCAACGAACCTTTTCATCGACTGATTTCTGTGATGCACGCGTATAGTGCGCAAATTCTATAATCAATTTAACTATGTAAACTTTAAGGTACAACTCTCCGTATATAAAATAGTTCTTAAACACGCAAATAACAATTATTGAGATTACTTGTTTAGTGCTATTCAGATCCGAGGTCATGCAGCTATAGTTCGCGCGTTATATATACACGAGCGCAAATTCTAGCTATATTCAATTTTTCATTTTTCTAAATAAATTTCAAACTGTACAAGAGCACTCGTATGGAATGCGACTAAATTACGATCAAACTTACTGTTTTCAGTTTTGTAAACATCTTTGCTACGAAAAAGGGCGTCAGGTTTGAACGTCAACTCGCGATCATTTCCAAAAACGTTGCACCACTTTCCATAAAGAACACTGCGCAAGATGTCCTGACTAATGTGAAGCGTTTTCGTGTTCTCTTCCGAATACCAAGACATGGTTTTGCAGTGAAATTGTTTAGTTCGGTCAGTCCACTAATACTTAGAATACTCGTTATAAGAATCGAGCTTCACTGCAGTTTGTGTTCTAATTTGACCGTTTGTTTTCGCGTTCCGTTTTATATGACTGCTTAACGCGATGCGCGGTGATTCTTTTGACAGCGTTAAATAACCTAGTGAGAAAACTAAACACTGTTTTGTATTTAATCACATACATATCAAGCTTTATTTTATACATTGCTTATTCAACACTTATAATGAATGCTTTGGCACCTGCGCCCACAGAAATTGCGCATGTCTGGCAGTAATGTTGATTAGGAGAACTTGTCATACGATCGGGGTTATAGCATTTTTTCCACCAAAATAAATGAATAAAAAATCTTTAAAACTAGGGATTTATAACCCACAATAAATTAAGAATTGTTCAATATTCAAGGTTGACTTTCTTTCAATCAACAGTCAGCTTTTAGGAAGCTTTGAAAAACGTGTGCTTCGATATAGAACAGAGATAGTTCGTTCGCAAGTTAACCATATCTCTCTCAGCAAACAGAAATATTAAATGTCATTCGACATATTCAGGTTCTGACGTTAATAAATGTACAGCTAAAAGTTCCTAAAATTGTCATTTTACGAGAAAACGTCCGCTTAAAACAGATCTGGATATCTCAATTTTCAATTTGAAATTTTCTAAGGTACTATATGATAATATCTGTATTTAATTTATACAGTCTCGTCATGAGAACCTATACAAACAAAAATCTGAAGACATTTTATGTTCTAAACAAATGATTTGAACCCAACCTGAAAATTTGTATTCGTTTGATCAGCATATAAATTCTCCTAAGTAACTTATTTATTAATTCGTCCTATCATTGACATTTCCCGTAGTTTTTCTCCACTTTTATAATCGATAATCTGTAGATATCCTCGGCGTTTATTGCACACAGTAGTCACATGTGGTCTATATATTTAATACACAGTATATATACTTTATTAATGCACCAGAACGTATCACTGAAGCCCATAGAATGCTTTGCTGACTCAGAATGCGACTCGATTTTGTAAACAAAACTCTAGCACGAAACTGTAAATGAAGATTTAATTATTTGGTTATTAACTAAAAATGTTTAGTGCCCGATTCAATTAAAGTTTATTAGGCCACATCCTTAATTAGAAGTGTTAGGTAAGGCACGCGTTGTCTAATGCTCTCCTGCCGTGGCACAACGAAGATTCTTATCCAATTTTTTGCAAATTTCATTTAGTTTCGAACAATTCTCAATAAATTTGGAATCGTATTAATTTAGAAGCCATCTATACGATCATGATATCGTATACAATTGTTTTTCTAGCTTTGTGATTGACCAAATAAGGTACAAATATGAATTTCGTCTTAAAGAATAAGCAAAAATGTTTGAGGATTGCATTCGTTTCCATACGACAAAAGAATAATCTCTCACGACTGTCGTATGACTTGTATTTGGCTCATGAATTCAAATGATAATAGGTAAAAGTGCATATATCTTTTTCAAAAGTTTTTCCTACTCTATTTTTGTTAATATCGTTACCACATGCATGCCATATAAATTCTTAATCAACAATAAAAAACGTTTCATGTAAATATAGCTACGGGTGCATTTCATAGGTAATTTTGAGAGGGAAATATACTTGAGATCATTTTCGGCGGCTAAATTTATTTTTGTAACTGTATGAAATAATGTAAATGCAATGCATGCGTGGTCAGCGTTTTATACTTTATATGTAAATCACACCTGAACAATTTTTACTTGATTTAGTGGATATTTTTACGAAAAGTATGCAACTGCAATCCTTAAAAAGCATGGCGTTTGTTTGATCCTTTTTTGTTTAAATTTTTTAACACAGATTTTCATAAATTTTTTATAGCTGAAGAAAAACCACAATGCATGCATAAGGAATAGAGACGCAACAAAGAACTGATGAATTGTGGCTTGTTTTTGGGAGAAAGACATTTGCAAAACAAGACAAAATACACTACAAAACTCAAGAGCTAAATATCCATTATGAGTATGAGTGTTAAATCTTTCATACGAGTTATATCTGAGATTTCTGTCCAAACTACAGTCGAATACAAAGGCATAACTACGTATATCGTAATATGTCTTTTCCTACACACGTCCCTCAAATTAAATTTTCTGTTTTGCAGTAATTAAATCTATTATTTTATCTAAAGAATGAAGAGTTAAATCCGCGATTCAAAACGAGTAAATTTCGCTACCACAATGACCGCGGTCAGCCACCTGCAGTGTTATATAGCTCGTGCCGGCACGCGTGCTATAAATCAAAGCTTTATTATCTCTCTAGTTAGCGAGTTTTACAACGTATTGTTTTTGCTTTCACACTGAGAAACACGTTAAAGTGATTAGGCCGTGTTATAATATTTCATAATTTAATAGTTTGTATTCAAAGCAAACCTAAACGGAAACGTTTTAACTGGCGTAAATAAGAATGCATTTAGCGATTTATCTCTAATGCGTTATTTCCGTTACCATGCCTGAAATTTTTACGAGAACAACGAAACGCAATAATCAACACATTGACATTGTTGCTTGACAGTTTTTGAAGTGGAATAATTCGTGCAACTTGCAACGAAAACCGATTTCAATGCATGATTCTTCAATGCATGCATGCATGTTATTTACAATTGTTGATCATATCTCAAAGACTCGGACGTGGGGTTAGAAGTGGAGGTAGTTTTAAAATATAGCGTGGTAATATGCATAATTATATACAGATAAACTCTAGTCTATACCTAGAAAATTTAACGAGACATTTGACTTGCATGCCAAATAAGGGTCTTTGTCTGGAATACTGAGAACCTACTACTTGCTATATTTGTGTTTCTACATTTTACATGCATGGCTTTATTGAGACAAATTGAGAATTACAAAGAAAGATTCAACGAAACAAAGCCACCGAAGGCCCCTACATTTCAGGCTGAATCTAGCGGTCTGAAATAATTATTTTGCGACTGTAAACCCAACCGACAATTGTCCGGGTCATACCACACCTGATAAATTTATTTCAAATATAGGAATCAACTGACAGGCTATGACGGCCGCCACTCTTTCTCTCGGTGCGCAATTGTTTAAACGAGATTTTTACTTAGTGAATAGTATGCCAACTAAATTTCCCTTCATCATTGCCTAATGAGAAATGGAAGCTACAAATATAATGCGCGGCGAGCCCCATACTAGTTTAATTTAATAACCAAACTCTTGACGAACGTAAGTCGTCTTAAATTTACATACAAGTTAAGATAAAGAGTTAAAGACGCTTTAGAGTAAATGCCTAATGTTAATGAACAAATACATTATTAAAATTAGACTGCTTAAGAAACGGTGAACTAGTTGTCTACAGTGCAGCGAATTGATGTAAATACTATAATACTAATTCTGTAATTCAACCGTATTCAGCCATGTTTTCCACTTCAAACATGACACGTTTTGGAATGTAAATTATATCGTCTTTAAAAGCTATAACTATGGCATTTTCTTTGGTTTAAATGAGAAAGCTTTTCGTTTGAACTTTCTCTTTCGTGAATCTTGTCGTTTTGACGGCCGTGTAAGGCAAACATCGCATGGCAAATGGCGAAAAACAATGAATTTGACTGACCGCAAATTTTACTAATAAGTCTATTGCATTATTGAGTTATGTTTATATGGATAAAATTAAAAACTCTTCAAATTAGGAGTGAAAATACATCGTATGCAGATATCTGAATAAGAAAATTATGCCGCTATATATATTATTGCTTACACGGCTTTGTTCGACAGCTATAAAAGTAAACTTTACCGCCTTAAAAACCGTGTGAAAGCGCCAAGTAAAACGACAGCTAACAAGCACTGGGAAATTAACACCTGAACACGATATGAATAATTGACAAGAACAGACAGTTTGGATAGGCATCTTTAATCGGTTAAATCATTTTTAAAACCAAACGCGGTTTTAGTTTCCTTCTAACGTGTTTAAAATCATTAAAAATAAATGCGACCGCACAGATATTATTGCGGGAGAGTTATACAAAGAGATTTAGGTTTCGGCGTTCGTGTAGATACAGAAAATAACATCGTCATTTTTATTATGCAAAATTGGCCTTGTATTTGCAATAACTTCAGTTGACACAAACAGTTTGTTTTAGTTTAAAGAAATGATTCAATGCTGTCTATTAATTAATTACATAAACGAAATTGCGTATACTGAAAATATTGGCAAAAATATATACTTGAATCAAAATGTGCTAAAAATATGTTAAAGAATAAAAATTTGCTGATAAAAATGTTATTGCAAGAACCAAGCTTAAATTTTTGGAAAATTTTCGCTGCTCTAAGAGGTGGTCAAATTAAACGTTAGGTGTTTGGTCGGCTTAATGAAAACTGTCTCGTTCGTTTCATATATTAAATGAAAGATGTATAAATTTCGTAAGGTGTTTATTTGCGTTAAAGCGTGGAAGATAAATATTTTAACAGAGCAGGAAGAATAGAATTTTCATAAAATCATTAGCACCCTTATCAGCATTTGATCACAAGCGAAAAGAAATCTAAATTTATAAATATAATAATCAGGAGTGATTGCTAAAGTAGAAACAGTGGGTGTAAAACCCTCGAAATTAAAAAACTGATAAGAAATATGGGGGATTTTCAGTACCGCACTTGAAATTTTTGCTTTGTGCATGTGTGAGTGAGCTCTTATGTATGACTAAGGCCAGTAAAGGGAAGTTTTTATATGATCCCAAATTGCGTAATTGTGAACTCAGGCATAGACATAGTGATTTAGTGCATGCGCGTCGGTTTTGGAATATCCGGTGTATATATGAATATCATGGATATTGTAAAGTTATACAGTTCTTTATTATACCTATATATGGTATTATACATGCATATGCCTTTCATATTTCTTTTGTGACGCGGTGGAAACCGTCCGGGGGGTTAGTTACTGCAGTATTATTAGTTTTACCTGATTTTAACCTCAACCTACTTTATATAGCTATACATATGAGTAAAGTTATACAGTTGTTCTTCTACCATTTGATGAGGGGTTGGGTTTGGGGCATGGGGAGTGGTGTAGGGTAAATTTCAGGGAAATATTAAGCATTGACTCCTGGTTTTAACAATTATCAAGCAAGTAAACTGTCATAGCCACAAATGAGAAAATATCAAGAAGCAAAACACGGTTTGCAAGTTGTCTAAAACTGGGCAGAAGTTATACACATTTATCGCAGATTCCATTCCAAGGCCATTTTCACTTCCACTCATTCTGCAATTTCATAAAGGGTTTTCATACGAAAATAATGGAAAATGCTGTGTTTGTCCTGCTTATATGGGTTGAAAAACTTAAAATATACCATGCATACTTGTAAATAAGCAAAGTTTTCACCGATCACATGCAGTATTTTTCGTATACCAACAGGAAGTATTCAATGGTTTCATGAATAGTTTTCCAAAGAAGCAGAGATACTGATATAGACTTTTATATAGTAAATGTGAAATGTTCGCTTAATACAATTTGAAAAATTCGCTTAATACAATTTGATCATTTTCTTGGAAAAAATGGGTGGCAATAAACTAATAATAAGATTAATAAGGTTTTGTCATTCAGTGAACTCAAGGGAAGACTAAGGCATTGAGAACATAAGTTAGGACTGCGTGACAGTTTTAATTTAAATCGAATTTTAATTTCAGTTAATTTTTTTATCAGAATATGCAAAATGAATATTCCATAAACACAAGGATTTAAAAATCAAATAACCGTAAAGAGGGTAACGTCGAGCTGCCAAGGTAAAGGTAAACTGTTTTCTTTTATAATTCAGTTTTATTCAAAACTCAGAACAAAATATCGTCGTAAATTTGCTCAGCAAAATTTAATGAAGTGAAAGGAACATGTTCATGTCACAATTAAATGAATATTCGAAAAATTGTCTGATTAATTCTCATCTAAATCTGATCTTTTCATCAACCAACTGTCGAATTCCCTAGTGGCTTCTGAATTAAATATCTTTTTAAAAGCCAACTATACTGTAAATAAAAGTAGGTTTACTGTTGACACGCAAGAATAAAGGCTTTTAAGAATAATTGACTACCATTTCACAACAGATTGTTCTCAATTTATGCGATCTGAAAATTTATGAATTCAACGATATTTTCTATTTATTAATATGTAATAAGTTATATTTCTAAAAAGTGATGCAACAATACAACATGAATTCTAAATATATAAAGATATTTGAATTAAAACGTGAAAATTTTCCTAAACTCTTTTGCCAAATATTTCATCAACACTCAACTCTCGTTCAGGATCCTCATCATCATGGTTCATTAATCGTTTGGGCATTCGTAAATATCTCGCCTTTCTAGCTTCCTGTAGCAAATCGTTTAAAGGAGGAAGCAGATAAACCGTTCTCTTTCGTCCGTCTGGAGGAACGTACATGTATGACTCGATATCTTCATCAATCGTTGCCCCCTGGTCAGCTTGCGTGTTTGCATCGTTATCGTGCACGTCCAGCATTCGTCCGTTTTCGCCGAGTAGTCGTTTTCGTGCTTGGTTTCGTGCTTCGTCTACGTCAAGCTCACGTGATTTCGCAGAATCTCGTGTAGCATTTTGCGTAATATAAGGCAACGTTTCGTGCATACTTGAATCGATTTCGTGTTCAGTGCCCCCCTTTTCGTGCCCAAAATAATTTCCTTCGTGTTTATGAAATTTCGTCTTTGATCCAACAAGCTTAATCCCACCTGCATCAGATCTCGTTTCGTGTTCATTAAAGTAGACACCGTGCTCACTGAATGGCGTTTCGTGTGCTGCAGAGGTTATATCATGCTGCGAAGAAACTTTGCGTGCTTGCGTGTTCTTTTGATGTTTTTGATTGCGCCATAAATTAGACAAATCATTACCAGCTGTTTTGCTATTTTCCACTGAACTTTCGAAATGAAATTTTACGTCTTTGCCTCCATCTTGATTTAATCTCCTCCTTGTATTTGATTTCGTTTTCTTCTGAAACAGAGTCAATTTCTTTCGTTTGCGTTTTGTTCCAATGCTAGATTCATCAGTTTTCGAATTTCTGACATTCGCCAGCTCATAGCTTCCAATTTCACGAATGCCCTTGAGGTCATGTTGTAATTTTTTAATTTCCTGCTTAATTTCAGTCTCAATAAATTCATGGTTGTCCTGGAACTGTTCGTGTTGCTGTCTTAAACGGTTTGTTGCGTTCCGGTTCAACCGTTTCGCTAGATTCTCCCTTCTTTCCGTGTCTTCTTTGGTTATGCTTAACTTACTGACACGCTTTTCCATGGCAGAGGTCAGCCCTGGGTCATGTCACATATGAACTTCGAGTGTGTATATTTGTTCACGGTGATTTGCTTAAACCTCAGATAATATCCTTCGGTTGTTGTTCGCCTGAAATATGGTACCTTCCGGTTCAAAGCAACTGAAGACTTTTATGCGTAACAAATTTTAAATTGGCATTCCTCATTTGCACAAATCCCCTTCTTAATCCTTTCTACGAAAGTAATACCCCACAATGATATATCATTTTCACAATATCTATTAATTGTTTTCTTGCCGATTTGGTTATTGTTCTCTCAAAGGTATCCAATACTGATCATTGTTAGCTGAAATCGGCTGTATAAAGGTAGATATGTATTTTGGTAGAATGGTAGGTCAGTCTTTGCATTCACCGAAATACATTACAGTCTGTTCGGATATTTTATATTGCATTAACAAATACAGCATCAAACCTTCAGTTAAAGTGTTGAACGACAGCATAAACAGTAACTCTTCAAAATGATGTTTTGATAATTACTATAAGCTGGATATTAATGCTTTACCTTTAGCAAGCCGGTATATCTTCTGTAATCTAAGCAAACATAAATTGTCTGTCTAGTTATAATCTATATTCCATCTTTCATACCATGGAAACAATGCTAATACAACATCAGATTTGCCAGGGCTTCACTTGAGGTTTCCTTGCCTATTCTTTAGTCTTTGAGTTTGAAATGGATCTAGGAATGAGTTAATCAAGCAGTTTGTGTACTGTGTACAGACGTAGAGAGATCCAGCATTTCTCAACAAAGTTAGTATTCGTTAACTGAAATGCAAACATCAGTGCTTTATTAATATTTTATGTGGGATTATCCGGTCATTGGATCGGCCCTGAACAAAAAACATGTATCAAGTAGCCTAGGAAGGCGGCGCATCCAACGCCTCCGTAACCATGACACACTTCAGGCTCTGATTCGATTATATCTGGCAAGTCCATGTGGAGGCAGCCCAAGCAAGGGCAATGTATGGTTCAACCTTTGTCAACGTAGATCCTCGTTTGCAAAGTTGTTCCAGGGCAGTCATGCATGTGCTTGGGCATCTATTCTTATATGTTTTGGATATTTTTCTTTGGCATATATAGGATTTTTGTCATCTTCGTGTACGGCCCACCTTCAGGAAAAACTATAATTAAGCTCTCCCATTAAAAATTACCTCAAGAAAACTTTATATAGCAAAGGTAAATTACGGGGTGATAACTATAATAGGCAGTTTCGCACGGCGTTGCCCAGCCTGACCACCTCTGCAATCATACATTTGATTCTATTCCCACAGGCGTAAAGGCGTTCGCTCACTTCGTCAGAAATTATATATTCTAATATAGTACAAACCAGTTGTAAATTACGAGCACTTGTTGTAAAACAAAATTAGTTCCTGAGAGTGTCGAGTGTTTAACATGCACCGCAGCAATTTACATAGGACAGGTCAGCCGCTAATGAAAATATGAAGATATCATTATGAAATAAAATGAAAACTCCAGAGTTTCAAGGCAAGCCGGATTTCATTTCGGAAAGAAGGCAATGCGTGAAAGCGTCAATTGCATAAATATCCTTTATATCGTTGTCTTGACAGTTGCAAAGAAACAAAACTATTTGTTTTAACAGCGTATTTACCCGGCACTGAAACACAGTGCCTTAAAAATCTACTTTAATTAAATACGACCCGACAAAGAGAAACCAATTAGACGTGAGAGTATAGGAGCATCAGAATTCACAAAATTATTTGCTTTTCCAATTTAAGACACTTTGTTTAGTCTGGGCTATTAATAACATAGAATAGTGTAGAATTACAAACGTTTTTTCCCTTTTTATTTTTATCAATCGTACGTGGTATGAATATATAATCAAAATACTTATCGATAGTATTGATTATAATCATTGCAGGTTACACGTGGGTTTGATAATGATATTTCGCTGACATGTCCTTGCTTCTATCGGATTAAATACATGAACATCCACAGACCTGTATGTGCTCAAATTTGCATTGACGTCTCCTGCCCTATACATGTAAACGACATTATTAATTCAACAGACAAGCTCAGTTTTAATTATTATTGATTTAACTACATTTAACTTTACCTAATATTATCGTACATTAAATGTTTGACAAAAATTTAGTATACAGTTAGTTTTTTTAAGGTTCGGTAGTTTTTAGTATTCACTTAGTCATTGTAACCCCGCGCCTTTCCTCTCTTCCGCTACGAGAGGTGGATTTATTTTATTCTGTAGGCGTTTCAATGTCATTCTATAAATCACATCCCACATCCTTAAAGATCCTCAGAACCAGATTTGATCAGTTCCTCCAGTGTCTGCTTGGTGATTTGCACAAGTTCATCCTTCACCTCAGGCTTCAACAGATCTTTCTGTTTAGACAAAAAAGAACAATTTGAGCCCTAATAAATAGGACGTGAGTCGTGTAGCAACCAACACCGAGGACCTGACCCTCAATGGATGATATGACCTAAACTGACCCGACTCACGTTCCATAATTCCAGCTCAAATTCAGCATAGCACGTACAATATGTACAATAACACGTACAATAAGCTGTGATTTGTGTCTGAACTAGTTCAAAATATATCTCAAAGGTAGTAGTGGCCCAGTGTAAGTAGACTCCTAGTGAAGATGCCTAGTAGTGATGGAGACATTATATTTCTAAGTACTATAGGTATTTCTGTTATAAGGTATCTTGGTTGCATCCTCACTACTTAGAAAAACAGCTTCGTAAAGTCTATCTTGGTACAAACTACAAAGCGCCATACTTTATGATACACATGCAACAATTTTTTCTCGACCTACAATGTTGTGTTGTTTAGAGGCTTCAAAAGCATAGGAAATGCTAGAATTATAGATCAGCATTCTATGCTCCGCCAGGGCCAATATGCAATTTCTTAGTCGAGCAATTGTTTCCCGATCTTCTCTTGTCACTCCTTCTCCCTGATAAGAATGATATTTAAAGATAGGTTACAGTCGCTTCTCTGCGCATGTACGAAATGTGCATTTATACACTTTTGTTTACATCGTAAAGATGTCGAAAGTACACAATTTAGTTCGAATTTCGTCCACCTTTGTAATCAAGGTTGGACCATTTCACCAGTTGCATGATCAATGATTAAAATTCGTCTAGCATAAGACTTGAATATGCCTTGGTTCAGGCAAGACACGAGGGAGTCAAACTTGCTCTCTTTGGCTATAAGCAGAATAATTACCTTGTTGTCTTCAAGAGGTTTTAACCAGATATATCCATTATTTCCTATGATAACACTCACTCCACACGACAAGTCATGGAAATGAGTTTTGCATCTCTTTATTAATGAAGGAGAAACTTGAACCAACAATCCTTCTTCCAGCTAACAATGAAATGAAACAAAATACACATCTAACCTACACATATCACATACCAGCGGTTAAAATACCCCTCTTTAAAGTTTAAACTGGCCTTTTTGCTAAAATGAAGACGACTAAAACGTTGTTTCAGAATATATTAGACAATGGTCTTTTGCAGGGAGGTTAGAAATCATGTTAGCCCCACCTACAAATTACTCGCCAAATTACCGGGGATATCACTGCGACCCCCTCCCCCATGAATTATGATTGAGCTAAACTTTGTTTTCCAAATGCGGAGGAAATTAGGTATAAAACTTGTAAAGACTAAAAAATATCACTAAGTTGCCTTGTTTCATAATAGATTAGTAAACCTGATTTACTAATCTATTTTTAAATATACAAACGTATGTATAGGCGTTTTCCTTCAAGCTACCAAAATAGTCAAACCAGTCGTATTTTGAATTAAAATGTATTTTGCATTGAAAGAAGGCATCGAAACTGCATTTTTTCTAGGCAGATGTAGATAACGATATACTTAAATGTACAGTTCTTGAAACAACCTAAAATACCAGTAAGCTGTCTAGTGTACTGAAATAAGACAGACAACACGACCGGCTGACCGTTTTTACCATATGAAGGAGAGCGCCCTATGATTCACATAATGCCCCTTCAACCTTGCCATATTTTTGACTTCGTGTGTGTAAGGAAAGAGAACCATCCTGAAATATTGATTGCACTTCAGCCTGTGTGTTAATGTCAAGGAATCCCATTGAATAGCTCATTTAATTTTCATAGCATTCGAAATACTAAATTACTTGTAGATCGTTTGTACAATTGTACTTCTATATTTTAGCAGCCATAAAACTCTGGTAACAAACAGGTTAACTTTGCATTTCATTTGTGGTTGACTTTATAGTATTTTTTTTAAAGATACGCTTATCAGATCTCCTTCAGAAAGGACGTCTCTCATCATTAGCTCATCTTGGACTGATCTTCGTCTCTACAACGCAAAGGAATTACAATCAAAACAGTACCCAAAGGGCATGATCTGTTGATGGGTCTCTATATTTACATACCAGCTCCCCTCCAGGTAAATTCACAGAGGACAACATCAACACAGAATCTAGTTTGGCAAAGGTATCCACTTTCCAACGTTTCTGACCAACCTGAACACAAACAAAACATGAACTCTCTGCTTTGCAAGGATCTACTGAACTGGTGGGCTTCATTTTCCTTTCTCTTACCTCTTTTATTCTTCCAACAACAACATCACCAACCTCACCATTATATCTGTTAGTAAAAAAAGTAGGTAACAACAGTGAACTTTAGTGTGGTTAAGGGTTTCAACAGGTATGGTTTGAAATGGGTTATGATGTTGCTAATTTTTCATAGCAATAGTGATGATTGTGGTAGCTGTGATGTAAAGTAGAACTAACATGAAGCATGATTGGTTGGTGTTTAAAAGTTTCAGAGGATGAATCCTGTGTCTCATTAGATATTTCGTCATCATATCTAACACAAAGAAAACACTACATGACAGGTCTTTTACCTTGTTTTTAATGGCTTTACAGAGATCAGTTTATTTACAATTTCCAAAGTGCCTGTTACAGATGCTACAACTTTATTATTTTCATCTGCAAATGTTCCATGGCCTCTATAAGATAATTTTGGTTTCATTGATGAAATGTTTAATTAAATATTACACATGCATGCACACAGTTACTATCCAATATATTAATTAATCAGCAATATACTAATAAACCTAATATATATAAATGCTGACAGTAAATTTTGTAATTTTGTTCCATTCTATTAAGGCCAGTGAAAGCTAGTTTGGGGACCACAAAAAATTGGTGAGCATGTCTTCCTTCTTCCATCAGGCCCAACTCTTATTGACTCTTGTGTTTCTCACAATTTTGCAGTTCGTTTGGTAATTCTTCACATTTTTCTAATTCTTGTTAATACAGAGCAATGAGTGGCCTTTCCTAGAGTATTTCTTATGCTTGGGCCCTTTTAGCTTACTTAACACTCTGGTCCCCAGGTATTTTGCCCCCTGACCCTTGGGTATTGCCATTGGAGAGGTAAACACATCCCAAAATATGAATGATATACGAAAAATAGACAATCACATGCCGTATAACGGATAACACATTCCTACTGTATTTCAACGGAGTAAATTAAATATCCAACTAAAACCAAAGAGTGACCAAAGAGTGATATTTAGTGACCTCATATAGTCTGAAGACTCAGTAATTATATCTCCAGGCGAGTAAATAACTTTCTTGCTTATAATATCTTGAGCAGCGAACGACACAGGCCGTTTTCTCTGTTTCCTAGGTATCCGTACTTCAATGGACGACATAATTCACTTTTTAAGCAAACGTTTTGCGCATTTCACTCCTTAGTTGACCGCCATTTTCATTGCTTGCTATTTTAGTCTGTTCAATTTTTCACATTTCTATCACCCAAATATTGCTCGTTGATTTCCGAGTCTACGAACCCTATTGTAGTCAAATACTGTAGCGAACTCTGAAGAAGGCCTGGGTGATTGAATTTTGTATGAAAAATACAAAATTTTTTATATAGAAACCAGTGATAGAAACAAGCATATCATGGCTTCTAAACCTGAGGGAAAAAGTGATAATTTCAGACGAACATGGGACACAGAAGAGTACGAAAAGCTTGCTAAAGAAAGGCTTGAAAATGAAGACGAGGGTAAAAAACCAAAAACATCGAGCATCCCTGTAAAACGCGAACTTTTAAAACCACGAGAACATGAGGTCGATTTAGACTCCACTTTAGGCAAGTCTGTGGTTATAACAAAAAGCACACCAGCTTCTCAACAAGGCGGATATTTTTGCAATGTTTGCGATTGTATTGTCAAGGATTCAATCAACTTTTTGGATCATATAAATGGGAAGAAACATCAAAGAAATTTGGGTATGTCTATGCGAGTTGAAAGATCTAGTTTGGATCAAGTTAAAAAGAGATTTGAAATGAATAAGAGGAAAGCTGAGGAGGAGAAGAAAAAGAAAGATTATGATTTTGAGGCGAGGATTGCCGAATTGAAAGAAGAGGTTAGTGTTGGACATTGGGTGATTAGACTATTGTGTATACTATGTATACTAGTCCCTTTTGTTTTGGTAGAATTTGTACCCCGTGTTGTCATTTATATTGTAGGTGAAAATTTTCTTTGACAGTTCTTTACCCAGAAGGGTTGCTAACCCTATATATACACACACACTATTTTTTGTGTGTCTTTGGGACCTAAACAGTGGTTTTGAACTAATTAAACACGCATCATTAAGTGTAGGTAGTAGTCTACAATAAATTATGTTTTCCTATAGGAAGAGCGTCAAAGAGAGAAGAGGAAAGAGGCAAGAAAGAACAAGAAAAGAAAACTTGAAAATGAAGGTGGTGGTGAGATTGACCCAGAAATGGCAACCATGATGGGTTTCTCGGGATTTGGTGGGAGCAAGAAGTGAACAAGTTACAAATGCCAAGACAAATTGGAAAGCATTGCATTATACATTTTCATTGTAAAGAATTTGTATACATACCATGAAGGGGTTCCAGCTAGTTACCCTTTAGTATTTTATTTTTACTGAAAATGCCATAGAGAGTTACAAGTGTGTATGTGTAACTTATGCATAAAATTCTAGCAGAAAGTGCCAGAAACATGTTGATGTAACTCTTTGAATTAAACAAGATGCCTGCTGTTTTTTGTGTAATGTAAAACAGTTTGATATCTTACCTTGCACATTAGTCTTTCTTGATGGCCAATGTTTTTTAGTGTATCATGAAACTCGAGTCTTGTTCATTATTGTACACAGTGATGAAGTTAAAGTACATTTGTATTGTATTCATTTACAATCAATTTAATCTTAAAGCCTCTATATTTCAAAAAATGGCTTTAGTGAGTCGTATATCTTGATGATTCGGATGAAGAAATGATCACAACATTTTCTATAAATTATATTTGGGAAAGTAAAAATAAACCAAGCACAAACCATTCCAGAATTGTTTTATTATTTGGGCCCTGTTGCCTGTTGCCCCACTTGACCCTAATGCTCCTAAATCCCCCTGCTCTAATTTATACACAGTTAGATAAGATTATGAAAGAATATGAATATAAAGTCACATCTATTTTTTTTAAGTATTTTTTCTATACAGTGGTGTGTGTGTCTGTGTGGTATTCTGGTTTATCCGGATTCCGGACCGTTATCAGTAATTGTTCAATGTTTGTATAACATGAAGTATTCGTGTCAAAATGAAGTGGAAAATTCGAAAAATGGACTTTGGTGAAAACCTTTTCGAAGATCTTGCAACTGACAGAAAAGAGAAACACACACAATATCCTTATTCAGTTCGGCGACAAGACATGTTTGTGAGTAGAATGTTTTTTGCAAACCGTACAAAAATATAAATGCCTAAAAAGTATGACTTGATTAGAGACTTGATTCCTTGGATGTACAATGAGGTACAGAGTTGCAGTTTATGGGCTTATGGCTGGTTCAGGCTGTACTCACCGTAAGAAGCTCTAGCCATATATCAAATTATTTTCTGTAACTCATTGCTAAAAAATATAGCTCAAAATATTCTATGTATATTGTCTCGGGATTTAAAGTTGTTTTATATTGAGATTTCTTCAGAACATAGGACCATTCCAAAAAAAATCCACACACCCCCGTTGACAAGGTTTTTAAATTTTCACCCTCTCGGGAAGGGTTTTTTTTGCATCACCCCCATCAGAAATTCGAAAATTATTTTTTACACCCTCTGAAATATTAAGAATTTTGAATTTTTATTCAATTTTTTATCCCCCCTCGGAAATTATCGTCAACACGTAATGTTCCCTTGTATCCCCCTCAGATATTTATGTTGAATGGTTAAAGCTCCCTCGGAATTTTGAAATTTCACAGCAGAACCCCTTGGAAATTGTCGTAAACATGTCCAACTTTTCGTACTTTTCGTATCACCCCTCGGAAAATTTAGTCGAATTTTAAATTATTTTAAATATTTTTAATAACCCCTCGGAAAATGTATATTTCGTTTAAGCCCTCCGAATTTTCATCAATATTTACTCTCCACCCTCAGAAATTCTAAAATTTTCACCCCCTCAGTAAATCTCGTCAACGGGGGGGGGGGTTTGTATATTAAATTGGAATGGCCCATAGCTTTATATATTTATTTATAAACATTCATTGACAAACAAATATGCCTGGATTACAAAGAGAGAATATATAGATACTCCCCTTAAGTTGGATTTCAGTGTTACAGTTAAACCAAAATGGGAAGATGCAATTTTCATGGAGACGGAAGACTATAGTATTTATCCTATCTATTTTTGCAGTGGTTTTTGTCAGATGATAACAGCAATTGTGCAGACACCACCAGAGTTATAGAACAAATGAAATATAAAGCAGATTATCTCTATGCTCAGATGAGATATGCTGAAGCAGTGAAAAGTTATGAAAAGCTTTTAAGGTTAATTCCACCATCAAATACAATATTGACCCAGGAAGTTTGTGAATCTAAAGTTATGTGTTTTATGAGGATAGAGAAAACTGATAAAGCCGAAGAATGCTTAGACGAAATGGTACTCAAATTTGCTTTTAATATACTGATTATTTGTCCCTATCTAAATGAAGTACATTACAATTGCATCTGTGACTGGACAGAACATTTGCTATGTGAAGCATGCATACATTTTGTAATTAACTTTGGTAGTCTATAACCTTCTTTAGTAATATGCTTGGTTGTAAAATTTTCAGATAATTGCTGATAAGATGAATGCATCTCTATGGCACTTGATGTTCATAATGCACAGAGATAAAGGGAACTTGGAAGGTATTTTGTACTCATCCAAAAAACTGTTGCTTGTGTGTTGGCAAAATTGTCTGGTAATAGGCTAATCATGGCTAAATAGTCTAGAGATCTATCATTTACTACTAAATACTAAATACAGTTGAGATCTCAGAACTAGGGTTTACTCTTAGACTCTTGATTCCTCCTTTCCTCACATTGTACCAAAATCATTCACTTTGACTTCCAAATTAAGCGTAATTAATTGTGTTTTGTTGGATCTCAAGATTTCTAAATGATAGCCCACTCAACTGAGAAACATAAGACCTAAACCTCCTCTTTCAGAAGCAACATATGCCATACAGCAGTGTATCAAAGAAAATGAAGAGGTTTCCTCACTGTGGGTTGATTTAGCTGAAACATACATACTGTCCTCAATCTGCTTTAAGTGGCCCAGTGAACTTACTACTGCAAGGTGTGGGAAGCACAATAATGCATACTATGAAAAGATATACCAAAGGTTAATATGCAAATCAAATTTAAATTATACTGAAAAAACAGCTGTAAAAGGAAAAGAGTTATTAGACCATGGTGACCATGAATTGTTGAAAAACTTACAAGACTGTACAGTGGATGGATTTAAAAATCCAGGTCATTGGACTGAAAAGGGAAAAACATTTGAAGAAAGTGAAGAGCTTGTGGCCAAAAATGCGTTTCAGGGCATTGCAGAGAATGAGGCACCGCAAGATGATATTATTTCTGGGCTGCTAGATTGTTCAATTGAAGATTTAAATGTGACTGAATTGGATACTGCTGTAAATGAAAACAGCTTGTACATAGAAAACAAAGAATTGAGAGACTTTGTGAAAAACCATCATAACTGCTATTGTGCTTTAAGTTCTTTCCTCATATCAAGGTAAACCAGCGGTTATAGGAAAAAGCACTTTAAGAAAATGTTTATAGAGTATAATATTTAATCTCATTCAAGTACTTGTATTATTAGGCCAATTATTAATTGGCCTAATAATACAAGTACTTGAAGGCAATTATTGAATTGAGTCCACCCATGTATCGAATATTTGTTTCATAAGCTTCTTGTCTTTAACAGATTTTTACTGCGTAAATACTCCGCCCGCTCTCAATTAACAAAACAAGAAACTCGACATGAAAAGATCGTCAAAGTAGGTTTTCATAATTTTGCCTACTGACTACAGTATAATCTTCTTAAATAAGAGGAAATTAGAGGCTTCCAGTAACACCGCAGAGATTGGTGTTTATGAAGTTTCAACCTGAAAATCTAATCACTGCCACTGTTTCACAATGGTGCATTTCTGTATCGCTATCAAAGCGAAAACTATTAAATAACTTTAAAAAGTTTAATTTTTAAATGAATGCGCAATTTGCAGTCTTCACAGTTTGAGGCCTACCGTATTGAGAATTGCGGCTAAATCTCACCAATTACTGCGGTGTCGCTTCAAGTAATATGTCAGGAAATGGGAGTGTAAAAAAAGACATTTCTCCGCCGACCCCCTTTTCCACGTAAAACGTTTTTCAAGTAGCAGTACAGAAAAAGTTTGTAAAAGAAGTTATCGAACGATCTTTGTAAGGATGTACCTAGTCTACGTAGCTAGAAATATTTCATCTCGCTTTGCAGACTAAAAATATCTTTTACAGCCATATGATGGGTAGTAATGATTAGTTCAGTTTCATTGTTTTGACAATAAATCATTCGAATTAAAATTGTTTATTTTATTATTTTAGATAAACTTTATGATCAATAATATAACTTGCGCAACTGATGAAATAGTTCATGAAGTTAGAAAGGTATGTGGCTATCTGCAGCATGTTTTTCAAACAAGTGCGATTCATTCCATCCGATTAGTCGGATTAAAAAGTTAATTAAGATTTTCACTTCTATTCAGTTACTTAAAGTAAAATTCACTGAAAGAACCAAACCATCGCATTCACCCAAAGAATCCGGAAGTATGGTAAGCCCTTACTGTTTTTACGTTTACTGCCATTTTCCGTTTGCTGTTTAAGTGAACAAGTGGAGTTGATTTCTTTGTTCAAAAGATTATAAAGCGTAGCTGCTTGCTTACATGCGCCAACTCAAGCAGAGAGTGCTAGGGACCTGCGACGCAGGCTGTGTCGAGAATTGTCCTAACATCAAATTCTTTGCTTAAATTTTAGGCTGAAAAAGTACAACAATTTAACAAGCATTGGTTTCCACTAATTGAGTGAAGGTGCTATCGAAAGCATTCGTACTCAGAAGTCAGAACGATTCGAATGTTTACTGTTTGGAATCTGTATCTTTTTGTAAATTAATATTTTAACAATAATATTAAATAACAATAATAAACTTTAATAGATATTTTCTTCTCTTCCTCCGCAATACATCAGCATTCAATGATGAAAAATAGAATGCACACATATTTCTCAGTCTTCAGCGCAACTATACAGGGTGTCTCGAAAAAAGCGGACGCTAGTACTACAATTAGTGCTCCAGAACGTCCCTGAAAATGGACGCTGTTGAAATCACTTATTGTTTGAACTTTGAATGGCCTGAACCCAATAAACCGATTGTTTCAGCGTTTCGCACTGCAGTTGTTTAGCGTATATAATTTATAACAACAAAAACTCGTTCTTCTGTGGTCAGTTGAACCAATTTCTTCCGAACTGGTCATAGGATTAATTTGTAATTTTATCATTTTCGCAAAGTTATTTTTTATCATTCACAAGCTACTTTAAATTCCCAAAGGCCTTAATTCGTTATTCGTGCGCTTTACACGTAAATTTCAACGCCTTAATGAGTCGTTTTACGCATCTTTGCGTTCAGGCTTGGTGCTAGGCAGCGTCCATTTTCAGAGACACTCTGGAATAATAATAATAATAATAATTTATTACTTATATATCAGGGTGAATTCAACAGCGTCCGCTTTTTCCGAGATACCCTGTATAATAGTCCACTATGTTAACTATCAATTCAAGCCCCGTTTACTCTACCGACTAAATTTATCGGTACGACACGGCTAAAATTTTTTGTATTGCTGGCTTGAACACTAATGAAATTGGCCACGGGTACCAATTTTAGCCGTGCCGATAAATTGATTGCGCTTCAAATAACTTACTCATACACAAAAACTTTTTATTTGTGTGTCAACTTTTTCCTAGTATATTTTCCTTTAAACTTGAACAAGAGAGTTACCATATGAGAGTTACGAGACTCTAGTTAGTGACGTAGACTGATGACGTATAGCATCATTACGTATCAGTCACACTTATATATTATGACAGTGCCGCATTAACCATTGGGCCCGATCCCAGGGGCCCAAGTATTTGGGGGCCTAAAATGTTGAGTTAGACCATAGTAATTAGTAAATAAAATTATAAAAAGTCACAACACAATTGTCACATGTCAACACAATTGCTATCCAGGTTTTTCAGGCTACATTATTTAACAACTATTCGTCGAAGGCGAGGTGAATAGCGATATTCACCGAGCCTGAGGTGAATAATTGTTTTAGTATAATTGCAAGGAAGCGAATCTGTTGTTGGAAATAAATGTTTTACAAATGTAAAGAAATATCTGGACAGTTTTACAGCGTCCAAATAAAACAATGTTTAGTGAACATGTGAAGACGGTGAATATTAGTTAATCACACCAACCTACTGTATTTTGAAGACCTTGCTGACTTGTAATCAGGAACAATTAAAACAAATGCAGTACTTCAAATTAAAATTGTTATTGTGCGTGAGGTGCATTAACATTTTGCACTTCTTAAAGTTGTGCCTTGAATTCAATAAATGCCAGTAATGATTAATCTTGTTTTCTCAGCCTGATAAACTATTTTTAGTCTTTTAGTAGTCTTTTAGATCGTATTAAATCATCCAACTTCAGCTTGATGTGTTGCCTGCACACTACCCTGCGAAAAATCAAATGACATGGCATGCACACCTGACAGACTAGGGGGGGACACATAGTTACCAAGTGCCCGGGGGTCCAAAAAAAAGGTTAATGCGGCACTGATATTATGTAGATTTTAATAAGAGCTGTGAGTTTATTTATTGAAACGTGTTGCTTCAATGGCGGGGTATTCTATAATTATAAAAAATGAAGCTATTTTTTGGTCCTCGGGGCAATACAGTGCCACGCAAAGCCCCCCCCCCCACTCTGAACGCTAATTTCATTTTTATTCTCCCGTTGCGGCCCTGCTGGCGGGGTTAGACATTTTCCTGGCTCTGAGTGCAAGTAATTTGACTAGCTAGAGAACATGTGCTAGAGAATAAAATTGATGTATATATTTGCCAGAGTTACAAAAAAGCTGCGGGTACTATATTTCTTTATATTTTATTTCTTTATGCTGGTTGCCACTTGACTCAGTGACGTAATGTTTTTGATGAACGTTTTCAAAACTTGAAATCCGACAGGAGGAAGGTTGAACTCTTTTTGCAACTCTGATATTTGCAATCCCAGTATCGAATAAATGGCGGATTCACGCACAGAAGAGACTTCGAGAATGGGCATAAATGCAAGGAATCTATTCGAGAGTATTGGAGTTTTAAAACCCGGTGTAACTGCATTTGGAATGGGTGCTCCTTCTTTTGAAATGATGGCCAAGTTGAAACCATTGCTAGCTGAAGCAACCAAGCAACGACTTGTGAGTTTAAAGTAATTTGTATTATCAAAAAGCTGTTACGATATTATTACTTGATGCCAGACATTGTTACACAGTACCAATTTTTCGTCCAATTTTTTTGTAAATACCAGATATTGGGGAGTACTTGAAAATCAGTGATATGAGACCGGATAGGGTAATTAGCAAAATTCAAAAGCTCTTAGTCAAATCATAAATTAAGCACTTTTGCATTATATTACATCTTCCTAATTCACCATAACCTGGTTTGCTTGGTTTATGTATCACGGGGAAATATCAAAAAGAAATTGTAGATGAATTTATTTGAACATTGAATCAGTGATTGAATTTCATTCCAACCTAGCCTTGCGCCTGATATATTTGTAATTGGTTATGATTATTATTAATCATAAATAGTAAAATAATAAATCTGAATAATAAATAGTAAATAATGTACATTTTATCTCTTATTAAAGGAAAGTGAAGAATATAGTGATATGTTTCAGTATGGTGCATTGTGTGGAGATTATGTATTTTTGCAAGAACTTGCAAAATTTCTCTCTAAAAGATATCAGGATCCTGTGAATAGGTACAGTGTTGCCCAAAGGGAAAGGGCAGTGAGCCATCCTTTTGTCTGGTCTCTAGAGCTAAAATGGGGTCTCCAAATTAGTAAAAAGAGTCTACAGTGATGTGTTAATTATGGTTTAGGGGATGAAGTTTAATGTAAAATATGCCATCATTCAACTCTCTAGTTAATTACTAGATGTCCACTGTATCTCCATCTATTAAACTTCAATTTGCAAACATTTACCCACCAAAATCACACTCCCATTTTCAGTGCAGTTATTATCAGGCATGCAAAATATCAATGTTATGAAAATGAATATTTCTTGTTTTGCATTAGTCATGATATGGTCTGTACAAGTGGTGCAACAATTGGCCTCATGATGGTGACTCTAATGATGTTTCAACCTGGAGATTATGTTTTTGTTGAAGATCCAACATATTTTATTGCTATAAAGATGTTTCGTCAAGATCTTGGCTTGAATATTCTTGCTGGTATGCCAATTTTCCTGATAAATGCCAAAATATTCTGACAAAAACAAGACCCTAGGGATAAATTAAATCAAAATGCTAAAAATAAATAGCATACTTAAGGACCAAAATAAAGTGCACAAAGTGGCTTTAGATAATAAACATAAATAAGCTTTAATTTTTGTAATTTGGTTCAACCAAATTTCTTAAACTTTCTTGTCTGTCACTTCTTCACTAGTGGTCCAAGTGTTCACAACCTGAATGGTAAAGTAATGTAGGCACGCATTATGTTTCAACATTTAGTTCCAACAGATGATGAAGGGGTGAAAATAGATGCTCTGGAACAGTTAATTTTAGAGCACATGGATAAACTTGGGGAAACCAGTGAGACACGACCATATCGTGCAATGTTTTACACTGTTCCTGTTTTCAATAACCCAACGTCAGTGAGTTTGCCACCAGGTTAGTCTAAATACACAACTCAGGAATAATATACATTTTGTTGTAGTAACTCCTGTCCACTTATACCTGCATGCATGTTAACACTAATTAGGTACATGTGTTGCTATTATGCTATTATGTTTTCATCTAATCATTTCTGCTGCTAATATTAGTCAAATCTTATATTTACAGCTTTTGAATGGTCATATCAGAGGTGTAGGAAATAGAAATGAATTAAAAGTTGTAGATATGGGTGCTAAAGTAGACGTTTTAAGTCTACAAACCCATTTTTATAGCAGGGTTAGGTGAGGAGGAAGATCTGTTATCAGCTGCAAGATCTGTTATCAGCTGCAATTAATGCTCATGTAAATTAAGCAATGCTCAATGGGGGGTCTAAGCACCTACAATAAAAATTATGTCCCCATGCCATAGTAATAATGCTGTCAATATTTCCATTTAGAACGATGTTCTGCACTGATCAAAGTGCTAAGAAAATACAACATTGTAGCTGTGTGTGATGATGTTTACAATATAATAAACTTTGAGTCGAAGCCACCACCCCGTCGTCTGTTTAGTTATGATAAAAAGTAGGTACAAAATATCAAAATTTATATTGTATCCTTAGCCCCGTTTCAAACGCAGTATTTTACATCCACGAAATACATTATATTAAAAGACAATACATACTACCATTTGCGTTCAAGCTTGCGGCGTGCGATTTTAAAACGTACGTTTCACGTTTCAAAACGTAGGTTTAACGTTTCAAAACGTTACGTTTGCCATTTCAAAACGTACGTTTTGTTACGCCCCCTGCCATGTTTAGACAATGAAATTGACATGTTTTTGAAGTTCAAACGAACTTAGCTAATATCCAAAAATAGGTTTATTACATTTGTAACGTTTGCGGAAGTGTTTTACAAGAATTACAAATGGAACCTTATTCTGTGAGAAAAGTAAACTTATATATGCGCAATTTTCTCTTTTCAAATAGCTGCATTCAGTATTTTAAAACCGTATTTACAAATAACCCAAAAATGAAAGGGGGCGTGACAAAACGTACGTTTTGAAACGGCAAACCTACGTTTTGAAACGTGAAACGTACGTTTTAAAATCGCACGCCGCAAGCTTGAACGCAAATGGTAGTAATGAGCTGGATTGCCTTATCATCTATTGTAATTCAATTTGGCACATGTAAAACAGGCATATGAAACGGGCCAAATTCGTAATTACGTAATACGAACGCATTGATGACAGGGTGTATAAAAAAATGCAACCCTAAAGGCCCTGTTACATGGTGCAATTTTTTTTGCAACTTGCAATGCAATTCTACTTTTGAGATATGTATATTTGGGGACAACGAAACTTTTGCGTTTATTACACTTCATGCACTTTTCTTCTGCAAAACTCTTCACTAATTTACATCGCTTACAAGTAGAATTGCATTGCAATGAAAATTGTTCTGTTTGAACAATTATATGAGTTAATGGATGAATTAATGTTCTTAGATCAGACAGTGATTACAAGGGTCACGTGGTGTCAAATGGATCGTTTAGTAAAATAGTCGCTCCTGGAATGAGATTAGGTTGGCTCGAGGCTCCGAAAATTATCCGGGACAAAATTATCTTCAGGTTGGTTTAAGACGTGACTTGAATGTTGTTCACTTTCTTCAAACAAATATGCAATAATAAATTCTATGACTACCGGCCATCACCAACACCATCATATGGTTATCACTCGTCTTTATACCACAATGAAATACCACTATGATCATCACCAATGACTATATGTTCGTCTTCAACACAGTCCAACCCTGGCTAGCGGAGGTGGCCTGAATCAATACACATCGGCTATTATGGGTACAGCTCTGAAGAACGAAATTCTATCTTCGTATTTCACGGACATAATATCAGATTTAAAAGTGAGTAATCTCGCTTCCAATGTGACGAATACTTAGGTTGTGTTATAAAGGTCAACAATGGCCGGCTGTCGCGGTTTGTTTTTTGAATACTAGAAAATACAAAAACTGAAAAAAGTGATCAAATGATGGTAGTTACCGTGTATATATCTCATTAAAAGTGTCAATTTTGTTGTTGAAGTTAGCTGATATTTCACTAAAACCTTGGTCCCCAATGTTGCCGTCTAGCTAAAATACTCAATACTGCACAATATAACGAAGTGTTCACTTCCAGAGAAAGATGGAGTTGATGTGTGAATCTCTTGATAAATATGCGAAGCCGTATGTGAAATACAGAAAACCCACGGTAAATATATGAAGGAGCTATAGCCCGCGTGAATATTATACTGGATGATTTTTGGCCTTTTTACCCTTTTTTATTTTGAATTTTCAATTTAGGGAGGATATTTTGTTTGGGTTGAACTGCCATCCAACTGCGACGCTGAAGGTGATAGACTCGATTTTCGACTCCATAATTTATGGTTGTATAGTTTGTCTTCTGCACGAGCCTTGATTGTAAAGTTTATTTCTCTTACCTTACCTCTCGGACTCCAACACGCCTTGTTTACACTCAACTAATTGCCGCGGCACGGGTTGCACGGCTAAAATTGATACCCGTGACCAGTTCTATACAGTTCTATTAGTGTTTAGGCTGCCAATACAATGGCCGAGCACGAATGAAATTGGTGCAAGTATATCCATTATAGCCGTGCCGTGAGAATAAATTAGCCTTTCTCACGATAACGTTTTTTGGGTACTTTCAATTCTCTCAAATGGATATAAAAACTTATAACAACATGAAAAGCGATTTTTTAGAATCAACAGACCATTTGAAGAATAAATTCAACCTAAAAATAAAGACAGTCGCCGTTACGAGGTCTCACGGTTTTGAAATAAAGTACCCCAAAAATGGCAGCATATTCGTCATCGTAAGAAAGGCTAATTGAGTGTAGTGTAAAAGAACTTTAAAAGTTTTTTTAAAATAATTCAATTTTATAATAATATATTTTTCTATTTAGCTTTCGCGAAATATTGTGAAGAGAAGCACAAAGTCTCTGTGCGTCCAGGACCAAAGTATGTCCTTTGTATTATGGATTGTTATACTATGTAGCTATGTAGGCTCACTAGGTGTAGAAAGTAATTTCTGCCCCTGCACGAGGTTTCTGGTGTGAGAGGATTCAATTCCTTTCAATCATTACTTTAATTTTAGGAAGGCTGTATAATATTATATTCTTGTATTATCGCCTGCTTTTTTTCTCTTTGCCTAACATAATTTGCTATACGGTATAATAATATATTGTGTAAAAACATATCAGCAGGAGAACTGGGGAACAGAGCCACAGAGGAATTCTCCTTTCTCCCCACTCCCCATCCCAGGTTCCACCATTCTCTTGTTCCTCCGTTCCCCCATTCTCATATTCCGCCGGTTGCCTGGTGCCTCTTCTTCCGCTCCCCATTTCGCCTGCTCCCCTACTTTCCAGTTGCTCTATCCCCCTGCTCTCCATTCCCCCGTTACCCATTTCTCCCACTCCGCAGTTCCTCCATTCCTCTGTTCCCCATTCCTCCCACTCCCCAGTTCCTCCATTCCCCAGTTTCCTCGCTCCCGAGTTCCTCCATTACCTGATTCCCCCATTCCTTGATTCCCCTTTTCCCCGATTCCCCCATTCTCCGAATCCCCCTTTCCCTGATTCCCCCATTTCCCGATTCCCCCATTCCCCGATTCCCCGTTCCCCCTCTTAAAGATAGCCATAACGAAGATCTTTTTCCTTCATTGAGTTGACCGACGAATTCTCCGATGATGACGTTTGTCGAGTAAATTGCATTTAAGCATTTTAGAGTTTTTTCAAGTCTAAAAACGACAGATAAATATAGTCAATATATCCAAGGTGTTTTGTATCTGGTTTTTTTTTAAGAAACTAGCGTAGTATTTTTGTTTTAAGCGATGGTATTAATGTATGTATTATATTTTTTGCGAGAGAGTTGCCAGCCTTATTGTAATTATATACATATATAATAGCATGACGTAACAGCAGTGACCGGGCTGCCTGTGGTTTCACGAGACATCAAATGCGACTATTTTATATTCCACTTTTTTTAGCTTCTCACCCTATGGCAATTTCAAAAACTTCATCCGATTATCCTTTGCCTTCCTGACCGATGAAGAAATAGAGAAAGGTGTCAGAGAAATAGGAACAGCACTCACTGAGTATTGTAGTTATTAATGAAACCAAATGACTTCAAAATAAAGTTTTACCAATAATTCTTTGATATGAATGTAAGTATACTTCAAAAGACTGCATGATTTTTTGAATCAATGCACAATGTCTAATCAGTTTATTAATCTTTTATGTGTGTATAATATATATATACTATGTCTATATGTATACTAAGAACTGTCAGTAATTTCTACTGCTGCTAAAGCTCTTGCCGTGAGGGTTTAATTCCTTTCTTTTGGGGAAGAGGGGCTGTATAGTGTATATTGTATAACGTTTACATCTATCGATCCTCAGGCCCAGGATCGGCCTAAAAGTGCATTTGTTACTAGTTCATGGCTTTTTGAATTCAATAGGACGAGCTTTGGGCATACAACGACACCAGCCACTTTTTCAACGCGCAATGGAAATCGTGTTAGCTGGGCTAGAATTTGATAGTTGTTTGTGCTCCCTAGACGACCTGATTTGTTTCGGCCGCAGCATAGACGAACACAACATTCGACTGAAAGCCGTCCTCGAGAGACTCACAATACACAATTTGCGAGTTAAGATGACAAAGTGCCAATTTGCGGCAACCGAGGTCTAATTTCTAGGCCACCGAGTATCCCAACAAGGCGTTAGTCCCGATCCCAGTAAGGCCGTAGCAATCGAGCGTATTTCTGCACCATGTTGTGTAAGAGACGTTCGTAGTTTTCTAGGTCTTGCCGGATATTATAGGCGCTTCATAAAAGATTTCGCAACGCTGGCAGCTCCGCTGACTAAATTATTATATAAACTACCAAAAGCGATAGCTAAACAACCGTTTGCATGAACAAGCGAATCAGTGTGAAAACTCCTTTGTCACTCAAAATTACTCTGCACTAAACCTATTCTCGCATATCCTATAAGTTTGATCGTTTCACTTTGTTTACTCTCTATACGGATGCCTCTGATGTTGGCTTATAGGCGCTTTCCTCTCTCAAACAGACGTTCTGTTCAGTTGTTTCGCTCAACGAGTCGCACCATATGCCAAACCTTGCGTAACGCCGTCTGCCGATAACGTTACTTCCGAGTGGGGAGAGAAAGTGCATGAAATTCTTCCTGCAGATCATCCGGTTTAGTCGTGTTCAATATCACTCAGCCCTAAAATCAACCTGAAAGACGCGATCAGGTGCCAAGATCAGGATATTGCTTTGGTCATTGATTATATATCCCGGAAAAGAAGCCCAGTTTTGAGGAATGGAAGTCAAACCCAACCTTGCGAAATCTGTGGCACAACTATGATCATTGTTTTTGCACAACGGCTTACTTGCTCGATCGCGGACCGTGTGCTCTTCACACCCAAACTATGCACTCGTCATACCAACCTCACTATAGGGAGGACGGTATTAAAAGGGGTACACGACAAAGTATTCTCGCGCTTTGGACCCCCTGTGGTCCTACATTCCGATTAAGGCGCCAACTTCGAGAGCAACCTCATCTCGAAATCTGCGATATAATGGGCATAGCTAAAACGTGTACCACAGCGTACCATCCCCAGGGCGATGGCTAGGTCGAACGTCAGAATCGCACGCTCCAAGACATGTTAGCCACATTAGTCTCGTCGCGCAGAGACGACTGGGACTTATGGTGGGACCCCGTTGTGTACGCTTACAATACTAGCCGTCAAGAATTCACTGGGATAAGCCCATACCAATTGGTCTTCGGAAAGTTGCGTCGTTTACCACTCAAGTCCGAACTAGGCCTTCCCCTCACAAGCCCCACCACGCACACAGAATACACCCGATCTGTACGCTCAACACTAAATCAGGCCAAGGCAATAGCTAGGCTACCAGTCTGATTTATTTATATCAATTTCTTTCTAATATTAATATATTACATTCCGTCAATTACGTATCATAATGTTTCTCTAGCAGATTCTATTTACAAGATTATGTATTGCGACATGCATTACTTACGCAATCATTTTGATCGCGCGTCACACTCTCCTCTCACTTTAGTTTTCTTCCCGAAAACGCAAAAAGTTGATACAGAAACTATGATTAGATATGGGCGTCTATTTACAACATACTGTGAGGCTTGCTGTGTGCTAGCAGGGGCTATGCGCAATGGCCATACGGTTCCGGAGGGTAAATGCGCGGACGTAAACGCGCAGGCCTAACCCGGGGAGGTTCGTAATTACCGACCAGCTTAGGGGAAGCATCGTTTCGGACAGGCGAACAACTCGGGACTACAACAAAATCTCCCGATTCCTGAAGAATCTTTCCTTGCATGCCGAGAAGGCATAAAGTAAGATTTTAGATTATACCAAAAAATCAAGAATCAGAAGCACATAGTAAATATAGGCTATCTTTAAAACAGGGAACGGGGAATGGGGGAATGGAACGGGGAATGGAACGGGGAATGGAAGGGAATGGAATGGCTTCGGGGAATGAGCCGGGGAATGAGCCGGGGAATGGAATGAGCCGGGGAATGAGCCGGGGAATGGAATGAGCCGGGGAATGAGCCGGGGAATGAGCCGGGGAATGGCCGGGGAATGGAATGGCTTCGGGGAATGTGCAGCTTGTGCGTCAGTGCGAGTTTGTTTGGCCCATTTGGCGTGATTAAAACCTGTAAACGCTTCCATATCACGAATCATGAGACAGCTACTCACAGTTTGAATTCCTTGAGGTAAAAGACAAAGCGATTACAAGCTCATAGTATAAATGCGATGTTTGCATTGTCATTGTGATGTACATTGATGTACATTATATAGATAGAATTTGGGTAGGTGGTTCAATGTAAATCCTCCAAAATCTGAAGGCAATTAGTATAATACTGTAATAGTATTTTTTGCAGAAATCTTTTTAGTTCTTAATATAAAGGTCAATGTGTGTGATTAAAAGGTGAATAAAGATACTGACACAGTGTCACTTGTTTGTTTTTTTTTTCAGGCTATGTGAACCTCTGAACAGTTTTGTTTAAGCAGGAATAATGGTTGTGGTGGAAATGTGGTGAATGCATTCTTGACAAGTTGATGGGTTTGCTTCCAAGAATACACTGAAACTTGGAGCAACAATGACTTTGAATATAATTATGTAATTAATATATTATTTATTAATCTTAATTTATATGACTTTTTACCTCACATAATTCAAATAATGTTCAGATAAAGAGGTAAATATTTCACTGTTAATGGTGTAATAAATATTTTATATGTTGATTATATTCATAATAAATTATTTGTCCTGCTCCATACTTTGGCAATTCTGTTTAAGAAATCCCACCATAGTAGATCTTTTTTGAAATAGTTACAGTCAAGTTGTTGTCTAGTTTTAGTACAAAATAATACAAGTGCTACAATTAAACAAGGGAAAATAATAAAAATTAATTACATAAGCAAGCACATTTTCTATTTTAAAAAGGTCTATGAATTGAGATGACATGTACTAACAATTTTGTGCATTAATTAAAGACAATTGTATTATTACTGTGGGTTCTTTAATATTGTCCAATACTCCCAGTGACATCCCACTGAAATTCCTGCAGGTGCATTATGAATTGAGATGACATGTACTAACAATTTTGTGCATTAATTAAAGACAATTGTATTATTACTGTGGGTTCTTTAATATTGTCCAATACTCCCAGTGACATCCCACTGAAATTCCTGCAGGTGCATAGACCTTTTTAAAATAGAAAATGTGCTTTTTATTATTTTTAAATTTTTATTATTTTCCCTTGTTTAATTGTAGCACTTGTATTATTTTGTACTAAAACTAGACAACAACTTGACTGTAACTATTTCAAAAAAGATCTACTATGGTGGGATTTCTTAAACAGAATTGCCAAAGTATGGAGCAGGACAAATAATTCATTATGAATATAATCAACATATAAAATATTTATTACACTATTAACAGTGAAATATTTACCTCTTTATCTGAACATTATTTGAATTATGTGAGGTAAAAAGTCATATAAATTAAGATTAATAAATAATATATTAATTACATAATTATATTCAAAGTCACTGTTGCTCCAAGTTTCAGAAGCAAACCCATTAACTTGTCAAGAATGCATTCACCACATTTCCACCACAACCATTATTCCTGCTTAAACAAAACTGTCCAGAGGTCTTGTTCACATAGCCTGAAATAAAAAACATGAACAAGTGACACTGTGTCAGTATCTTTATTCACTTTTAATCACACACATTGAGCTTTATAAGGCATATTAAGAACTAAAAAGATTTCTGCAAAAAATACTATTACAGTATTATACTAATTGCCTTCAGATTTTGGAGAATTGGAAAATTAAACGAGACTTACCTGTAAGTTGAAGTTTGATTGAGATTCTATCACATGACTTTGGCAGGGGGATCACATGAGATAGCACTGCGCCTGCGCCCAATCACTCTTTATAACAACTTGGTCACGTTAAAGCCACCTCAATACCCCACAAATAACATAAAGTGCAAGGGCTGGGAATACCATGTTAATATGGTATAAGTAGGGTGGGCATGTGATCCCCCTGCCAAAGTCATGTGATAGAATCTCAATCAAACTTCAACTTACAGGTAAGTCTCGTTTAATTTTCCAATTCTATCACATGACTGGCAGGTTGGTATCACATGAGACTTTAAAGTTTAACGTGACCAGAAAATGCTGATCCTACAAGCGTGGATCAAGCATAATAGTATTAAACCACGACATAGACAAACAATTACATAACCCCAAAGGGTAAATTGTAATCCTAAGAAGGCTGTTAACAACCCCTTCTTCAACCTCCTAAAGGTTGAGAATATTAACATCAATAAGAACATGTAAATCATAGAGCCAACATAATTAATCATGTTTATATTGTTTGGCCCAATAAGTTAATAAGTTAAACAGCTGTTTCGCAAATTCAGCTTAACATTGCCTGAGTTAGATCATCCTCCTCAACCACCGTTTCAACCACCGGTTTGTTGTAGAACCTCCTAAATGTGTTTTCTGAGGTCCATCCGGCAGTCCTCATAATTGATCCAACAGGAACTGACTTGGCATTAGCTTTAGAACAAGCAGCAGCACGCGTGCTGTGGGATTTGAAAGTGTTTGTATCAATGCCCGCATCATGAAGAACTATTTTCAACCACCGTGATATTGTGTCTCGTGATACTGGTTTGAACGGCTTTACATAAC